AGGTTAAAAGGAAGTAAGAAGCTAGCCCCTCGCTTTATCGGACCCTTCCGAATCCTATAGGCTATTAGTAAATAAGCTTACCGCCTAAGCTTACCCCGGTAGTATAACCGAATCTATAACGTTTTTTATATATCCCTTCTCGAACTATAGCGGAAACTAAATAGGACTAACCACGAATTCCTACCGATACCCGATCTCGAGGATAATAATAAATATAAGATAGAAGAGGTTCGCGAAGATAGGACTATTAACGGCGAAACTTACTTTCTAGTGAAGTAGAAGGGATAGCCCTCTAAATATAATTAATAGGTCCCCTAGGAAGATATAGGTAATACTACAGAAGCTATATAGTCTTACTAGAAGAGAAAGAAGGGTAATACTAGATTAAATCTAAAGGATAAGTAGCGAAAGGTCACCGAAACGACGGCTAAAATAAGATAATCCCTCCGCTATAAAGCGCCTTAAGGGTAGGACCTTACTAAGTATTACTCGATACGCTATAAGCGGGAACCGCTATTAAACACTCTCCGGAACTTTATACCTAGCGTGATAACTTTCTCCGCTAAGATACGCTAGTAGTCCTTAGTCGGAGGACCGGGCGAGAAGGACTAGGCGAGAAGGAGGAGATAAGGAAAGAAAGAAAGAAAGAAAGAAAGAAAGGGAGAAATTTATTTAATTTAAAGGATTACTACTAAAAACCCGCCGAAGCGGCGGCGAAACGAAAGGCGATCCCCTATAGAAAGATAACTTAAGGGTAGGCCCTAGCTAAGTCCCGCTAAAGAAAGCACCCTAGTATAGATAGGCCCCCGAAAGAACGAGGAAATAATAAAGAAATCTAGTAGAATCCGTAGTAGAAGGATAATAGTACCTAGATCTTAGTCTCTATAAAGACGGGGAAGTCCTCTATTATAAGGGCGGCTACCTTATCTCTACCTATAGAGGTATTATTATTATTATCGGAGTCTAGGTTATCCTAAGCCTCGCGAATTACTCTCGAAACCTTATCGAAAAAGACCTATTTCGCTAGAGTCTAAGTAATATATCCCTCGTCTCTAGGGTAAAGATAAAGAAGCCGCTTATTAAAATAGTCCGCTTTCTACTCCGGAGTATTAAGGGGACTAAGGGTAGAGATAGTAGGAAGGGTAGTACGGCGGCCGAAGAGAAGCGCGTCGTAGTTAGCTTAGGTTAACTACCGAAACGCTAGTTAGTATATGTATAAACGGAAGTAGAGGAAGTATACCTTAATTTAGGTCTTACTCCCGGTTAGCGAGTGCTCCTTACGGTAAGTCTACTCCGAAATATTAAAAGCTTAATATAGGTCCTATATTAATCCGGCGATAATTAGACGGGCTTCCGTAGGAAATAGCTAGTCTATAAAGCTTCCGGGGTCGCTCGGGTCTATCTATCCTACCTAAAATATTTCACGCGCCTACGAAAGAATAACAGCTAGGTCGTGGCTATCTCCTATTATAGTAGTTATAACCTATAGCCGTTAGTCTTATCCTCTTAAGAAGATTTAGCGAAACCCACCGGAAAGCATAAAGTATTACGAGCGGAACACTACTAATATATTACTAAGGCTTTAGCGTCGCGGACGTATTCGATCTAGATAGGCTAGTTATTGTAGGTAGGGTCCTACTTAGCGAGCGCGGTCCGAAGATAGTGTATACACTAGAGAATCCCTATAATAATAGGATTCTCTAGGAGAGGCCGGATTCGCGGCGGTATCGTGAGGTTTTCGGTAAGATATAGGTAGGGATTCGAGGGCGAAGAGGCGCGTTAATATAAAGGAAGCTAACGAGCGAGAGAGGTAGAGGAAGGAGAGGATAAGAAGTGAGGAGGAGAAGAAGCGTTACTAACGTTAATAAAGGAAACGCACTATCTTTGTTTACTTACCTATACGTTTACCACGTTTACTACGTTTAGTTTCTATTTTGACTAATACGTCCCCTTTTGGGCGTTTGTTTATTTTCTATATATCGATTTCTCTCGAGGGCGAGAGAGTCCTTAGAGGGGGGATAATTATTATAATATTTCGATGAGACTATTCACATACTAATATTAGGGCCTTAGGCATACGTGGACCGAGGGTTCTGCTAAGGCGGTAGCTATCCGGCGGTCAGTCGGTGGCCCCTCGGCCGCGATACGCGACAGCCACGCTGCATATAGGCCGCACCCACAGTATATGCTATGCGTTAGCTATGCGGTGGCCTTTCGCCATGGTTTCCCCCTTACTTCGTGTTTGATTCCTGTTTGCACAAAAGATGATGTATTTAAACAGATGCTTGAGGAAGTGGGATTCATCTTCCTTAAGAAACAGTCTTTGTCTTAATCTGACTTGGTGCTTTCCTCTCCTACCTAGTTGACAGGCCATCTACCCTGTAAAGTAGATACTTCCTTAACAAAAGGACCCCCCTATCGATTACTATATTAGCCGGTAGTAGAGAAGTAAACTCGACGATAAGTAAGCCACTCTTCCCTAATAGGATACGTAGCTAGCTAACCTTCGTGATCTCTATATCCCCCTAGTTATATACGTTACTCGTAAGTAGGTCCTTAATTATCCTGCTCTATAGTAGTTCCTCCGAGGCCTTATTAATACCTAGCGAGCGTACGTTAACGTCGTATACGATAACTCCCTAGGTTAGTATATAAACGAACGCCGTTTTGTATAGGCCCTTTACCCACTTCTCTCGATAGATTCGTATAACCTCGGCCTCCTTCGCATCGCGTATCGTAAAGCGGAGATCACTCGATTTTAACTATCGCGACGCGAGGATCATCACCGAAGCTAGCGCTAGCGTATCTATCGTCCTAGCCGCCTTCGCTTATACCTAGTTAGCACGCTTTGTGAGTTCTGCGCTTATTAGGCGGCGGAAGGCGTTAACCTACGAGCGGTTACCTAGGTAGACCACGACCTCGCGGTCACGTGCGACCTCTACCGGGCGCGTTAGTAAGCTCAATAAGCTAACTACTAGAGGAGAGATAGTACGCTGGTATAGGTGCCCTAGCGGCTACTTCGGCAAAGGACCTGACGGTCTATCTTACCGGAGGCTCTATAGCCGCCTTAATAGCCTACATTTCCTTGCGAAGTGCGCCGAGTTCGTCCTACTAGTCGGTTAGGGGCGTTAACAGGAGGTCCTTGGTAAGGTCCTCCACCTAGCGGAGAAACTCTACTATTTTGGTGGAAGCTGCGATAGGGGCTCTGGCCCCCTTCTGGCCACTGCTGACCTCTTTTAGTAGTGCGTGTGCGCCGTGGTTAACTTTCAGTACGCGCTCTCTGTTCGATGGCAGGTTTTTCAATGGGCTTCCGGGAGCCCCTGGCGGGACCGGCCCAACGCCCTTTGACGCGCGCAACATCGCCATACCGGTCGACCAGGGTCGAGACCGGTATCAGATGAAAGCGCAGGGAGTTAGATTGAAACTGCCGTTTATGAGACGTTGCCAACTGGCGTGGTTCCTGAGATATTTCAAAAATTCAATTCGGCGCTGAAGTTGTTGTTTTTCTCTCCTTCAATTCGGAACATATATATTTTGTACTTCACAGTTAACTTGTATCCTAGTAGCTCCGTATGCCTCAGGCAATTGCTAGATCTATCCGAACGGTATATTTAACGCTAGATCTGTGACCGCTTATAGTAGCGCTCATGAACAATTTGTGTACAATACCTTGTGTCCTAAGCTATTACTTTCATCGTCCTCCCTTTCATCATCTACCACGGAACGCTCTAGTGACACTAGAAATGCAGGCACTACTCCGGGCTTAACTGCTAGCGCTGTCACGGCTTCCAATAGCGCTGAAGCCGCAGGCAATACTACGGGCTCAAAAACTAGCAGCAACCTTAGAATTCTGTGTCTACCGGCCTCTCGTGTGACCGGCCAGAGCCCGGTTATACAGCCATGTGCCATGGCCTTTCGAATATTGTCCTTGCCAGAAGGATTCCAGGAGATTCTATCACAAGATGCTACCGGGACGGGAACGGAGCGAATCTCTTCCTCTCTCTCGGCAGAAAGGATTCTAGAGGATTCCATCCTGAGCAACATCGATCCTCTTAGAACTGAGGCCGACTCCGTCCCTCTTCCCTTTGCTTCTTAAGATTGTTGTAAACGGCATGTTGGCCTAGTACAATTGAATCAATTCTGCTACAGCCCTGCACATCTCGGTCACTAATCTATTAGCTATAGGCGTGGCTATGGTAATATGACAGGCCCTTCAATAATATCCTTGTGTGTAACTATTTGTTTAGCTAATCAAGCTATTAGATACGATATATTATATATTTATGGATTTCGTATGAGGTCACTTCTCTTTGTGTATCTCTCGCTATTTCAAAGGGTATTTTAGGTTATCCATCCCATACTGTAAATAATGGACTAGGGTCCCGAATAGTACGAACCACGTTGCTATTTTAGTCAATATTAGAAAGAAGCGGTAGAAATATAGCTTTGAAATTATGAGAACCTCAATCTTAAACCACGGGATCTTGAACGATAGGTCTTAACCGGTGGTCTTAAACGGTGGTCTTGAACGGTGGAATCTCCCGGCGGCCATTATGCTGCTAGGGATTTCAAACCCCTTGGAATGGCCTGCACTATTCTGGAGATCACACATAGCCCGATGGATCTTTGGAATCGGCTAGAAATCGATGACTCTCCCTCGGATAGCCTCTCTCCTGAAGTAGACAGTGTCATTCACCGACTTCAAATCTCGGAATATCATACAATCGATAACTCAGAAGCTTCTGTACGAGTCGTTGTCGAGCTACTTATTCTTGGCCGGCTCCATCACTTTTCGGATTCTCTTTCGAAGATATGATAATCGCCCCACAGATAACGGTCAATGCCATAGCAAGTGCTACACGAGTAAGCCAATGAATTATTGAATTGTAGTTCAAAAAATGTGTAAACATACCAGGAATCAGCCGATACGCTTCGATGTAGCTGGATTGCACCACTGCCTGGATTGCCAGTGGTAAATTTTTGGAGATCCCGTAGTCTTTGACAATGTCATCGATTAACTAGGGGGTTTTTAGTATCCTGTAAATCTGACCAGACAGTGGAAGAACTTTTTACCTGGTCTTTTCTCGGAAGGGAAATGCTGCCCAAATCGATGTCAAGTCGACGGCGAAATAGTTGTTGAAGAGCTGCAGTGCTGACGCTAGTGCCAATAATTTGCCCAACTTGCTGCGACAGATAATATACCGCAGTGGCACTTGCCATTTGCCCCTCGGGGGCACAAATAGTCAGCGCAATGAATTGTGCCGAAAGCAGCATTCCACTTCCCGTCGCCCAGGGGAAGCAATAGTGCACCTCAAGTCCTTGAATGCCGTTGGCCCAGCGCACTATCATGACAAACTGGGATAGGATGCTTATGGAAATAGCAATGAGAGCCACTTTACGGTATTTGACAGTTCTGTGATGGTTAACAATGCAGGACGATTGGGCTGATCCCTTCAAAACTTACTTGCTCAGGGCTTTCCCAGCTATTACGGACCCTAAGATCAGCCCGAGGCCAGAGATTCCGATTCGCATGGAAATAGCGGAGTTGGAAAGATGGTCGACCTGGGACAAATAGGGTGACAGATTATTCAGAATCTATGTTTTGTCAGTCGATTAGCAAGCGTCGGTCAATATCATAAATGCCTACTCACCGTAGTGATGCTCGCAAAATATACGACCTGGCCAAAGAGGACACCGCCCATGCCGGATGCACAGACAACAGAAGAGGGGATAATGGGGTTTTTGGTGCCGAATCGTTCGATCAGTATCAAGGCTGCTAGAGATGCGCACGATACAGCCAGCAAAGTTGACCTATTCAAGGATGGAAAAGCGTTTCCTCCTTCGGTCGTTGCCAGGATGAAGGATGTCACTGAAATAAAAATGGCACCGAGGCCCAAAGAATCAAAGCTCCATAGGCTGATGCATGTCTCGGAGTTGATCGTTTTGCGAGAGGCCGGAAGTTGCCAATGCGCTAGAGCAAGGCATAGCACCCCAATTGGCGCTTGGCCTATCAAGGACCTGGCGCCAGCATATCAGTAACTTGACTCTCTTTCCAAGACGCAGATTGTAGCGTCTCAATGCAGACGTACCACCGCCAGCCCATGAAGTCGGCGATCAGCCCACCTAGGGGCCCTCCGAAACCCTGCCCAAGAATTCCAGCACCAATGACATAGCTTCGTACCGACGCAACTTGATTGATGCAAAAAATCTCTGCCATTCTGTGTTAATTTCTTCTTCTTCCTTGATAATTGACCAGATCCTTACCGTTGATCAGGACTGAAAGCAGATCCGTCATACCAGCGCCCCCAATGCCTGCGATCAGGCGACCGAATACAAATGGCCATATTGTTTTGGAAAGTCCACTGTAGTCGAAAATGAGTCCTCAAATAGCGGGTACGATCGACGATTCCCACTTACGATATCAAACATCCAATCGAGAACAAGGCATATGCCGACAGAAGGAACCGGCGACAGCCGTATAAATCACTCAGGAATCCATACTGCATCTTTGGTCAACGAAGGATCGCCGTGAAAACGATAGAGAGGAAAACCCAACCACAGGCAACGCAATACAAAACCCCAAGTTATATGATACCAGTAGGAGTGGTGCGCTGGACGGCGATCGAAGTGAAGAAGCAATTTCACCCTGTATAGCCAGCAGAATAGACTTGTCTGCACTTGCCAGGAAAACGCCTGCGTCGGAGAATGTTAAGCCAGTGGAATATTCACATGGCAAGATCACATACCAACTAAACCAGCCAAAATCTTTGTGATTTTGATATTTTTTGACTTCGAGGCATGTAAATCGCTCAATAGAGGGCTCTCTTCATGGATCATTATGGCGTTAAGGTTGTGACAGCAGGAAAATCCAAGTGTAAGGCAGATGGCGTGGACTCAGCTCGAATCGGCTGTAAATTTCAGGTTTTAGTTCAGTGAAATGAAGGCAAAGCACCGCGGGTCTTCATGATTTAGCCAAGGCAATAGTTCACGACGATCCGACCCGTATCTGATTGTTGGTGCATGAAAGTTACAAGCGCATCTACCACCTTACCGCTAGATGACCCACTGTGGATAATACACCTGTTCATACGGAGCGATACAATCTGTAGATAAAGCGCCACGATCTGGAAGTAATGCGGTATAGCATTTCACATTGGTTTTTCTGACCATAAAAACTTCCGCATTGTGTGCTCGGCCTTTCTTCTTCCCGCCATCTACTTCAGATTTAATTAGTCGATCAAATCCTGCCAACACCATGCAGCTCTTGACTGCAACCGGCCCCTCTCTGGATTCAAGGGAAATACTGAACAAATTTCGAAAAGACAACCCTGCGACCAAATTCCTCCGCTTTCAATGGCAGGATTATTCGGGTGTCCTCCGCGGACGAGTTGTCCCCATGGATACAGTTTTGGCCCAGATCTCCAAAGGAGGCCCTCTTAAGGCTACTGGGCTTGCGCTATGCGTGTCTCTGACTAATAATCTGATCCCCTCGACACCTCTCGACGGTCAATTCTGGATGCTCCCAGACTGGTCAACTCTTCATCCGACAGCCACTCCTGGGAGTGCACAGGTGATGTGCGCCCTGGACTTCACGGTACCGGCAACCGGTCCAGTCAGCCGAGAAGTCTGCCCACGACATGTTTTGAATAAAGTCCTGCAACAGGCACATGAAGACTGGGGCCTCAAATTTTTAGTTGGTTTTGAGGTGGAGTTTGTGGTCATGAAAGCCAACCCGAGCACGGGGAAGACGGAACGATGCAGTCAGGGCTGGGGACTGTTCTCCATCGCCGGCTTACGGGACCCTTGCTACCAATATGTGGAGCAATGTGTCAGTCAGCTTGAGGCTCTGGGCGTGGACATCCAGGCCATACACACTGAGGGTCAACGAGGACAATATGAGTTAGCCTTGGGACCGCGCCCACCCCTCGAAGCGGTTGACCAATTGGTGCTGGTACACAGCTATCTGAAAGATACTTTTGCTCGTCACGGCTATGTGGTCACTATGGTTCCGAAGCCTGTGGCGTCAGAATCTCTAGCGAACGGCCAACACACACATCTTTCATTACAGCCTACCAGGCCTGATCTCGAAGAATCTTTCCTTGCCGGCATTCTCAAGCGCTTGCCAAGTCTCTGCAGTCTCTGTCTACCACAAGACGTATCTTATGAGCGACTCTTGCCATTCGTGGCTGGCGGTAATACTGCTTGTTGGGGCACCGAAACGCGTTTCGCGCCAATCCGGAAGATCGAATCCTGCCGTTGGGAAATACGAAACATTGATGCGATGGCCAACATGTATTCCACCCTGGCGGCAATCATTGGGGCTGGTCTATGTGGTCTAGCTGGTCGCGAACCGCTTCTGTGGCCTGATTTGGGCGACCCGGCAAATAAAGATGCCCCCCGAGGGGAACCGCTGCCCAAGAATCTGGAGGAGGCGATTGCCTTGCTGGATGGAGATGCTTTTGGTCTCGCTGTTGTACTAGGCCGTCCCATCATAGATCGTTACGTCGAAATGAAGCGCTTTGAGCTGTCTAAGCTCGAAGTGATGGATCCGGAGTCGGCGAGGGAGTTGTTCATTGAGCTATTTTGAGGCTATCCCTGCGGGTCGCTGATATTTTCATTTTGTAACTTAACAGACACAGAGGAACAGTGCTCATTACGGAGAACATTTCTTCAAGTTAAAAAGATTAGTTTCCTCACCACCTCGGGCCGATTGCTCGATTAAATTACCTCGGTAATGGTGTACGTAGTACTTGCCGGATCCACCTCACGGGTAGCGATGGCATTCAACTGTCGGTATGAAGTACTAATCAAGACAACAAAGCGCCATTACAGTCATAAAAATCAGAGGCCTTATTTGCGCCCGGGCGTCATGGTCAGGGGCCCTGGGGTGCGAAATTAGCCTTTGGGAACACTCAGAAATTGTACATGATAAAGCCATATGATGTAGGTAGTTTTCCCATCGTGTACGAGGCGTTGATGACATGAATAATTAGAATGTCTTCAACGGAACAGCATTCAAAATACCGATCGCCTAGAAAGGACACCTGAGGGATCGAGATGTACCCACGCGGTAGCCTTGGCATGACTATGTACGACTTAAACGAACCCGATGAACTCCGAGATCGATTTCTCCACTTCATCCCCGATCTGACAAATCCGATCTCTCTAGATACCAGAATGGGGCTGCCGGTGCAACGATACGTATCTCAATCACATACTCCGTACGTACAGCATTTATATTGGCCGTTCATTAGTATTTGCACTGTGGTACTTTCATCCGCACTGCCTTTTACCTACCGCCTACCTTTCCTATCCACACATTATGGACAACTTGCCGGGGAAATATGACAATTCCTCAGTTTGAAAATTGAGGTTAGAGACTACGCCTGACCGCGTCGAGAAGGTTATTAAATACAAAGGCTGGCACGCTAGTTGTTAAGGGTCTTGTATGCGAATCGATATTTTGGAGTTCTTCCGGCAGAAGAAAAAAATGGTGGGCCCCTAAGCGTGCCAAGGTACTGCAGTGCAAATACTAATGAAAGGTGACTGTAGGTGGACTACTGGGACAATCATCGCGATTCACATGATACATATCTAGAAGCAATACATACATACAGTGACGGGTCATTAATTTCAAAACCCACGCCACACACCACCTGAATTACATCATATTCTGCCTGTTGCAAAACCTCCGCCATAACTCCATAGAATTGAAAGACTAGATAACTAGCTAAAAACACATTCAATAGGCCTAGGAGGTAGTATACCATTCTTCCAATTTGATAATTGCTTGCTCCGATTGGGCACAGTCTCAGAAAGATGGTCTGGATGCGCGTATACGGTAGGCGGTCTATGTAGTGTAGGGCCAGGGGTGTTAAAATTAGTGACCGGTCACTGTACTCTCCCGAATCTTTATTTCGTCTCCCGCCCCTAAGCCGAGCCAAACCGTGGATACCTTCTCTAGCCCCACTGCAGCTGATGATCATATCTGTGTCATAGCGTATTCCGCACTCTAAAAAAGTCGGGCTATATCATTGGATCTTTGTTACTGTGACAACGCCAGAAGCGTCCGACCACAGGAGCTTTGCTTTCCGCTGTGGATACTCCCGATACTGTACTGTACCAACGTAACTTTTGGTTCAGCTCACAACTATCTTCTATTACCACGAAGAACCAGGATGGGAACCTACGAAGACACTGCAGATTAAATCCAGAATATCTTACAGCTAATAAGGCGATGAGAGGTTCGACGATATGGCCGGTGAAGAGAACGCGATCTAAGGGGGGTCGGATACCTTTGCGGTGCCACTGTCCTGCAACTGCTCTTCTTACTGTAGATGTCAGCCAGTTCCTCCTAATTTTTTCAACTCGTGTGGGTCTCATGAGGTAGTGGGAGCAAAATTGCCGTCACTAGCGCCTTTTATCTGTATTCCAGCAGAGCGGTATGACGATCTGCAAATAAGCACCAGCTCCACGCACCGCATACGTGAGCATTCATCATAGAAGGGGTAGAGAGTACTGTATATTCAGAAGTAACCGATGGCGGAGCGAGGCTATCACAACCGGGTCTGCAAGCCTTCTCATTGAGACGAGGTCAATGCAACCTGTGTATTTACCCAAAAGTAAACCCCAATAGTGTACTGTCGTGGAAAAGTGGAGGTATTTATCACAGTGATATGGGATTGGTCCATCTCCAACCTACTTTTCCTTTGTTTGTATGTAATATGCGGGTAACATTTTGACATGTGTAGGTAGGTACGTCACTCGGATACTTGGTAACACCGCCAGGAGACAGCTCAATCTGCCCCTTTCCCATGCATTTGAGTCTTTCCTTTTTCCAATCGACCAATATTTCTTCCGATGACTCCGGTAGTTCTCATTCGTCCTTACGCATACTAGTCTATACCAATTCAGCTCGCTTTGACATGTATGTACATACGGCTTGTACTTACGGGTGTGTATCGAAACAGTATTCAATCCACTGCAGATCTTAGGGTCTCCATGTACATGATTCAGATCATTCAATTGGCGGGACAAAACTTACGAAGCTGAACAATTTGCCTGAGCTAGAGGTGGTTGAATAATGATTGTTGTTCCATTTAAACAAAGCTCGGCCCTCACCAGGTTTTCCATCTCCAAGTGGAATTTTATCTCCGAGTGTTTGACAAGCGCGAAAGGAGAAAGATTCCAGTATGATGCAACCCAGCGAGCTCGATGGCCCTCCACTCCCATATACTGCCTTGTCAGTAACTGGTCTTTTCCATCAAAACGTCCTGAAGTATTCCAAGACCCTGGCCCTAGTCTGCACCCATCAGCCCTCCGATTTATATAGAATCTCGAGCACTGGTAACGACAATCTCATAGCGTCTTACCTACGATGGACCTACCAGGATCTCGACTGTGCTATCGAACGTTTTGCCAATGGACTGAGGAGTCTGGGACTACGCAGTGGTGACCCGCTGGTGATGTTCATGACCAATACCGCTGAATATGTCATTTCCCTTTGGGCTGCCTACCGGATTGGTTGTGTACATGTCCCAATAAATCCAAGGAGCTTGTCACACACCCAGGAGATTGAACACATGTTGCAAACTGTGATGAAAGGTTGCCACGCCCAATCTCTTACCATCATCGCGGGTCACGCCGATATGTGTCTGCAGATTGAGGATTTGGTATCCGGGATGGATTGCACCAAAATATTGGTCGACGGTCTGCTGGATGGATGGAATTCATTTGGAGATCTGATGCAAGAGACAGCCGGAGCTGCTCAGACAGAATGGTATGGGGATTGCGATCAGAGCTCAGAGTCATCAATTTTCTTCACCAGTGGAACTACCTGTCTTCCCAAGGGTTGCTTTATTCAAACATCTGCGTGTCCTTTTACAATTGCCATGAGCTGGCGCCAGAGCAATCAACCGATGTTTCCCGGTGATAGGTTCGCCCTCGTGCTGCCAAACAATCATGCCTTCGGCTATCAGTGCCTCATTTCCACCTTCTTGAACGCGGCTACTATCGTGTTTCCCGGATCAGGCTTCATCCCAGAAGCTGTGGTCCAGGGCATCCAGCGGGAACGGTGTTCCCATACCGCCTTTGTACCAACAATGGTGCATGCTTTGGGCAACTGCAACCTAGGTGCTGATCAGAAGCTGAGCTCCTTGCGGCGAGTCGTGTTGGCGGGCGCTCCTCCAACTGAAGAAGTCTTCAAAATCTGCCTTGAACGTCTCGGAGCACAAGGTGTGGAAAATCTGTATGGAATGACAGAAGGTATCCTCGTCTCCTCGAACGTGTTGGGCGATGCCAGCGACATTGTCAATGGAAGAGAAATCTCGATTGGCTCACCATTACCCGGTGCAAAGATTCGGGTATGTGCGGAGAGCAGCAGGGTCCCTGTTCCAGTTGGAACCGCCGGGGAAGTGCATTTCTCTGGTCCCTCTTTGATCAAAGAGTACATACGGCAGGCCAACGACGACAGGTTTTACACGGACGAGGATGGCCGGAGATGGTTCTGCACCGGGGATAAAGCAATCTTGGGCAAGGATGATCGATTGTATTTGATTGGAAGGTACAAAGATACTATTATCCGCGGTGGTGAGAATATTGAACCATCCGCTATTGAAGCGACCCTGGGCCAGACAGTCGAATTTCACGTTCTTGAACCTCAAATTGTGAGAGCACCAGACCACATCGCCGGAGAAGTTCCCATTGCAATCGTCAATCAAGAAATCACAGAGCGTACGGCGCTACGACTCAAAGAGACTATTCGTGCCAAGATGGGGACGCTTTTTGTCCCGGTAGGAGTGGTACCAGTGCAGTCCCTGGGATTGAAGAGCTATCCTAGAACTATGGCAGGAAAGATCCAAAAATCGAAATTGGAGGACTTGATGAAGACATATTGGGGGAAAAGAAAACCACAACCCTGCAACAAGCTGCAAACTCGGTCTCTTCTAGAATCCCAGCTCAAGCGAGCTTGGGCTCAGCTATCAGGCTTCCGTGATGCCAGCTTAATAGATGTCGATGCAGGCTTAACTGCTTTTGTCAGTGATGTCAACCTGGGTCCATTGCAGCAGAAGATGTGGAAAGAATGGGCAAGCAACGTTTTGTTTTCCGACTGGGTCGCCGCCAGTAGTATTGCGGCAGAAGTTCAATTGATTGAAAAAGCTCAAAGCGATCAACCGGCAGATCTTGAATGTTCGAACACGAGATCGGATAAATTCAGACAATATCCAGGCTCGCAGATTGTACACTCGTTGCTCTCGGCCATTGCAGAAGTGAAAGGGGGTCAGATCAACCCAGATACTCGAATTATTGACTTGGGGATCGATTCGATAATGTCCATTGGAATACTCAGCCGGGTTCATAAAGAAACCGGATTCTCAGTTCCATCCTCTCTCTTCTTCACCCCAAAAACTGTTGGTGCAATCTGTGACTATCTCCGTTCTACTTCGAACCCGGCAGATCTTCTAGATCTCGGGAAATTAACCGATGACTCATGTGGCCATTCATGCTTTTCGACACTCCTTCAGGGGACCCCAAAACCAGGAGTGCCCTCATTATTCCTTACACCCCCTGGGTCTGGATACGCCTTCTCGTATGAGCCTCTCCCCAAATTCGCCAATGACATTGCAGTGTATTCTCTTGGATCTCCATTTCTCATGACAAAGTCAGAGACCACCTGGACAGTGGAGGAAGCTGCGGCAATCTATATCAAGACCATTCTCAGTCTCCAACCACAAGGGCCCTATATACTAGGTGGCTGGTCAATGGGCGCTATCACTGCCTATGAAATTGCATACCAACTTCACCAACAAGGGGAAAGGGTGCTAGGTGTCATAAACCTCGATATGCCATTGCCAAGGTCGGATACCAGTACCCCAGAACCAACTGTGAAACTGCTCGAAATCATGGGGTTCTATCCTCCAATTCGTCGCGAGGGGAAGCCCGACATGGAAATTCCCGCCTACCGAAGACAACACAGTCTCTCATCTGTCAGAGCGAAAATGAAATACGCGCCACATCCAATTAGCACCTCCGACAATCCAAACCCAGTACAGATATATGTGATCTGGGCCGGGCATGGCGACCCTGATCGGCTCCCATCAATGATGCTGGAAGCGAAAAAGATATTGGAGGAACATGGACCACAGACGCAGAAACGAACTGACCAAGAGTGGCTGAAGATACCGCGTGAATCTTTTGGCCCAGGTGGCTGGGCTGAAATGGTTGGTGAGGAGAATGTCGAGTGTCACGTTATAGACCATGCAGACCACGATTCAATGATGGATCCAGAAGTGGTAAGCGTTCATTTCTCATCCTCTTATCCTTCATCATTAAACTAATTCGCTCTAACTCTTGTCACAGGTGCAATATACGGCGGATCTAATGCAAATAGCAATTGACAAATGGTTGTCTATCTAGTGGCGGTACATGTTGGAAAAACAGAATTGGAGCAATCAAGAAATTGGATTCTGTGAGGGAAAAACGTTTGGAAATCAGGGACTTGATGCATTGAACAGCCACTAGTGGAACCAAAAGATTATTTTCAGAGACGCCACCAGTGCGATACAGCTTGCATGGCTGATCCTGACTACCTATGTCTCCGGACCGAGGACACAGGCTGCACCTCTCCCATGTCCAGATGTAGAGATCGTGTCTTTTCACGTCCGCTACCCAACCAGACGGCACTCATTGTGCGTTAGATAACAGGTGCTCGGGCCAATAAACGGTGAATACATGCCAATCATCTTCGCTAGGTTCCCAGTCGTAGGCCACCCCTCTATTATTACTATATAATTCTTTATAATCCAGTTCAGAAGGCATTGGTATATCTGACACAGTGCTAGTTCAAGAGTCCAAATCAAACGTCAAGGAGAAAGTCTAGCTAGATATGCTTTAATTTTTTTTTTCCGAGAGTTCTTTCTGATTTTCTTTCGAGCCGTTTTCCTAGATAGATCTGGCAGCAACGCTCAATTTATCTTTCAAAGCGTGAATGGTGAGATAATATTAAAGTTTGGCCCGGGTTTCTGACTCATAAAATCCCACTATGATAGAAACTAGAGATTCAAGGCCTGCTACTACCTGAACAAGGACTATACTCTGTAAGGGTAATCTATAACATACGGTCGAACTCCCTCGCCGAGCGACCATAGATTATGTTAGAAATCTTTAATGATATGTTCCACTTTTAGATAAAAGTGGGGTGTGATTGATGGAGGTTCCTCTATTGCCTTAGTTGCCCTCGAAGAGGATTGTGCAAGGCCAGCATACAGATTGCCTGCAGGTTTGCTTCGTGCAGATGGTTAACCGGTTTCCTGCCAGATTGATGTCTCCTAGGTTGCTTTGTCAGGTTGAGCTTCATCATGCCCTCTCCTGTTTCCTTTGCTTCTGCTTTCTGGCGCCCTATGCGTAGCAGCCGTTGTGCTGTCAATGATTAATTGAAAGCGTGTCTAAATTCTTAGCAAAAGCCGCCGAGCTCGCCGATACTCGCTAATAATCTAGAGCGATATAATAATCACTCCTATTTCATATAGACTAATCACGGGAGGAATAGAGTAGATAGAATGACACGGGGTATAGGGCTAAATCGGCGCTTATTGACGAAGAAGAAAGTCTTTAATAATACCAATGGAATGAAGTTTGTCGTGAATGTATATATTCCTCTCTGATTGTTCCTATCTAGTAACAAAAATTATAGATACTAGCGATACTACTCCTATAAAATTAGATATTCTAATATTCTAGTAATCAACCCTATAGTAAATATCGCGCAGTAGATCATATAGATAGATACATAAGTATACGCTACTATGGATTACTAAGTTAGGAGACTTATATGCTCGTGATGGGCTGTTTAGGGGGGTAGGGCATCGATGGAGCTGACGCCTGGCTTCGCTGGGAAATCCGCAAATTAAAAGAGAAATTCAAGCTTTGGGAATCATTAACGAGGCTCTGCGGCTGATAATGCTCTTTGGAATGGAAATCTTCGCTAAATATTGATCATCGACTCAAACAAAGATCAAAGATCAAATACAATAGTAAAGCCGAACAATAGTTGGATTGAACCTGACGTTGGTGACTCACGCCTCTTCTATATGAATTTAAGGCGACGAATCACTGCAGCCAAAAATCCAACATCAGAATCCTCCCCATCAGAGTCGTTTCCTTCGGGCACCGAGTCTGGCGTGCCAGAGCTTGGGACAACAATGGTTGTGACCGTCGGACTTTTAGAGTGAGGATATAAAGGTGAAGTGGGTAATGAAGATTGAGGCCGAATCTTCCTGGGGGTTTCTATGATAGTCTCTGTAGGAGCGCCTGGTGTCGGGGTGTCCTTCTTAGGAGGTCCTCTTGAGAATGCCTTCTTTCCAGAACTATTCTTTGAAGCACTTTTCTTCGACGGAGTCTTCCCTCGAGGGGTCCCCTTGGATGGTGTCGAGTTCGCAGAGCGCTGTTGCCTAAGATACTCTGGTAAGACAGGAGAGGGTAGTTCCAGGCCTTCTTGGGGTAGTGTCATGAATTGACCATTGGCTTTGTATGTATTGGTGTTGTCGAAGAAGTCGCACCATTTGTCCAGACTGTTCACAATAGCTTTGGCATCGATTTTGAGCCATTCGATATGTGCTTTGTCGCATTTTCGGCAGTGCCTCTTGTATCGCACGCAGGAGAATTCTGACAACAAGAGTTGCTCCACCCGGCGTGCATATGTCACAGCTCTTATTTTGATAGGGTCAAAGTTCCCGAAGCATCCTTTATAAGAGCGAAAGCGACTGCCCTGGGGATGCTTTTTAGAAAACCCGATTTTCAACATTCCCTGAAAATCCTTACCCTCGGGAGAGATGATATACACACACCCGGTATCCCGGTCTCGAACCCCTGCTTGTTTTTCCAGAACCTTGGTAACCTTCCTAGCCACTCCCTTCTCGTCTATGTTCCGAAAAAGCCTCGTAAACCCTTTCTCGTTCTCGGCTTCGTACGAAGAGCCTGGTTTCCCGTAGTAATCTTCCAATTCGGACAAAATCTCGGTCCTTCGTTCTCCAAATTCCTGCTCCCACTGTAGTCTCAATGATCTACGGTAACAGGCGTGTTCTTCACAAAGGAGAAGGCCTGCAAGGTCGCTGAAAACTTGCATTACTTTGGATTTGTTTTGGCGTACACCGCTGAACACACCGGAGATGAAAAGAATGGAATTGAAGTGTGACCGTGCCGTAACACAATCCTCCTCGGGAATTTCGATGTCACAGTTCCGGATGCCATGCTCGTCAACTTGGCGAAAAACGCATTCTTGCTGGGGGGATGATTCGTGGATTTCAAACAAAAGCGATGGTAAGTCGCAAAAGCCCTCGGTAGGTCTCATATTCAGACAAAGTCAGAGGGTCGCACCGAAAGCGAATGTTGGTTGTAATAAAGTGAAATATGAAACTCTTTATCAGAATCGGGATAATGGAGAGCATTCGGTCATCTTCGAGTGGCTTGTAGTATCTTGGGGGTTTTCAGCGCTTTTAAGGCAGACTCAATTAGCCTCCTTCGGGTTCGGAAATTGGGAGAAACGCACCCTCCCCGGCTAAGGAGTACCAATCCATGCAGCTTAGAGGGACTTTGGGGGCTAAATGTCCGCGTGAGCTCCTTCGCATAGCTCTGATATGACTTTGAGGCTGGTATCATGGGGCTATGCTGCAGGTATTCGTCATCTCCTGCTGGCAGGTGGACAGGAAAGCCGGGGATCTCGCAATAGTCAAATCTATGGTTTGGGGATCACAGGCCCACTAAGGTGGCACTAATGTGGCTTTTCGACGTTAAAGGGGGGATAGCGGAATGTGCATGCATTAGTTTTGCACCTAGATGTGGGTTTCCAGCCGCTATAGCAAAGGTACGTTTCATATTTTTCGGGGGCCAAGCCACGCTGGAAGGCTCCGCATATCCGGCATTTTTGAAGTCTATGAGATTGACCATGACTCGAGTGTCATTCTGGACCAGGCAAAAATTACCCCTTGTTACGATCCTGAAATCGGGGTTGCCTGAAGCTATGGGAGTGATCCTTTCTACCTGTCAAGGGATTTATAGTAGTGATTTACCACTAGCAACCGATTGAGGGCAGTTGAACTGACTGTGTATGTCTTTCTGAATTTGTATTTACATAATTACGGTCCTTTTGGGGAGCTTAGCAACTATAAGTTTGTAAGTTTCGGGTCCGACTTTTACTAGTGAGTGTAGTTCGACTAGCCCCAACGCAGATTTGTTTTGTAGTTTTCTTCAATCAATCAATTCATCCTATCTTTTATTCGGCCTTTTTCTAATCCCCCGAGGGGGGTTGGGGCTTCTAAGCCAAAGGCGCTCCGTAAGTCTAATCTATAAATCAAATCCAACATGCTCAATAGACAATTCATCGTTCTTGTGTCTCTGGTAGTATCTTCTTCATTGAAATAAAAGCATGTAATTTTTAGTTCGGATTGAGGGGGTATGGTGGAAGAGTAGAAAATGTGGGAGATATAGCATGGCTTAGCAGCCCCAACTCCCAAAGAGCATAGACGTACACAGGGACCGGGTGTTGGCTCCGTGAAATACCAGTCGCCAAAATACATACCGACAATACTGAATTCCTAGGATCGATAGGGCCTTATACTAAACTGGCGATTTCGCAATGCGCCGTGCTAAACTTAACCGAGCGATAACAAAAGCATCTGTCTTGAGAATATTAGACCACCGTCAGAGGCTTTCACCAGCATGACAAATTTCCAAACGCGTGCTTTTTTGGAGGCCGGAGTCTTTCTCCATTTTCAGCATAAATATCCTATTTTTCGCTAGAGCTTCGCTAATGCTCGATGGGAGAAAATTGTCGTCAATATGGTCAACTTTGTGGAACTTCACAATCTCGATGATCTGGACTTAGGAGTATACTGGATCTCCGGGTATTCCTCATGCTCCTCAGAGCAAACTGTGTGGGGTGAACTACGATAGGTCTCTGAAGATGGGCCAATATACAATGCTGGCCGACAAATTCTTTTCCGTTGTCATACCACCTTCGTGATAGTCGGAAAGGCTGGGGTACGGACATGGCTAGCTACGTGGCTTTAGTTGTGATCAACGAAACATTTAAAACAAGGGGAATCACAAGCACATTTTTGACCAAGCCTTGTAATCGAATTTTCGTGTACAGCTGAACAGAGTGTATTGCTTACATGACTGTGATAGAAGTCAAGGATCGACTTCCTTGCGCTAGAAGCGATTTAAACTCACAGAATGACGATACACGGCCCGATACCCAACAATCAAGACGATGTGCCGGACGCGATACCATCTGAATTACAAAATATTCTGCCAGTCACAACCCTTCCGCCAAGACGTTATCATATGGATAAATCTACTAGAAACTTAGCTGATGTACCCTAGTAGACCCTAGTAAGTATCAAAGTAAGTGGATTGTATGCAATGCGTATCTCCTATCACGCGATTTGGAAGGCGGTATGGTATGTATATAACTACGCTAGGTCTGGGAGGGGGTCCGTGACCAAACGTTTCCGTAGTCACTGCACGGAGTATGTGCTGGAAAAGCGGCGTGGGTTGGCGAAGGCACAGATAAACAAACACATCTTTCTCGCACTGGGCCGCTGCTGTAGGGGAAATTTTCTTAACACTCGGAAACAGACTATGTAACGGTATTTAACCCCTATTTTATTACGACAGACAGGTTTATTTGGCAGTTTCTCGGCATTTGCCAGTTTATTCATCTCTGCCTCTTTGCAATATGGGTTTAAAACTATTTACGAGGACGCTCAATCTCTATAAACCAGTCATCCATTTAAATCAAGCCCGAAGGTGTGTTGCAAGCAGTCCAACTCCTGTTCATTTTCAATGACCGCGTCGCTCAGTGCCCTTTCCCTCCCTGCAGCCTCTTTCGCCCTTTCGGCAATTCCCCCCAGCGATGCAATTCTAAAACCACAGTTCATATTCTCAGTCTGGGTGGGGAGTCTGTGTCTGAAGCAACCGTGGATTCGTTCCACCACAAAGTCGGTGATTATGTGAAAGAGCACGATGTGCTGGCAGTTATTGAAACCGAAAAAGTCAGCATGGATGTGTATTGTCCTAAGTCAGGTGTTCTACAGCAGCTCTTTGTTAAAGAGGGTGATACTGTCACCGTCGGTCAAGCCATTGCTGAAATTACCGTTGAATTCGGGCCTGGGAATGCAAGGAATAAAAGCGCTTCGGGCGAAGAGTGAAGGATTTTTTGATAAGACTGAAAGCGTTCTTAGAGAGAGGTTTTTTTAACAAGCATGCTACGTCTTCTGAGGATGAGAAAATACAGCGAATTCCTTACTTTTGTTATTTTTTTTGACAATTGACCTGAATGCCGAAAATGGCTTTTAAGACTTTTTTTTCTCTTACCCTAAGTTGAGACACACCATCTGAGAATATCTTTCGATGAAGACTCGGGCATTGTACTGTATCAGCTTGACCTGTGTCCAAAAGATACAATATCAGTATACCTCCCTTGGTTTCGGACAGTCTGCCAAGCTGCTACTCAACGAGAGGTGACCAGCCAGTTCGTCTATATCTAGTCTTTTTGCTATATCTAGATTTATTGGCAAATACAAGATGATATGACCGAAACTCATATAGCTCATGCCAGTAGAAATCTCGTAGTTGAGGGTTCTGTTCTTCGGCTTTCTATTGGGCCCGGCGTAGGATAGAGCATGCTTGATACTTGATGACGATGGTAATATGTTGAACTCATCCTAGAGTAAGAGTGCCATTTCTTCAACACATAGGCCAAGCTTTTCAAAGTGACCACAGAGGGCGTTAAGTATGATAGGGGCAATACTTGGTTGTCGACCGATTGCGACTGGGGAAGATCCACTACCGAATACCCCCAAGTTCTTGCGTATATTAGTGACAGAGCGCTCACTACACTGTGCCACTTTGCCACTTGCGATGTAGTTATCTGTTATTGCTGTATATTATATGCACAATCATCTTACGCTGCCAGGAATCGATGTTTCTTGTAATTGTGTAAGCAGTTCCGGGTGACTGTAGGTGCTAGGTTAGGAGGGGCGAATGATGCCATCTATGGTCGGGGTCCCTGGGCCCAGAAGGGGGAAGGTTATTTTGGACATGTAACAGTACAAGACTATACAATTCTACACTTTCATCATTGTCACCATGAAACCCCGGGACAAGTTTTTAAATACGGAGGCAGCTATATAAGGTCTAGCGTGTTATGTGATCAGTGTTTGAAACAGTATCTTTCTGTTTCCCGACATGGAAGGCAATAACGGGCGACACTGTATCAGTTCTGCTGAGCTTGCAGAATCCTTTTAAATTATCGTCTCGAAGTCAAAACAGCCACCTAAGTCAACCTCCCCTTTTGACCAGCTTCTGTAGCACGCACCGCGCTGCCTTGTAGATCAGTTATCCGAAGGGCCGATACACTAGACGGGTTACAGAGAGTTGGCTACCATATCTTATAATATATCAACGTTTAGCTAAGACAGAGATTCCAGGCATATCAAACGCGAACTTTAGGAAAAAATTCAGTGACAGAAAGTTTTACATCATGGTCTCTTTCAGACACAAACATTCTAAAATTGCCAACAGATTTCCCAGTCCACCATCCATTCTGACTCGAGGATCTGCTTGGTAGTTGGACGATTCTCCGGTCTGAATGAGAGCATCGGCCGTAGCATGTCGAAGATAGCATCCCTCTCCCTTGTGTCAAACATCGGCATACCACTGTCTTGCCTGGGCTGTTGCACACTATCCTCAAATCGATCGTCCCAAGATCGGAAATATTCACGGTTTATCGGCTTGCCATCCTCCGAAAATTTATGTCGTCGAGCTTCCCATTTCCTCCACCACTCAGGTGGCAGAACGCCAAGAGTATCGACTTGCTCACAGGTCATGTCGTCCTCCGTCGCGAGAAATCCTTCGAACAATGGCCGCTGAGCGATAATGGACCATATGGTACAGGCGACAGTCCAAATGTCCGATGAAAATGACAAAGGCTTATTTGGTTCGAAACGAGCCTCGGGTGGACGGATAACCAGGGGGGTGCGAGATTCATGTTTCGGTTCTTTTGAGTACGAAAAGGCTTCACCAAAGTCTGAAAGCAAGATCCTGGATTCTGCAAGTGTAATTTTCTCAATTGGTTCCCCCAACCATACGGATGCAATGCCGTGGGATGGGACACCAGGAGGAAGCGGATTGCCATCTAGGTGAACCACTGGGTCAAGCTCCGGGGTTCCATACTTCTCATACAGTTGCTCGAGGGTAATCTGATCAAAATTGTGAGGAACTTTGAAAAGAATATTGCCTAGGTGCAGGTCTCCATGGACAATTCCTTGGGCATGTACATAGTCCACAACAAGGACGAGTTGCGCAGCCAATGACCGGGCCACATCAAGCTGGAATAAGCGGATCCATGAACCGTCCTTCACCTGGGAGAGGCTAGCCCTTGCTGGTGCGGTACGGTAGCAAGCATGATTTCCATTCGGGCCATGAATGGTGAAAGTGTCTAAGATCGAAGGGACCATCGTCTTTGCGGGATTGTGGACTGGAGAATTAAGAGTATGTCCGAAGGTGGATAGGATGTCCACTTCCTTTGGGTTTGAGTTTGCCGTGCAGACTTTCACTGCAACATATTTATTGGATTTTTCATCACGGGCCAGCCATGTAGTTGAATAGGAGCCATATCCCAGCTTATGGATAACTCGATATCGACTGTGAAAGTAATCTCCAATTTGTACCGGGTGATAGCCCCCTTGTCGATAGTTCTCAAGTCTTTCGACTCCCTCAAGGGGTTCGTATAGGACACGAGTGTCAAATTGGTCACGCTCCTCCATCGAGTTGAATGCGGTCATGGTGAACGCGCAACAGGATCGGTTGCGATGAAGTGGTGGTATGCGCCTTACGGACGGGAGAATCAACATGCGAGGAAACATAATTTGCGCGCAACGACCGATTGACTAATGACAAGAATTTACTCATTGCCGTAGCATGTGCACAGTTCACAGAAAAGAGGTCTCGGCGAAGGAGACGAAAATATCTATTCTCGGTCCTGTCGCCAGCACGAGGTGAGTGGTTATGACGAATCGCGGCGCAACACACACTCACCAGCGTTGATAAAGGTGTGGATAAAGCTAGGGTGGAGCGGTGTAAGAGAAATTCCGGGACAAAATTCGGAACTGCATATTTTCTAGTTGAATGAGTACATTCCCTCAAGTAAGACTTCTAACAGGAGATGTATTCTGCGCACTATGCGTCGCTCATGAATTGAACATTTTCGGTGTCACAATTACATGGCCTATATTATGTGTACACCGATGCTGAAGAAAATCTTTCCTACAAGTTTTCTCTCCTCATAGAGTATTCACGAGACTGATCTACGAATGGCCTCCAAGGAGTATGCAATTAGAGAATAAGCTTAGTGGCGCAGGGACAGGCAAAACGGTCACGCCAAGTGGAGCTCCGATCACGTCCGTCGGACCTCGACGAGCGCAGAGACCTTGATTATTCAAGAGGATCTGTGCCCTCCGGTATTATGACCTTCGGCGCACCCATAAAGCAAAACCCAAGGGACTCGCCATGTACCTTCTATATTGGTATTATATATAAAAGGTACATGTAGTAATTCTATCTAGGTATAACGACTGATAGAAAATATAAATATCACTGATCTAGTAGCAAAACTCTTCAAAAAAGGCCTTAATCCTTTTTTATCCTAGATCTGTAGCCTTTAAGATCTTAATTTATTATTAGAATATAGTAGTCCCTAGTAAATATACCCTAATATTCGATATAGAGTGTAGGTACCTTTTATATGTAACGCCTATACAAAAGGTACATGGCGAGTCTGGTGGAATTGGCGAGTCCCCTGGGGCACACCCATAGAGCAAAGCGATGTGGGGGCGTCGGAGGTGGTAGGACCGGAGGGCACAGATAATGTTCTTTGCACCGGTCGGGCACCGGTCGGGGGTTCGATCCATCTCGAAGAACCTTGCTTTCCACGTTGCATCCAGAGAAAAAGCCCGCGAGATCCGAAGTACCTTTCCCCGAAGATGCCCCTTGCTGCTATATGCTGGTCTATTGTGACCAGAGTAACCCCGCTCTCTGATGATTGGGGATGCCTCATTCAACTTCCATCTTACCCCATTCATTGTTAAGGACAAATGGATCTTCCCCCATCTTGGAGTCGAGCTCTGACTACTCACAAAGAACCTCGACCCCAAAGACCAAGATTCTGGCTGCCTAAGTGACACCCTCCTGGTCCGTACTCCACGGTCAATCGACCCATCCAGTCTATCCTCGGTCTAGCGGTGCCGATCTTTCCCCTCACTCAACGTCCAAGCTCGTTATCGGGGCAAATCAAGACCCCTGATTTTCTGCAAGCCTTGGTGGAGGCATGGCTGAGCCTCTCCCGGTTGTCTTGAATTGACGAGGCTTCCCCTCGTATAACGATGCAGCGATGCTACCTTCTCCGGAGCTCCTGCGGAGATGGCAGGATTCGTCCCCACGACAAATATCGGCAGTCTTTCTGACTGGCTTTCCAGCTCGATGACGATTTCTTGGCCATATCCGTTCGGTGGTTAGCCTTGAGAGGAAGCTGGTCAAAGACGATTGCCAGGGCACGGCTATGTCCGGCCTTGTTTGCGTAAATCCCGTTGGTCGATTGTTTGTAGACACGGCTGGGCGCGATTTACAGGCTGATCGGTTGATCTCCCCTCTTCCCAGAAGTTGTATTTAAAGTACGCGTGGAACCCCTGGATTCGTTTTTTTCTCTACTATCCAGGTTGAGTCTGAACTTCAACATCTGGACTGAACGTTGAGCCATCATGCGCGCCCACAGTCTACTGCAGTTGGCGCTGCCGCTCGCAGCAGCAGCAGCATCGGTGCCCCTCGGTACTGAGTTCGCTCGGCGCCAGCTTCCCAATGAGCCTACTGGCGTCAAGACCATCAAGACTGCCAATAATGTCACCATTCGGTACAAGGAACCCGGCAAGCACGGTGTGTGTGAAACGACACCAGGTGTGAAGTCGTATGCCGGCTATGTGGACTTGGCTCCGGATGCGCATACTTTCTTTTGGTTCTTCGAGGCACGCCACGACCCAGAGAATGCACCTATTACTTTGTGGTTGAACGGTGGCCCGGGAAGTGACTCATTGATTGGGTTGTTTGAAGGTATTTGATCAATAAACTTGTTCCGTTGTCCAAATCTAACTAGGTTATAATCTAGAATTGGGTCCCTGCCGTGTTAATGAGAAGAATGAGACCGAGATCAACCCTTACTCTTGGAACGAGGTCTCCAATATGCTTTTCATCTCCCAGCCTCTTGGTACCGGTATGGACAGTGTGATCTCACTCATAAAGGATCATCTCTAACGCTCTTTAGGTTTCTCATATGCCGAGAAAGAAGCTGGCTCTCTTAACCCCTTCACTGGCGTGTTTGAGGATGCATCCTTTGCGGGTGTACAAGGCCGCTACCCGGTTATTAACGCCACTTTGATCGGTATGCTGTCCTTTTATGCGGTGACTTTGGTAGTCATACTGACGAACTGGAAAGATACCACCAATCTTGCCGCTGAAGCAACCTGGGAAGTTCTGCAGGGATTCCTTGGCGGTCTACACAAGCTAGACCCAAAGATCAAGTCAAAAAGCTTCAACCTGTGGACTGAGAGTTATGGAGGGTGAGTTTCATCTAGACTTCTATTCCGTGATTGGCTGGAGATGCTAACGAAATGATAGTCACTATGGCCCCGCTGTGAGTAGAGCATCGTTATTTCAACTCACTTGTCAAATAGCTAACAATTCCAGTTTTTCGATCACTTCATGAAGGAGAACGACAAGATTGCCAACGGTACCACCAAGGGCGTTCAACTTGACTTCAACACCCTCGGAATTATAAACGGCATCATCGACGAATCTATTCAGGCTCCTTACTACCCCGAGTTTGCTCGCCATAATTCGTACGGCATTGAGGCGGTTAGTTGTCGTACCAAACAGAAATTTCCGTTCGGTTTCTGACATATTTTAGGTGAACGAGACTGTCTATAATTACATGAAGTTCGCCAACTCTATGCCCAACGGTTGCCAGGACCAGATCTCCTACTGCAAGACCACCAACCGAACCTCGCTGGCTGACCTGGCAATCTGTACCGAGGCCGCTAATATGTGTCGTGACAACGTCGGTATGGTTATCCTCCAGAAAACACCCCTTCAGCTGTTGTATTTTAACACTTCGTCACAGAGAGCCCGTACTACGTCTTCAGTGGCCGCGGCACGTACGATATCCGCCACCCATCCCAAGACCCCACCCCTCCCAGCTACTACATCAACTACCTCGCCAAAGACGAGGTCAAGAACGCTCTGGGAGTCGACCTCAACTACACTCAATCCAACGCCGATGTTTACTACGCCTTCCAGCAAACCGGTGACTTTGTCTGGCCTAACTTCATCGAAGACCTGGAAGATATTCTCACCCGACCAGTGCGCGTCGCTCTCATCTATGGCGATGCAGATTACATCTGTAACTGGTTCGGTGGCCAGGCAGTCTCGCTTGCAACCAATTACACGCATAGTAAAGAATTCCGCGCAGCGGGATATGCTCCTTTTACCGTGGATGGTGTGGAATATGGCGAGACTCGCGAGTATGGTAACTTCTCGTTCACCCGTGTTTACGAAGCTGGCCATGAAGTTCCGTACTACCAGCCCGTTGCCTCTCTGCAGCTTTTCAACCGTACGCTGAATGGTTGGGAATTGCCTACTGGGGAGAAGAAGCTTACCCCGGACTTTGGGTCGGATGGCCCCGCAACTGCAACGCACACTCAGTCATCGGTCGCTTTGCCAACCTCGACGTCCACGGCGGGTCGTTCCGTTGGCAGGAAGAACTTCTAATCTTGATGTGATTATGTGGTAATGTTAATCTGAACAAAGTTTGTAATATAACAGGAGGACTTCGAAGTGGCCACATTATATGTATGCTGATAGATTATCAATGAAAGGGACCAGGCACCGCATGTGCAAGGTCTACCATACCCCCGGCACTTTGACTATACAAAATATGTATACCGCGTAAAATTACACCTAGCAACTCTTGATTCTCTAGTCTTAATCTAGTATTCACCTTCTCGCAGCTTTTGATCACCAAGTATTATTAATCACACAGTCGAGTAACCTGAGCTGATCGATGAGTATACAGTCAGTATCAAGCTTCGGTTACAATGCAGAGGATTCACGTTTAGTTGTGCATGTGTCTCACATGCCATGGAGTACTTAAATTATCGGAAAATTATCATTGCGTCCGTACTTGACTCTCTGGTAAAGAAAAATGATGGCTCTTTGGTGTCTCTTGTCAATTATCCGAGGTCCTCGAGGTTCAACAATTGTTATCATGTAAAACAAACTGCTATAGCCAGACTATACCAAGACTGCGACGCACAACAGCCTAGGCAGTTGTATTATGTAGGTCATTCCTGATGTTTTCAGCATAAATCATGGGATGGTAAGGTATATCGCCTATCAGTCCGACGTCGGGCACCAGTCGTAATTGCCATCTGCGTTATTGCCCCACCAAGTCGGGAAGCTAACTGCAGAGCCTGCAGCTCCAAAGACGGCAAATGAGAGAATAAACAGCACCGTCAAGCTGGCGCCATCAAATGCGCCGGTGATGAGATATGAGTAGTCCTTGAAGATCTTGGGGTGCCAGTTTCGAAGGTAGTATTGCACGTAGAATCCGGCGATAACCCAGCTGTAGATCACGCAGGTTTGGGATTGGTTGTAGGGTAGGTAGCCCGCATATTGAATGAATTGGGGCATGTTGATTTCCGAGACGTCAAATTTGCCGATTTTCGGAACAAACTACATCAAAAGTCAGGATGAGGGGGCAGGCGGGGATAGTAAAATTGGTTGAGTTGGGCTCAAATACCTGGTAGAAAATTCGATGAGCCACCACAGCTCCGGCACCAATCAACAATCCAAGAGGAACAAGCTCGTACTGCCGACCGATTTTGTATAGATAAGAAGATAGGGCCCAGGATGTCGCATTCGTGTTGTATGCTTGCAAGGTCGCACCACTCCAGGCAGAGTTTCCATTGCCAGAGGTAAGAAGCTCTTTGTTGCCCGACACGATACTAATCATGACGGCATAATTTACAAAAGCGCCAAGGATAGTACCATACATCTGTGTCAGGAACATCACGCGGGGTGGGATTTTGACTAGGACAAGATGGATAAGTTTTCAGACAAGAAAAGTCGCGAGATTGGGTGGATTTGGGAAATACTCACGATATTCGCCCATCTTCAGATCATTACATAGGTTGACAACGTTCATGATCACATTGTGTGACCAAGCAGCAAAGTACATATTGCCAACAGGCCGTCCAGGAATCAGAAGGCCAGCCAACATTTTCGACAGACTGTTAGTAGCAATACCGTTACCGTAGCGGGAATACAGAATTGTACTCTAATATAAAAAGGGTTCAGTTAGCTTTGGTCAACGGATGTTAAAAAGGCCTTGGACAAACTTACAAATGGAGCGATGATTGTTCCAGCCACTAGTGCAACGACATAGGCCCATGCGGGCATACCAATGTCCTCTTTGAGAACCACGACAAGGCCAAGGAAGAAACTGACAACAAGCACAACCACGTACCACCACCACGGGGTCTCCTTGTAGTGCTTAGCCATATGTTCGTGGTGACGATCATCAAATCTGCCAGCTTTGGCGCTTTTGTACGCCCGCTTAATGTCTGATCCCCAGAAGAGAATACAGTGCACTATCAAAGCGCCAATCTGCGAAGAGAATTTTGTTATTAGGGGCTCATAATATCAAGATTCGTTATCACTTACTGCAGCGTTGGCCATAAACAAAGCGAATGCAAATGTCCCCGACAATCTTGGGATACCATACTTCTCCAGGGCAGACGTGTCAAGCACCCCACCAGGGAATACGCTTGTGATGGGATACTTCGTACCATTTTCCGTGAGCAGCTTGGTGGACATGAAAGGTAAGGACTGCGCATCCCAGCCATTCCCCCAGTAGATACCAGCCATAGCTATCAAGCAGACCGCAAAACCAGCAGCTTGATGAATCTGAAACTTGAGGGGAAGCGAAGTTTGGAAGGATGTGATCTTTGCGCCAGGGAGTCAGTTTGAGAGAGAGGCAGATAGAGAAATGGCCACACTTACATATTGCCAGTCGAAGCTGATAGAGAATAGACCCATGCCCTCATTATTGGTAGCTCCGCCGAAAATATTCGTTAGAGTCGTCGCTGTGCTACCAGTAGCCTTCTGGGCAGCTAGACACTTTAATTTGAAGAGATGTCAGTATAAAAAAAGCACATCGACATCGATTCGAAGATCACATACGGGGATTGAAACGGAATTCAGCCATGGGAAAATATAGGCAGGAATTGTCTCGTAGAGGGCCATGCCGCTGAAAGCATACCAGAAGTATCTCAGGGGCTTAGAATTCTTCACTTGTTGCCAATGCAGCCCCTGGAGGGTCTTGACAGTAGGCAGCGTACTCCAGTAGACGGCCTCGACGTGCCACACTGCAATGGGACGCATTAAGCCACAAAGGCCGTAGCCAAACAGGCCAATAGAGATAATAGTCAGGATCACCGTCGTAGCGCTCAACTTCATGTCATAGAATAGTTCCTGTGCCGCAAAAACCTCCGAAGTAGTGGCAGCATTAGAGGCAGAGGTAGCAGTAATGGCACAGATTGCATGCTCTTTTAAAGTCCATTGCCCTGGGTTGATGAACTCGATGACCGTAATATAAAATGGAAGTTTGCCTTGGCCCCCATTTTGTATCCAACGAGCCTTGAACTTGTCGCCGCGAGGAAGAAACTTCGCCCATGCATTTCCAACAAAGTATGAGATAAGAACAATGAAAGTTCCTTGAATAGTGATCGCGGTCGGTTTGAACTATTGACCACTGTCAGCTCAACGGTATAAGATGACAGTCGAGTAATTTCTTCATCGATTCAGAACAGTCATCTGGCATAGAACATACCATATAGATCTGGTACATCACAGCCTGGAAGCAGGCTAGCAGTGAGGCCAAAAGAATACTGCGAAATGTCACAGTCTGCTCAAAGTCATCCCGAAGTGGCAGAAGATGCTGAGCTGCGTCGGCACCGGTGACGATGACGACCTCGGCGCTGTCGCGATCGGTCTCGCCATTGATTTCATCCTTGGTGACATCAGATTTATCCTCTGAAGTTGAAATGACAGCAGTAGTCTTCTCATCGATCACATCTTGACTGGACACCTCAAGTCCCTCGGCTTTTGAAAGATTATCCGCCATTATTGGTGGGCTGCTTGAGCATTGGGCGGAGCAACGAGACGCTCGGAGAACTTATTCAGTCCTTGTTTCTCTCCCAGACTAAAGGGAGGGTTACGCAGAGGCCGTAAGTGTCTCTTTATATCATTGGACATTTTGCTTCCGAGTGGGACAAAGCCATCCGACCAATACAAAAAAACCCGTCGGACTGCGACGCGAATGACCGGGATCAAAGACGCCACCCTAGTCGTCTAGTTGATTCGCGGCGCTAATCTGAGCCTTGTGGCGACTGAATGCAATCTGCCGTGTGCTATAATACATAGTATTACACGAAACCTTTACAGTACAGAATTTTGATTATATCCATCGGGAGAGTTTGCCCCTGATGTTCGTGCAACAACAGTTGACGCCCATGTCGTGATCGTCTCCGCAAATGGCTCCCACATGACCTACAGAAAGCTTGGCTGAGGAACGGATCAAGAAGACCATTATAGTGGATTCTGACGCCATTTTCGTCCTCGTCACTTCTACAGCGTTCTTCCCTTTGCGTGAGCAACACAAAACCAAGGGATTACTCTACCTACTCCCATAGTTCCACTAGCCGTATCACTGACACTAGATCTACCTCTGCGGGAAGAGATATGAGCTTTATCTACTACATAAATTTAGGTGCTTTTGATCGTCAGCTTATCTTAGATCCATGCTCGCTACGTGGCTTCGCCAGTGTGGGTCATTAAGCAATTTTCACCGAGGCTTACATTGGAAGTCAATTCCTGGGTGACATTGCGAGACCCACTAAGAGCGCCAATCACATCCCCTGCCAATTAAACTTCTCACATTACAACGTTAAGCTTATCGTTAAGGCACGCGTAATGAACAGCTCGCGAACTAGTTTGCAGACTAATCCCGATTAGGCATGTACATAAGGTACAGTCTCGGTCTAATCGATACTGCGGTAGGCGAGTTCAACGCAGCCACTTAGAGAACTAGCGGCACTGGCGGCACGCTGAGCACACAATTCTTTCTTTCTCGCCACATCGATGTTTGCCTGAACTACCCCGCCTCCGATCGAAGACCTAAGGACTAAGGCTCATCACTGCCGAGTCTATCAAACGTTTTGAAACGATCATAAACCGGAATTTTCTCCGGACTGATAAGATGGGCCCACTATTCCGCGGTTCTATTCTCATCCGGCTCTAGCCCTTCGTTGGATGGAAGCTTCGATTTCTGGAGTAGAATATTCTATGTAAGCCTTATGCATTTTCGTAAAAAGGAAACATGATTGGTGTGATAAGCTAAACAAGGCGTGTCTCGTGAACTCAGTTTGCCTTCACATGGGTGAGAAAATATTTACTCGTGCTCGATATTGAGCTAGAGTGGGCCTATCCACAACGCAAACGGGGTAATCCGTACTTACATCTTAATTGAGTTTCTGTCGCCATTCAGGTGACAATACTACCGTGGGTGGAATGTTTATATTCTATATAAACCTCATAATGGTTAAAGTACGACTGCAAATGTTAAGATCTTAAATATGATAGAAGTTGGACTGTATGAATTCGCTAATACTTTCTCTTCTCGGGCGCAACAAAACAAGGAAGTAGGGGAAACCCCTCACTCAGCTAACTGGGAGAAGGAGAGGGGAAAAAATCCGTGGGCTAGGCCTATACACAAACACAGATCCTGGAACGACCAAGCGGGAAGCCGCGGAAAGGGAATTTTAGCACCTGTGGAGGAAAATCGCGTCACGTCTAAGTGTCGGAATTGTGCCTTGAAAGGGGTTTGAGACCGGTCGAGGGAGTATCTGCAACGCAAATTATCTGTTCAAAGTGAATTTCAATGATCGGGGCTTAAATACCTATTCCCAGGGTGCAAATAGTCCTTGCTACCACTGGATCCTGGAAGAAGTGGCTGTTAGATAGCAAGGAAACGCTATGCCGATACTGCCTAGTAGAAGGAAGCTTCCGGGAGTCTATCTAGGATCTCAATTGTACCCTATTCCATCTTCCATGCGTAGAGTCGCCCCGGGAAATACTAAGCAACAAGTACCGTGAGCCGGTTTTTTTAGAAGCAACTCCAGTCTTCCTTTTGTGGCTAACTCATTATTTCCAATCTTAGGGAAGCATAATAGTGAAGTGTTCCAGGCCATGGTCTATACAAGTCCCCCAACATGTTGTTCGGGTAATTCTCGGGAAATGCGTGGACTGCTCGGTTCGGGGTATAACCGACGTTCCGTAGATCTCAAAGTATTCTCATGCCACTGACCGCTGAAAAAGAGGGTGAGAATCATTCAGTCCAGAAACCAGATTATGACACTCCGGGATTATTTCCCACATTGGTCCCAGTAGTATTATTTCGCTTTCGGTTGGTCAAATCAAGAGTTATGTTGACACAAGTTATCAAGCATATCAATTGAAGCCCTTCTTAGGGAAGCGCGACACCCGAAGTGAAAATAAAAATTCAGCAAGATTCCCTCGCTTAGATTGGCCGATAGCAAGACGCGAGGCTCAGAGTTTATGTTTGCATTTGGTCAAGCGTATATCACATTTCACATGCAGAAAACCGTGAATGAAGGTAATTGGCTCTAATACCTGACTCTTCAATCGTCATATCACAATACAATTTGATGTATTGGTAGATTAGGTACAAAGACCTGGTTTCACAACTTATGCACTCTTCTATTCAGTGATCAAGACATAATTCAAGATCGTTCTCTGTAAATACCAGACTAGCGTTGACCCCGGACAAATTTACGTCATTACATCATTACAGCACGCGATAGAGTGGAGTATTCCATATTCGGGGATGCTACATTCCAGGTACTTATCCATGCCCACTTCCTACGAGTAGAAGACAAAAGATGTACCAGAGAGAGCTGTCAGAAGGATAACGAGTCGTACTTTGTTCACATCCGACGCTCAGGGCGCCGTCTGCGACCGGGCTGATCGTGTGTGGAAGGTCCTTGATATCACCAAGGGTTTCGCCAAAGTAAGAAAAATATCCGATAGAACTGCGACAAAGCCCCGATTCTAGTAGTCCAGAACAGCCTTGGTGCTCTATTCCATTTTTTTCAATACTCACTTCTGCCGTTGTGTACTCGTTCTGGCGGCTGTGGTCGAACTTGGCTACAAATGACATTTAAGACTTCCACATCCCTCATAGACAATAACCATGCATAGAGCCAGGTTCACTAACAGAATTATCTGATAGTAAACTTTAAAAGCAAATAAATCTCCGTTCTAAGCGTCGAAGTATACGCGTCAGTGGCGCTTATTCGATATTTAAGCTTTTTGCTTCGTTGCGGGCCCGCGGCTATCCCAGAAAATCAGTTATGTCGATCACGAGCTCTCTTCAGCACGCATTTCGCTACGGAATGTTTTTCTCTCGCATTGAATTGTTTCCCTATAGCCTGAATATTCCTCTGATGCCATATGAGTGCACCGAGAATGGAGCCTTCAAAAACTCATTCTTCGGAACTACTCAACTTTATAACTCCCCTGACGATTAATTCTGCACCACAAGACGCTCACCTGGACTCATTCACAAGAGGGAGCGATAGCTATGTTACTGTTTAAAGATCTACTAGCAGTCCCGATATATTCTGTGACCTGTCCTCTCGTGTTCCCGGTCTGCAGGACCTCTCCTCCGGAGCACGCGCTGCAACAAATGCCGAGCGCAAAATGACCTTCTGGAGAGCATGCCGTGTCTACCCCAAGGCAATGGCGTGGTCGGCGCTAGCATCGAGTACAATAATCATGGAAGGGTTTGATGTAACTCTTGTCAATAGCTTTCTCGCATCTCCAACTTTTCAACATTCCTTTGGTACCATAGTCAACCCCGTCACTGGTCACCAAATTTCGATTGCGTGGCAGTCCGGTCTATCTAATGCAGCGGTCGCCGGGGAGATTCTTGGATTGTTATTGAATGGCTATTGTACAGATCGATTTGGCTTTCATCACACTATTGTTGGAGCCCTGATCTGGCTATCATTATCTCTCTTTATTTTCTTCTTTTCTATCAACATTCAGATGTTGCTCGCCGCTCAAATACTTTGCGGAATATCTTGGGGGTAAGTGAAACATCTCAGCACTTATAATGATCTGCATTTCTGATATCAAAAAGCATCTTTCAGACGATGAGTACGGCGTATGCAGCAGAAGTATTGCCTGTCAACTTACGGCCTTATTTGACCTCGAATATCAATATGTGCTGGCTCCTTGGTCAGCTCTGTGGAGTTGGCGTTGTTTACGCTTTCCTTGACTCTCAGTCTGAATGGGCGTACCGTATCCCCTTCGGGCTCCAGTGGGCGTTTGTGATTCCAATCTTAGGGGGTATGGTGTTCGCTCCAGAAAGTCCATGTGAGTATTATCATTCAACTTGCCGGATGACTACCACTAACCATGGTGAGGGTGGCTGGTACGTCATGGTCGGTTCGACGAAGCGAAAGCATCCCTGCTTCGACTCATGTCACCAAGATCTGAGGATAACTTCAATGCTGATGATACTATGGCCATGATGCAACACACGAGTGAGGTAGGCAAATATCTCAATGGGTCTGGGTCGTCCTATCTCGATTGTTTTAAAGGAACTAGTCTTCGACGCACGGAAATTGCCTGCGCTGTTTGGATCACACAGTCTCTCTCAGGTTCGACTTTGACTGGTTATGCAGCATATTTCTTTGTGCAGGCCGGTCTACCTGTCAACCACTCTTTCCACATTGCGGTCGGCATGTACGGTGCGGGGATTTTCGGAGGTATCCTTTCCTGGGTATGGTTGCGTAGGTTTGGCCGACGTCAACTGTACTTAGCAGGGTTATCGATCTCACTCGTCATTTTACTAGTTGCGGGGGTTGTCAGTTTGATTGTTGAAAATAAGGCCGTCTCCTGGGCTCTTGGCTCCTTTGTTGTCGCCCTGACATTCTGCTACGATAACACAATTGGCCCGGTTTGTTATGTCCTTGTGGCTGAGATCCCCTCATCTCACCTCCGCATTCGAACTATTGTGTTAGCTCGGATCGCCTATAACATAAGCAGCATAATTGTCAATGTTCTGACACTCTATATGCTGAATCCCACATCCTGGGGCTGGAAAGGAAAAGGCTGTTTTTTGTTTGCTGGTACAACATTTTGCTGTTTGGCCTGGTCTTACTTCCGTCTCCCAGAACCCCGAGGTCTGACGTATTTGGAACTCGATATTCTGTTTGACAAGAAAGCCAGTGCACGGAAGTTTGGACAGCTTCAGAAGAAACTTGCCAGCTCGGGTTACTTCAGTTTAGCACCTATGGCTCGCCCAGAAAGTCTTTGGGGAGGATATTCTTAGTGTCCATTCACATAGCTGTATATAATTTCACATAGTGCCGCCTGTTTGATACAGTCCGCACCGAGTTTGAGCATCTTGGAAGGCCTTTGGGAACGCCATTAAAGATAGAGTGATACCATCAAACCGCTTCATAAGTTTCCAAATTCTCTTTACGTTCATGGTGAGCCAACGAGGGAAAAAGAAACACGGTATGTGTCCTCTAGCTTTATCTGGTTGTTCACCCCGTTTCTTGAGACTGTCAGCTATATTTACACGCTGGACTCGGCTCATTACAGTCAAGAGCATCTTAGCCCCTGTTGAAAAATTATAAATACGTATTGTGGATGTTATTGAAGCTAGAAGGTGTTCCGATCCATACTTTTGAATGATATAGAACTCCATTTACTCTTTCTTGCATGGGCGGGCGTCACTTAGAGCGCAGCAGTACAGGTGAATACGAAGTATGGAATATCACTTCCGGGCTGAAGCAGACCCAAAATGTCAGCTAGGGCCATTGACAATCTAGAATTGTTGATATCGATATTGATCTATATGACCCACTTTTCTGTAAGAAAACCCGCGCATCGTTGTTGATGGATCGTCTATATCTCTGTTCTTCAATAATAGTTTCTCCGACCGGAAAGCCTACAATAATGATACAAGGATTCAATATCGGACATTCTTTGGAGATACTATTTTCCTATAGTTTTCAATTGGATGAAGTCTAGCTCATTGTTATCATGCGTCTAGAGCTTCGGAATATCTCTGGAGAGATGTTCAATGACAGCTGCCAGAGTTTCCCCGATCATTCTCCGTCGACGTTAACGGAAGGTTTTTGTGGCAAGAGAACAACATTAACCCCACACCATTTTAGCTTTCATCGCACCCCAACCGCAAAACCTGGGGTCGTGAGCAAGGCTGGAGTCCGTTATCCCAATGAATTTTGCCTTCGATCACTTCGGTGCTAGGACTGCACACCCCCTCCCCCCGCGTTGACCTCCGCATCTATCATGATGAGGTATAAATAAAACCCATTGTCTGGCCCAGGTTGACACTCATCATCAAACACCACTTTTCACTGGTTTCCGGGTCGCTATCTTTCTTTCTTCTTCTTTTCTCCTCGAGATACTATCTCTTTCGCACCGCATGGAGATCAATATGGCCAACCGGGGTGAAGCAGGCGACGTTGACGTCGCGCATCTTCAGTCAGATGCTCGTGATGCGACTGAAACAGAGCGCAACATGAGCATCAAACAAGCGCTGAAGCTCTATCCAAAGGCTGTGGGTTGGTCGATTCTTCTGTCCACAGCAATCGTCATGGAAGGCTACGACGTTTCCTTACTTTCCAACTTCTACGCCCTTCCTCAGTTCAATCAGAAATACGGCGAGCTACAACCGGATGGTAGCTACGTTATCCCCGCCCCTTGGAAATCGGCTCTCTCGAACGCTGTGATCTGTGGAGAGGTTCTTGGTCTCTTCCTCACCGGTATTGTTCAAGATCGCTTCGGTTACCGCAAGACCATCCTCGGTGCTCTGTGCATGATTGTCTGTTTCATCTTCGTGGTGTTCTTTGCCCAGAATGTGCAGATGCTCCTGGCGGGCGAGATTCTCTGTGGAATTCCCTGGGGTGTCTTCCAAACATTGACGACCGCATACGCGTCCGAAGTTTGCCCTGTGGCCCTTCGAGCTTACCTGACCACCTATGTCAATTTCTGCTGGGTGATCGGAGGTTTCATTGCATCAGGTGTCCTCCGTGGAGTGTTGCAGCTTCCTAATAGCTGGGCTTATCGCATTCCTTTTGCTATTCAGTGGTTTTGGCCTATCCCGCTGATCATTGGATGCATCTTCGCCCCTGAGTCCCCATGGTGGTGTGTGCGACATGGACGAATCGATGAAGCCAAACGAAACCTCCTCCGCCTGACTAGCAGTTCAGACACCGATTTCGACGCTGATAAGGCAATCTCCATGATGCAGCACACCAATGAGCTGGAGAAGGAGGTCACTGCCGGCACCACTTACTTGGACTGTTTCAAAGGCGTCAACCTTCGCCGAACGGAAATTGTGTGCTTCGCATGGCTCATCCAGAATCTGTGTGGCTCGACCTTTATGGGCTATTCTACTGTTTTCTACCTTGCGGCTGGGCTTTCCGAATCAGCCTCGTTCGACATGTCTATGGTGCAATATGCGGTTGGGGCTATTGGGACTATTGGCTCTTGGTTCCTTATGGCCCGGTTCGGCCGACGTACCCTATACCTATATGGAGTTTTCTTACTCTTCTGCCTCCTCATGATCATTGGTTTCACTGCTCTCGCTCCACGAACCAACGTCGCAGCAAACTGGGCAATCGGCTCTATGCTTCTTCTCTTTGCTATAATCTACGATAGCAGTGTCGGCCCAGTTTGCTATTCACTTGTCTCGGAACTATCGTCCACTCGTCTTCGCGCTAAATCCATCGTCCTGGCTCGTAACCTGTACAACGTCGGCGGTATCGTGGTGAACGTCCTGACAAACTACCAATTGACCACTACCGCCTGGAATTGGGGTGCAAAGGCTGCATTCTTCTGGGCTGGATTATGCTTTTGCTGTATGGTATGGATATTTTTCCGCTTGCCGGAGCCCAAGGGCCGGACCTACGCTGAGCTGGATATCTTGTTCACGCAAGGCATTTCAGCTCGCAAGTTCAAGTCCACGGAGGTTGATTTGTTCTACCGTATGGGTCCGGCAATTGTTGAGCGCTCAGGTAGTGCCGATGAGGTTGAGAAGGCAGAAGTGGTATTGAAAGAGAACTGTTAGTTTGGATCTTGGTTATTTGAGATACAGACTTGATTTGATTGGTGTGCTCGTTTTCTCCGAATTTTGATTCAGTGCTTGAGGAGGGCCGCTATGGCCCGAATGAGCTACTCCATTGTTCTCGGTCGTCTTCCCACTGCCCGGATGCCGCTTCAATGAGAAGCTAGTCATGGGAAGTTTTTATATGTGTGGATTTGGGTATCAAGGTTTCTTGCATTTATTTAAATAGCTGGGCAAAAATCCAATATATTTTCATTGCACAAACTACGGACACAAAAAGCCCTCGATCCATGTCACCTCTCACAAACTCAAGTTCCATGATGATATATCCCAGGCTTAATCTCTAAGGAAAAATTCCTATATTTCGTAGCGAAATTCGTTCAATGTATTTACATACGTTTCTGAGTGTGTGCATTTCATCTAATCCCTTGCGAGTTGAAACATGCACGAAACTCAATAAATTGTACAAATTTTCATGTTGGACTACTTGGTAAAGTTGCTCATCAAAGTGACCATAGTTACAGAGTATTAGATAGCTACTAGATCTAGGAAGTGGAATATGGCAAATCATCTCCAAACCAGCTTGAATGGTCGAATAGGGAAGCTAAGTGTCTATCTAGATCGCAATTCCATCCCACAAATTCGCAAATTGCAACTCTGTCGAGCCTTTATGACTGGCCCGAAAACTTTCGACGTCTAAAGCTTCATCCTCTGCGAAGAACCGGATACCGAACGTTTTCTCAGCCGCGTAAAGTCGAGTGGAGATCACGGTGCGACCATTGACAAATACTTCGAGGACTGAGTTATCCCTCCAAGCCCGAATGTCCAAAGTTTCCGTATACTCTTCTCCACTTCGTTGGTTGATCATTGTGAACAAGGTGTGTGGTGCCACTTCAGGCGAGCTTTGAACCAACAGAGATGAATCAGGCCTAGAAAACGATGGTCGCAAAATTTTGAAAGTTTCGTTTTGCGGCTCGAATATCATTACTGTTGCGTTCTCATGGCCTGTTGCTATGATCAGTATTTGATATTAAAGATGAATTGCTGATCAATTCTTACCTCGTGAATGACCAATTGATACCCCGACCTGGGAGCAAGTTTTCGAGATATTGAATGAGCACTCAAGTTCCCAATGATTGCTCCACAGTTTTTCCGGTAAAAGTTCCGATTCCACACCCTTAGTACCCAGAGGCGATCTTCCCAGAGGAGAGAACCGTGCGCCTGGAGAGCTTCGGAGATGTTGAATCAAAGGGTTATAAGGTTGACAGGTAAGAGTTCGGATAGTGGATGTTCCATCACCCTCGGACTCGACCCTGACAGACGTGATAGAGGGCAAATCCGAGACCAAAGAGCTGACTACATTGTGCAAAGTCTGTAAAGTAAGCTCTCGGGGCATTGACAACATTCCACTCCACCCTTGCTGGTGGCGAAGGTCATCGCACAAGTCCTCTTCGGTGACCCAACCCCAAACAATGTGTTTCTGGCTTCGCGGATCAAAGAAGGAGTTGGCAGCATACAAGCAACCATGGTCAAGGTGGCCTCCAAAATCATATGAGATACTAGCAGAGCCAGTAGATTCGTTTTTCTGAAGGCTTCCAGACATCCAAAGCTGACCACGGCATTCGCGCGATGGGCCTATACTGTTCATGGACTCTTCGAGACCATCCTCATGACACCCTTCGGTCCCCATGATGAGAAAGTCATAGATAGAGTTGGAATCATTCTCATCATTTAACGAGAAGAAGTTTGTGACCTCCCAGTTCCTGCCCAGATCGCCAGACCACCTTGACGGACTGTAATTCAGACCAAAGTTTGCGAGAGGGCCAAGGTACATCCAGTTGCTCAAGTCTTTCGGGTCAATCTTGTAAAGAAAGCTGGTGGGCGTTTTGTCCCTGATTCCTCCCGAAATGATACCGAACATTGACTCCTTTGGGTCCAGTCCTAGGGTCTTGCTCATATTAGGCCAAGGAGCGCAGAACGGATCTCTCCAGCCAGTGACATCGAGACCGGAAGGTTCACCAGGCAGGATGGGGTTCTTGTGACTCTTGTGCCAAGTTCTGCCCTGGTCTGAAGATGTTGCAATACTCAAAGTCTCGCTACCTCTTTGATGAGGAATGGTGTAGTGGATTGGGAGGGCGCTGACTGAGGTATAGATGTAATTAAGAGTTCCATCTTGTGCTTTGAAAAAGCACCCAGTAAAGACACCCTTGGAGTCATAGACTTCGTCTGGTGAGAGAGCAGGTTGATCTTCTATTTCCCAAGAAATCAGGTCATGCGAGGTCGCAGTTCCCCAAGCAATGTCTCCCCAGTCCGGCCCGTTGGGGTTCCACTGAAAGGAGACATAGTACTTTCCAGTCGTGGCATCATATCCAGGTGCACATGGATCATTGATCCATCCTGATGGAGGCATGATGTGAAAAGATGGACGCCATCTCGTAGATGCTTGGCTAGGGCTCGTGGTCTCGGCCTTGAAGCCCTCGGGCGTAGTGACGCCAGTTGAGCCATAGGATGCTGGGCTATCCGAGGTTTCTCCGGAGCTTGATGTAATCGACATGTTTTAAATGACAATTGTAGAGATTAGATGTACATCTTGAAGGGCGAAAATGCAGTGTTTAAAAGCGCAACTGATCATAGTATCATGCTTATCAGAACGGCGATATACCGGGAAACTTTATCAAAGTGAGTTTCGCCGAGGTTTGCCCTGACAGCAACCTTGCCTCCTCCAAGTTTCTCTAGAGCTTCCTGATTCTCGCACAGATTTTTTATTTACGAAAGTTTTCGGTGGGTATTATCGTCTCAATCAAAGGTATTGTGGAAGCTTTTCATTGACAGCAGTTCCAAGGATTTACCCTAAAACTACCTAGATACGTATATCTTGCTCCTTGCTTTCCCCGTGGGCTTTCATATTCCATGTCAACATTAAAAACTTTGAAGAAGCTTTTACTTCCAACTAATTATATATGGTCCCGGTACCGATATCGATGCCTGCCTACATTGAAATCATCAAGACTGAACCCAAAGATACCGAGGGCGAGGAATTCGCGCAACCCAAAACTAGATGGAAGAGCATCTCTAACAAAGAGCATCACTCCCGCACGCTGGTTTTGTACTGGGACTTCAGTCCCAGAATTTCTCTGGTAATTATTTCGCCAACACCTACGAGACCTTTCGTTTCCAGTTGATTGGTCAAAACAACTCGTTCCAATTAATTGCTATCTCGTCGCTTCAAGTCTTGTTCACCTTCGTGCGGTCTGTCTTTCCGATAAGGTTCCACGTAGAAAGGGCCTCATTGGGGAGATGCCATGCTCATGTTTAGTCTGTTATCATTGCCCGTGGTACCCATGGCACCGAACACCAACATTTTAGTCAATATCGCTTCATACGGCTACCGTGGGCTACTATGGGTGGGCTGTAGCCCAGGAAACCGCCGCACAAGCTACACGCCATGAAATCAATTCTTTTTTTTCGTCTTGATTTGCCAATGGCTAACAGCACTTTTGCTGTCCTCCAGCTTCTCCTGTTTCATCAATCCAGATGAGCTCAAAAAGTGCTTTTTTGTCGTCTGGATTATTTTCTTAATTTTCTAGTCCTCTGGCTTCCGAGAGGTGTCATATAGTTTGGAGCTGAGAATCTTTTTCTCATCTAGCGTCACAAATTCTCTCTGTTTCCCCTCTCTCTCGGATTATTTGTGCAGAATTAATTGAGATTCTGAGACCACATGTACATAGATCAGACTCTGGAATATTCTCAAATGAGTTAGCCGATGGACTCAGAGTGGAACTTGTAAATAATAGCTGGTAAATAATAGTAATATAGGAATTCTATGAGAATCGCCGAAATATCAGCAATAGTATCAAATGTTATTTTCAGCCAAGTAACCATAAATCGCGCAAGTAGATCCATCGCAAATGTCTGCTCTTCCATCAGATGTTGCCATTACAGTGAGCGAAAGATAACGCCGGACATTATTCGGAAGACAATACTCTCCAGCTTGAGTCGTCATGTCGATCCTCGATAGCATGCAAGAATATCACATAGAGTTTCCATAATTATAGTTCGATGATGCACCATACACGCGGTTAGATCTCTTCGGACCTACCTCGGAGAAATCCGACAGACCACTGACCTCCCCAAGACTTTCGATCGCCACGGACCTCGCAGTCAGAGACCGCACCTTACTACAGATTTCTCCGAGTTGTCTCCATATTCCCCGTACCTCCTCTCTACCCCAGCTCAACGATTTCGGTATCTTGAGCAAGAACTGCGAAGAGCTCCGTGCGGTCACCATGCACCACATAAATTTGAGCTGTACCGTGACCATAGTATTACCTTCTTTGTGCAGACTCAGATCTCTTCTTCAGTGTCCTTTATAAATCCCCCATTGAAAATCATACAAAATACACTTTATCATGACTCCCCGACCCGTCGAGAAGACTTGGTGGAAAGAAGCCATCGTCTATCAAATCTACCCCGCCAGTTTCCTCGACAGCAATGGCGATGGACTCGGCGACATCCCCGGCATCATCAGCAAGGTCCCGTACATCAAGTCTTTGGGAGTAGACACAATCTGGCTTTCTCCAATCTTCGCCTCGCCTCAAAAGGACATGGGCTATGACGTCGCAGACTATCGCTCCATCCATGCACCCTACGGCACGGTCGAGGACGTTCAAGAGTTGATCGACCAGCTCCACGCACATGATATGCGCATTCTCATGGACTTGGTCGTGAATCACACCAGTGACCAACATGCTTGGTTCAAAGAGTCCCGCGGCTCAAAGTCAAACCCCAAGCGTGACTGGTATATCTGGCGCGACCCCAAGTACGATGGCCAGGGTAACCGCAAGGAACCCAATAACTGGAAGTCGCTCTTTGGGGGCAGTGCATGGGCCTTTGACGAGCTGACTGGTCAATACTATCTCGCTCTGTTCCTGCCCAGTCAGCCCGATCTCAACTGGGACAATGCAGAGATGCGCAAAGCCACCCACGACGACATGCGCTTCTGGCTCGATCGGGGCGTGGACGGTTTCCGTATCGACAGTATGAATTTGATGTCCAAGCACCCAGATCTACCGGATGGAAAGATTACCAGTGATGAGCCGTACCAATCTGGGGCGGAATACTTTGCTTCCGGTCCCAAGATGCATGACTACATTCGCGAGATCAGGACCGAGGTCTTTGATAAGTACGATGTGATGACAGTTGGTGAACTTGGCTTCACAAAGGACGAGAAATCTGTCAGCGAATACGTTGCCAAGGATCGTCGTGAACTGAATATGCTCTTCACCGGTGACATTGTGGATATGGATTTCGGACCAAACGCAAAATACGAGCGCGGTGATTTCCACCCGCGAAAGATCCGCAAAATTACCAATCTTTGGCAAACGGTGATGCCCAAATTTGACGGGTGGAACACCGTCTACCTAGACAACCATGATAGCGGCCGCTCGCTATCTCGATATGCCTCCGATGCCCCGGAGCACCGCTCGACTGCTGCAAAGATGCTGGCTACGTACCTGACAACGTTGAGCGGCACTCCCTTCATGCTCGCCGGCCAAGAGATCGGCATGGCGAATCTTGGCAAGGACTACGGGGTGGATGCATACATTGACGTAGAAGGCAAGAACTATTACAACGAAGTCTTGAAAGCTCGGGGTGGCAATGTTGGCAAGATGGACGATGTTCTCCGCGAGCTGCAACTGAAGTCCAGAGATCACGGACGTCTGCCAATGCAATGGGATCGCTCGCCCAACGCCGGCTTCACCGTGGCAAGCGCCAAGCCATGGATGACTATCAACAAGGATTATATCGAGTGGAACGTTGCCAGTCAGCTCGATGATCCTCGGAGTGTCATGGCATACTGGAAACAAATGATTGCGCTGCGGAAAAAATACTCCGATCTGTTCGTCTATGGATCTTATACCCCCTTGGAGGAATCTGAGACTGGTGAGATGGTTCTGGGATACGAGCGTAGTGGGAGGCAGACTGATCAGAAGGCTGTTGTATTGCTGAATTTCTCGGATCGGGTTCAGACTGTACCCGCGGAGAAGTATAAGGGTTTCGGAATTTTGGTTTCGAATCAGGAGGACATTGATTTGGCGAAGGGCCAAGTTGAGCTGCAACCATATGGTGCCGTGGTCCTCCTTAACGAGTAACTACTAGATCCGTCAGTCAGTGTCTATTCAAAGCTGTCAGAATTCTGTTTGTACATAGCTTCCTATGAATGGCGCTGGTTTCGTGTCTTCTATGACCTGAGATGTTCGCACAGTCTACTGTGCTCCCCACGATATGCCAGTAAATTCCTGTAGAGATTATTGACTCCATGGATAAAAATATTCTATTTCGCAATTATTGTCATTATCCTTCTCAAGAATCAAGAGCACACATTCTATTACGAAATACCATAATTTCGGGTACGTGCATGTGTACCGAGACGTACGCCACTAGTTCTATCCCATAAACCCAATCCTCGATCGCAAAGTAAAGAAAAAGGTGGAGAACTATACAGTACAAGCGCTGCCGGCAATTCATCGTATAAAATCAAAAGTCCAATCCGTGGAGTAATAGGAGGGGGGGATCACGCCGCGTAAAAATGCATGGAGCTATCTCGTCCATGAAATGCAAATAGAGAAAGGAAAACATCGAACGGAGAATCAAAGTATGAGGATGAGAAATGAAAAGTAAAGCGGGTGGTGTAACAATTGTGGTGATACATCCGGTCGGTGTCGCGACCAATCGTCCTCTATGCCCTGTTGCCGTTGACTTGCTCGACATGCGGCTTTTCAGGTGCCTCCTCCGTGTCACCGAGGACTTCGGCGGTGGTTTCATCTGAGAAGCGTAGGTCCTCTTCGACATTTGTGCTTTCCTTGACCTTGAAGAAAATCACGGGTGAGGCGATGCACATACTGCCTAGGAGAAGACCCCAGCAGGAGGCGAATTCGGTCATGAAGGGGGTTTTTTGGGCGTCCATACTGGCGGAGAGTTAGAAAAGGGACCAATAATTATTTTGGACGAGTCGAGAACTTACCGCCACATCCCTGCAGCACCGGCAGACTGGATACCTTTGTAGAAACCGGCAAAGTTGGCCAGTTTGCGTGCGTTGTTGGAGAGAGAGCCCATGTACCTGGATCAACATTGTTAGACAACATTGAGGTGCAACCATTGGGGTAGGTGCCACAAAGGCAGATCGGTCTACTCACCAGTAGGTGCAGGTCTGGAAAGCGGCATCGTAGAAACCATAGAACATATACAAGAACATAGGACCAATGTAGCCGCTGTCCGTGAAATCCGTATCGGCCTTGACAGTCTCACGAGTATACTGCTTCTGGAAGGCATAACCACCACCCCAGATACCCAGCGTAATAGCCATGAGGATACCAAAGTTGATCTTGGCACGGGTTGGACGTGAGAAGCACTTCATGTCCAGGAGTTGACCGAAAACAAAGGCACCGACCATCTGCATCAGCCAGTACAGGAGACTGTTCAGGGCGCGGGTGCGCACGGTGAAGTAGGCCAGGTTGACGGCGTTGAAGTGGTAGCCGTAGAACCAATTGCTAGCCAGGAACATGGGGAACATGAAGACGATGTACGAGTCACTCAGCAGAGTCTCCCAGAGACCCAGGAACTCGGACTTCCACGTTGGGTTTTTGATCACGATCACGCGCGAGCCGTCGTTACGCTTAATATACTTGGAATCGACAAGACCCCAGCACAGGATGAAACCCACGGCCATGAGGACCAAGAAGGCGATATAGGTGCCGTTGTTGACATTGCCTGCGGTAGTATGCATGTTCTGACCGAGAGGAACCTATATATCATCACGGATTAGTTGATTCGCGGCCTTCTCCAACTTGATCGTTCAATATCCGTATTAATTCGAGCTGACTCACCAAGCTACCAATGACACCACCCAGGTTGAAAATCACCCAGAAGATGGCAATATATTTACCCTTCTCGTGCTCATGGGGATAACTCATCATGACCGCACCCTGCGCACACCACAGCAGACCCGCACAGGCACCCAACAAGGCACCGGCGAAGATCAAAAAGCCCGCATTCTGGTTGATATTATACGAAAGCAGTGCCGCCGTATACAAGAAGTAACCGAATCCACCCAGAGACAGCGTAATCCGTAGACCAATGCGATTAGCAATCGAGCCGGCGAAGAATCCCACCACGGCAAAGGTACTGTACAGGGCCGTGTTGGCGTTGTTCACATCGGTCGGATTCACCTGGCCACCACCGCCGAGGCCAGACACGGCGTTGAACATGCCCGGGCAGAGGAAACACACGAAAGAAACGAGGTAGAGCTGCATATCGGGCGAGGCAAACCATGGTGCTTCCCATTTTCCAATTTTGAACATCGGCTTGTACATCCACGGCTTGCCGACCACGGCATGATCTTGACCCGGCTCGGGATCCTCCACATCGAAGGGGACGGGCTTCTCCCGTGGCGTCGACGAGTCCATGACTGGAGTCTGTGCCTGCGACAGCTCCGACTCGGGAGGAGTTGTCGCCATTGTTTATGTGGGAGAAGGGGAGGAAGAAGAGAAAGAAAAGTAGAAATTTGACAGAAGGGAAATCAACAGAGCTGATCGGGAGGGGGGATCGTGAAAATCAACAATGCCAATTGGGGGAAGGGGTAGGAATGTTGATGTTTCTGTTTTTGTTGGTTGGCCCTTTCCCACGTGAAAGCACTGCTCAATCCAAGATAAGTCCAATGAAGAATGAAGGGGAGAAAAAAAAGAAAAAATTAAGAGCGAGCCGGAATAGATTTATGAAGAATCGATCGCGCGGCTATTTGGGGGGCTCTTTTTTTTTAGACGAGGCTAAAAAAGAGAATGGAGACACAGTTCACACTAAGAGGAAAAAAAAAGGTATAGCCGAGCTAGTCTTATCTTGTCTCATCGATAGTCTCGAGTATCTCGATGAGACGCTGGAATCAACCGGGTCATACAAAATGGATCATACGAGCATTACGGAGGCGAGTGAATTATTAACAAGATTCATTTCCCCGGTTATCACTGGAGAAACAGGTGGATATCTCTTTCCTCGCTCCTTCTTCTTTTGCGCGTGTGGACAGACCGACAGTGCGGGGAGTAGAAAAGATGGAGACATCTGGAGAAACCGGAGGACTCATTGGAGGCGCATGGCCGAACCACGGCCCGAGGAGAGTGAATTGATTTCGTCTGGGGAATCTCACTGGTTCGATAATATGGAGAAACTCGGCGAGAGTAATCTGGGCAAGACTGGGCAGAACCAGGACTGGAGGATTGGAAAGAAGAGACCAAGGAAAAGGCCCAATGCGACCGCAACCAGAGTCGCATTCTGCCGGTTGCAACTCTCCGCATGCGGGGCTGTGGGCTGTCAGGTAAGGGCCGGTCCGGGTACGGGTAATATTACCATAAATTACACATACTACACCACTGCCGTAGTACTCCTGCGACTACCACACTACCCCATACTTCTGGCGCCACTGCCGCTGCACTGCTCCTGCTGGTTTCTGGTTCTACCACATCGGCATGCCGATGTCACCTCTACAGAGAACAATCCGTGGGTTACATCATTGTGCAGTTTGGGTCTTTATCTGCCTCTGACAACTACTTCTTTCCCTCTTTGATTCCCCTGGTGCCTGGAACCAGAGACATAACATCACAGATTCACTCTCGAACTTTCCGATTTTCCTGATTACTTGTGGGTTGTTTCTCATCTCCAGATCAACTCCTGGGACCTCGGCCTTGATCTACCCTCTCCCGTCCCTGCATCGCCATCTCGGCATTTGATATCTCTCTCTCCCACTCTCTCTTTCCCCACTCCACCTATCATCATGCCTGGCAAAACGACCTCGGCCAGCATGCCGCGCATCACCAAGTTCACCAACTGCCGCCTCGTGCGCGGCTCCAGTTTGATTGAACAGGATCTATGGATCGACTCTCTGACCGGCAAGATCCTCAAAGATCAAGAGGCTTTCTACGAGCTGCACCTGTCCCCCGATGAGATAATCGATCTGGGTGGCCGCATCTTGGCCCCGGGTCTAATCGATACTCAGCTTAACGGCGCACAGGGTTTCGATTTCTCCGTGCCCTGCGCGACCAAGAATGAGTACGACGAAGGTCTCCGTCTCGTCAACCAGGGCCTGGCACGTACCGGCGTGACCGCATACCTGCCTACGGTCGTGAGCTCTACACCCGAAGTGTACTGGCAGGTAAGACAAGCTTCAATACACTTAACCCCAAATTCCCAGTCCCAACCCTTTGTCCCCATTACGACTTAAAGCAATATGAGAAAGCATAAAACTAACGCATCACACCAGGTCCTCCCCTCTCTCGGCCCTACCGCCGCAACCCACCGTCCCCAAGACGGCGCCGAATCCCTCGGCGCCCACGTCGAAGGCCCCTTCATCAGCCCCGGCCGCAATGGCATCCACAAGCCCGAGGTTCTCCGCGCCGCTCAGACCTACGACGACCTCATCCACTGCTACGGTGCCTCAAACCTCACCCCACCCACCCCCCACACCTCCCCCATCAAAATGATCACCGCCGCCCCGGAAGTCGGCAACATGATGGCGCAGATTCCCCACATCACCGACTCGGGCATCATCTACTCGATCGGCCACTCGGACGCGACCTACGAACAGGCCGTGTCGGCAACGCACCAGGGCGCGCGAATGATTACGCATTTGTTCAACGCTATGCGTCCGTTTTACCACCGTAATCCCGGCGTCTTTGGCCTTTTGGGCCAATCGGAGCGCAGAAGGCCGTTTTACGGCGTTATTGCGGACGGGATTCATTTGCATCCTACGTCGATTAAGATTGCGTATAATGCGCATCCGGATGGACTGGTGCTTGTCACCGATGCCATGCGTCTGTGTGGCCTGCCCGATGGTGTTTATGAGTGGACGAACGGGGAGCGTATTGTGAAGACCGGTGCGCGATTGACGCTGGAGGGCTCGGATAAGATTGCCGGTTCGTCGGCGACTTTGATCGAGTGCGTGAACAATTTCCGCCGTTGGTCCGGGGCTAGTACCGCCGATGCGATCAATGCTGCTACCGCCGTCCCCGCGCGTATGTTGGGCTTGGAGAAGGTCAAGGGGTGTCTAGATGCCGGTGCTGATGCGGATTTGGTGGTGTTGGGAGAGTCGGATGATCCGTACTCGGGGCGGACACTGACCGTGGATCAGGTATGGAAGTTTGGCGTGAAGATTCACGATGCTGAGAAGGTGGCTGCCGTGGCGGTTTAACGAGGGGATTTTCTGCTTCTTCTTCTTCTGGGTTTTCCTTCCGCTTTTTTTCATGCAGCTATCACTTCTTCTACGTGCGTTCGGATATCTGCGATTTAGGGCCCGGCGTTTGGGTTCATTTGCATTTCGTGAAGCATAGAATCATACCTACTACATGCGCAAGCACATTTCACATCCCATAGAACTTTAGCTTGAACATCGATCTTCCAATCGAGATTTACGGTTGACGGCTAGAGCAAATAAATGCGTGTGTGTTTTTATTGTTATTATTTCTGTAATCAGGAATGATCGGCTCCCGGAGCACAAGCTGAGTTGGTCATGTGTTTGAGCCCATCCAAATTGCCAGTTAGGAGTTTTATAACCATTTTATTCAGACCTGTTGATATTCTATTGGTGAACCATTGATTGGAAGGCTACTAAGCAGAAGACCCATTTCGCAGTATTTCCGACTACCTAACTGGTTAACTACAGACTACGGTAGGTATGAAAGCATCGAGACAGCCAATCAAATCCCACGCCCTATACTGTGGCGGATGTAATCCTTCGAGTCTGGCGGCTGGGTCGACAATTTTTGCTTTGAAGAACTCGAGTCTACTGTATCTTCTTGTCAGCACGTTTCTGCTACGATATTGGCTTCCACTCCCGTGCTATAAATGTGATCATCTCTGCGGTCATGCCATGCAAAGCGCCCCCTGGTGGAGCCTCCAGACGTTATAAGCGACCCCGAACAGCATTTGGGGTGATTTTGGCCCCCACCAATTTCTTTGGGGGCTGGCTACCTTTACTCTATCGAAAAAAAGTACTGTATGTAGCCTTGTAGAAATCACACTAACAGTTCTCAATCCCGTTAGCTCACAAGCCATGAAACACTCGATAACGAACTACTGCAAGCTAGAACAACCAACGTGCAATAAGCCCCAGCTCAATTTCTGGGAGCCAGAACAATTAAAGTCCCCAGTTTCGCCCAGGCATACGTTGAATTGAATTATCCTTTTGATTTTACTCCATCCAGTATCTATATGGAGTCGAAAATTCATTATGACTACCCAGAACCAGGGCAGCAGCAGCCAAAATCAGGGCTCGGTAAGAGACCCGCCGGATGGTCTGCCACGTTTCTAGAGGGTATCTCACGATTGAATATTAACAAAGGCGGATCTGCGAACGATGGTTCCACAAATAGCGAGGGCCAAATTCGAGCTCATTTCCCATCGAAGTCTAACAGCAATACTCGAGACTCGGCTTTCAAGGGATCAACCACGGGGGATGAGACGAAGTCATTATTCGGCTCGCCATCTTCTGATGCATTGATCCGAGAGGCTATCGCAAAAGTCAAGCCCGCAAATCCCAAGCAATCAAGCACATTCAATTGGAAGGAATCGCTCCCTCCAGATTTTTTGTGGGCTTCTTCGACGTACCAAGCCCCAACTCGAACAAGGGTGACTAAAGCTTCCCCTCCCCGAGAAAATCTGCGCAGTATTCTAAGTAAAACGACTTCAATCGTGTAGGTACCACAGGATGTTGGGAATGGATCATCATCGAGTCCAGGATCACTGAAGAGTTGGTCATTCAACCCACCGAGCACGATCCCGTCTTATCCGCAATCGTCGTCGGACTCCAAGTCTGCACCTAGTGGAAAATCATTCGACTTTGAGGATGACGTCCTAGTCTCTGCATTCTCTGACATTCCAGAGCAACAGTATCCAAAGTCAATGTTTTTCTCCTCGACTTTTCAGATCAATTTTTCTCTTGCATTGCAACTGGCCAAGGATTCTGTGGCCCTTATGGAACAGCTTCTCATTCATCGAGAATCCTATACTGGGGACATAGATCCCACTCGGATAAATCACCAGATGACACAAGTCAAGAAGGCTGGCGAGTTGAACAACTTTTTCCACGCCGAAACAATCGCATTCCTGGGAAGCTCGGGAGAAGGTAAGAGACGTTTCATGTGCGTCATTTATTTCAGTGCAGAATTGACGGCATTCAGGAAAAAGCAGCGTGATCAACTCGCTCCTCGATTTCCCAAGACTTGCTACAGCGGTGAGCCACTCTTTGTGTTATACAATCTGGCATGAAGCATTCATTAATAGAAAGCTGTAGGGTGATTTCGGCTCAGCCTGTACTTCGATCGTCACTGAATATCGGCAGAAAAAATCCGGCCAATCGCAACGGATCAAAGTTGAAGTCGAGTACCTCTGTGGGCCAGCCTTGGAAGAACATATCAAAGAGCTGTTGTATAGCTTTCGCCGTAAGCTTCTACCAGATGTTGCAGAGGATTCACTGAGTGCGGCCGACTGGAACAGAATCAAGGAAGGGTCGAAAGAAGCTTGGTCTGCTCTGAAGTCTGTGTTTGAGAGCGAGAAAGAATTTAGCCCGAAATTCCTATCGGATAAATCCCAGGAAGCATTTGACAGAATAGCGAATCAGCTGGTCGATTGGGCAGAGAAAGTTTCATGGCCTACCGATGCGTGTGATGGGAAGTGGGTGGCCTATGCAGAATCCGCTGAGGAATTCTACGCCAAAACAAGTCTTTTCATGCAGGAAAGACTTTGGCCCTTGTCCAAGATCATGCGGTGAGTGTTTTGAAAATGAGGAAAAGGGAGCACGTCTTAAGGGCAAGTGACTGACCTGGCTCCAGAGTATACATTGATGCTCCAATTCTGAGAGTAGGACTAGTGCTTGCAGATTTACCTGGTGGGTGTTTGTCCACGCGGCTTTACCCTCCGCCACTGATCGGAAATTAGGCCTCCATGATACAAATCTCGCCAGGGTGAGAGCAACCCGGAAATATCTGTCAAGATGTGATCGTATCTTCCACGTCTGCGATATCCGTCGAGTGTTGACCAGCGAGCCTCTCGAGTCAAACTTGAGCAGCACAACTATTTGTGACGAAGCAGCGAGCGATAAAAATTCGCCTAAAAAGTGGTCTCGCACTGCCATTATTTGTACCATGTCTGATGTGTGTGATTTGGCCGTCAATAATTGGTTTCAAACTAACATCGAGGAAGCACATCGACCAGTACGGAGCCGAAAGAGACCTGCGTGACTTTGGTAGTGTGCACACCTTGGCGACACTTGGAAACATAGAGAATGAGATCCGCAAAGTGGATGGAAAGAAAGATCCACTTCTATTGACCAATCTCCAGTGGAAGTACATCGATCACCACATGTTCAAACAGACATTGAGCCATACTGACCTTCGATAGAAAAGAAATGCTTCTTATTGACGCTCGAAACAAACGCGTGAAGGATGCGCTAAAAAAGAAATATAAGGACAGCCCAGAACAGGACGACTTACATGTTTTCTGTGTATCGAACCGGCTCTACAGCAAGAGTTGCCGTCACAATTCAGACGCGGTAACCAATGAAGAGCACACCATAAGCGGTATTCCCGTTCTGCGAAAGTTTTGTTACTCTACGGTTGCAGACTTGAGGCTACGGGAAGCTAAAAGATTCATTCTTGTCACACTGCCGAGCTTTCTCAATTCGATCAAGCTGCACAGTCAGTCCTTGGAAAATGGGCCTACTTGTGGGACTGACATCATTTTGGAGCATATGGGCCGCGTTAAAAAAGAGGTATTCTCATTGATCCTCCGCTCTTTGTGCCTAATTTCTGATTTCCCTTCAAGATACTGCGTGTCCTTCAAGAAAGCTTGACTGACGTGCAAACATTGTTCAACGAAATGATAGAAGGATATACTAGTACGTCACCTCTCAGAAAACATACTCTCTCGGGATTTTGCTAATCAATTCTGAAGGGATCCATCACCACAAGTGGCAACTTGCAGCGACAAAGAAGGGACTGGAATGGCTTGAAGTAAGTAACGAGATTTCACCAGTGCCGTTCAACCATCTGATTGCTGATTGTGTCGCAGTGGCCGTGGGGTAAGAGAAATCTCTGTTTTATTCATTCTATTCGTTCGAAGCGTTCGAAGCAACAAATGCTTTCGCTGCTTGCTCTGTCTTTCCCTCGGAGAGGATGCACTCGGGCCCTATCTTCCAAGCTGACAGTACAAATTTCTAGCGGAATATCAAGCCTTTTGCCGGAATAACGGAGTACACTATTCTGATTATGATGAGCTCATTGACTGGAACAAGGAATTGATTGATGCAATGCAACTGGAGCTAAGCGGGCAGTGGACCAGCTTCGAAAGAAACCTCCCTAGTATCCAGCAACGCATGCATACGTCCATTGATTTTCACCTCCAGATATTAAAGTTCAGATTCAATAGTGAGTGGATGGCGCTTGAGAGGGAACAGAGGGAGCGATTTGGCTAATCTAGCATGCCCTAAAGTGGAGAATTTCCCGTCCTCGATGGTTGAGGGTATTGACCTCCACGCGCAAGTGAGCAGGCAACTCATTGAAGCCTTGTGGACGGATTTGAGAGTTGAATTGAGGTATACATGATCGAATTTGCTCGTGTATCCAGCTTCACAACTGATTCTCAATAGGGGCCTACGCGCGAGGACTCTGGGGTCTAATGAGGCTTCCTTCATATTACACGAAATGATGCCTGCATATCGTGCCGCCGCTTCATTTGAGGGTCAGTTCTATTGAGGGTATTCATCATCCATGCCTCCATTAACTAACAAGTTGTAATAGGTTCGAGTCAAGCCAAAATCAAGGCTCTTGAAAAGGTTCAAGACCGAATTGAGAACGGGAAAATTTTCCAAAACATCATTTCAACTTCGTCAAGCCAAATGAATGATACACTCAAAAAGGTCTTTGGCGAAATGGAAGCAATAATCAACGACCGCGTCATGACTTCTATCATGGGAGATACGTTTGCAGTCTATTCGACCGTTACCCTGGCGAAGAAGCCAATGGACGAATGTGACGGACGGATGTCAGAGGCAGCACTATCTTTGGAGGAGCTCCAACGGAAGTGTCGCAATCTAGATAGACGATCTACATGGATCTCCAGACAGATCGAAGGTTTCTAGGATCAACATAACGACAATGGAAACTACGACGGCCGGCCAAATACAAGTATCAAGACTCCGTCCTCTCGAAATCACCATCGGATGGCTCCTCCCTCTATTTGTCACGTTCGAATTCGGTTTTGAGATTGGTGTTTCAACCGCCAGATCTCAGATATTTCGAAGGGTTTTCAACATATCCTCGTCATACCTTTGATACAGTAAATAGCCAAAGTAATCTTGAAAATCTTACTTAACAAACTACAGTCGATTCAATTGGTCAAAATATGTCAACTTTATTGATTCATATAATAATAGCGCATACTTTCAAACTCGCACATCGTATCATCCCGTTGATATATATATATGTGAATATGTTCCAAAAGATCCAAAACACCGGGTCCGTCTAGCGGAGTCCAATAGACCGGGAGGAAGTGTCTTCCAAAAGACGCGGTAAGACTCCCGGTCTGCGTATCCCCCATATCCTCGCGGAACTCTGCGCCGCTTACTCGCTCATATGCTAAACACAAAACAGAACAGAAAAACGAAACTTTTCACGCGGAATAGATGGTCTGGGTCAATCCAGGATCCCAATGCCCGGCATGAAGAAGACCTCCCCCTACCTCAAGTCCCCCGAATAGAGGAGACTTACAGACGGGGCTGCGAGCGGGCCCAGCCAGCCTCCTGGGCGATCAGCTCCGCGGCACGCTCACCGATAGCCAGAACGGTGAGCATGGGGTTGATCGTGGGCATATCGGGGAAGACACCGGCATCTGCAATGCGAACACCCTTCAGACCACGGATCTTCAGGGTGGGGTCCACGACGGCCATGGGGTCGCGAGACACATCACCCATCTTGGTGGTACCGGCCGGGTGGTACACGGTGTGCGCCACACGGCGGCCGTACTCGGACAGCTCCTCGTCGGTCTGGCAGGCGGGGCCGGGGGCAACTTCCCGCTTGATCCACTCCTTGAAGGGCGACTGCTCGGCGATCTTACGGGCCGCCTTGAGACCGTAGACAATGGTGGCGGCATCGTATCCCTCGGGATCGGTGAAGTAGCGGAAGTCCAGCGCGGGCTTTACCGAGGGGTCGGAGGAGGTGAGGTAGAGACGACCGCGGGAGCGGGGGCGGGGAATGTTGGGGGTCATGCAGAAGGCGTTGATGGGCTCGTCGTAGCCCAGGCGGGCGGTGTTGAGGGTGAAGGGGATTTGGTAGCAGTGCATCATGATGTCGGCGGCCCGGCCGTCGAAACCAGCTGCGTTGGCGTCCTCGCGACGCAGGAAGATACCGGCGTCGGAGTCCATGGTGGTCTGGTTGGGGGGAACGGGGTAGTTGAGCTCCCACATGATGATACTCTCCGGGTGGTCGAGGAGGTTCTCACCGACACCGGGGATGTCCTTGATGACGGGGATACCCAGAGCAGAGAGCTGCTCCTTGGGGCCCAGACCGGACAGCATCATCAGACGAGGGGTGTCGACGGCACCGGCGCACAGGACGGTCTCTTTCTTGGCGCGAAGAGTGCGCTTGGCACCAGACTGCAGGGTCACGTTGACACCGGTGACGGAGTCACCCTCGACATTGATCTTGGAAACCCAGGCGTTGGTGAGGATAGTCAGGTTGGGGCGCTTCTCATCGCCACGCAGAATTGGGTGAATATACGCAACGGAGGCACTGCTGCGACGACCATCATCCGGGTTGTAGGAGACGTTGAAGAAGCCGACACCCTCGGTCAGCTCACCGTTCCTGCGGATGTCTGCGTTGAAGTTGTCAATGATAGGAATGTTCATGGCGTCGGAGCAGGCCTGGACCCAATCCTTGCACAGCTGGTTGCGGTGACGAGCGTGCACGGGCTGGAAAGTGTTGCGCAGGCCATCAATCATGCGGGTGAAGGTCTCAAAGTCCCAGCCCTTGCAGCCCTTGGCGACCCAGTTCTGGCAATCATACTCGAAGGGGCGGAACGAGATCAGAGTGTTGTGACTGGAGCAGCCGCCCAGGACCTTGGCGCGGGAGTGACGGATGAAGCTGTTGCCTATAGATGGGAGGGTTAGCACCATTTTCTTGCGAAGGGGGGTTCTCGGTCTGCAGGAGACGTACCGTTTGGCTGCTCGGTAGTAGGGTAGTCGTAATCCAGCTCGCCGCCGAGGAGGCTCAGCCACTCCTTCAAGTTGAGGACACGGTCATCGGTGAAATCGCTGGGACCGCCCTCAATGACGAGTGTGCGCTTGTTAGGGAGATACTGGGCCAGACGGGCGGCAATGACACAGCCAGCGGTACCACCGCCGACGACGATATAGTCATAGCTGTCCACGTCGACGGCAGGAAGGTCGTTGGTAGTCGCCATGCTGGATAGTTGGAGAGGATGAGGGGAAAGAGGGGGTAAGTTGAGGAAGGGGGAAAGAGGAGAAGTTGGGGGAGACCGCCACTTGGTTTTAAACGATCGGATGAAATGGGATTTGGGAATTTTTGGTTGGGGCCAAAGACTGGGAAGTAAGCGGGTATGGTCTGATGTTCAGATCGGATTATGCGGATGATCCAATGGTTCCAATCTCTCCGGATTGTCCTCTACGTAGTACCTTGATTTGGTTTGCTTTTTTGCCGTTTTTTTTTTTTTTTTTTTCAGAATTTTTCCGCCCCGGCCGAATCGGCGGCTGTGAGTGGTGGCGATCGAGGGAAGAAGTGGATCCCTCTTAGATAAAACACGAGGCCGCCGAGTGCAGGATCTACAAGGCTACATGGTCTCGTGGGTTGAGATAGGACAAGAAAGAGGCATGATAGGATAAGATAGATTAGTTCAAGGATGCTCAAGGATACAATATCCTAAATAGAATAGCCGTCGAAAAGAGGGGGAAAATTGGCGTAGATAAGCCAGTCTCATGACTGACAGTGTAGCAAGGCCGTTCAATTTCCATCTCATGTTGATATGGAAACGTCTCAGGCCTCCTTGAAGCGTCCCACCATAAGCCTCAAACCGAAGACCCCTACGTCACCAGTTCCCCGCTTGTCGCATTGTTCAGCCCGGGTCCACGATACTCTTCTTAGTCGTCATTTCCCGTTACCCCCCCCCCCCCCCTAAGCCCTAAGGAAAGGGGGGTTGGAGGGGCTAAGTGACTATCGTACTGTACGTCCGCGTTTGGTCTATCTCCATCTTAAGCCCTTGCAGAAGTACGGAAATTGCTACCACGAGATCACCGGCGAATCCCAGTGGCTGCCTGCCGTCCCTTTTTTACCGCCACCTGCTCATCGATCCCAAATTTCCCACAAAAAAAAAAGAGACGCTAATGCACGGCGGCAATGCTAATCCCAATCGGTGCAAGTCGCCGCGCTGCGTCCCACTCAAGCCGCCGCGCTTTGCCGGCGCAACTCCGAAGTCAAAGGCGGTGTGTCATGCAGAACTGCGGAGGAATGGGCCGCACCATCGATAAAGAGATACTGTCGAAACGAAAACTTGTCCAAACTCTCTTCGCTCTGTTTGGTTTGGGCCTGTGAACTTTTGTCAAGATAACAGCTCATCCTTGTTCCCGCCATGTCCCTCCCCTTCCCGACCCGTCAGCTTTACTACGACGGCCAGGTGCGCGCCGCTTCGTCCGGCAAGACCTTCCAAACCGTCAACCCCGCCACTGCAACCCCGTTGGCCGACATCCAGGTCGCCTCCAACTCGGATATTGACGCTGCGATTGCGGCTGCAGAGCGTGCCTTCCAGGTCTGGTCAAAAACGACCTATATTGCTCGCGCCCGTATCTTGCAGAAGGCTGCTGCTTTGTTGCGCGAGCGCAATGATGAGATTGCTCGTGTAGAGACTCTAGACTCGGGCAAGGCCTTTACGGAGACGAGTACCGTGGACGTTGTGACAGGTGCCGATGTGCTGGAGTACTATGCCAACTTTATCGGTGGTGGTGGTTTGAACGGCGAGACGACACAGCTGCGTGAGGATGCCTGGGTGTATACCAAGAAGGCACCCTTGGGTGTCTGCGCCGGCATTGGTGCTTGGAACTATCCTATTCAGATGTAAGTCTGTCTCTGCATCACCGATCAAAGGATCGGCGCCGTGATCAACTCTGATACTAACTCTTACCCCCTCTCTAGTGCCCTTTGGAAATCCGCTGCTTGCTTGGCCGCCGGTAACACCATGGTCTACAAGCCTAGCGAGTTCACCCCTCTCCACGGCGAGACCCTCGCCCAGATCTATACCGAAGCCGGCGTACCTGCTGGTGTCTTCAACGTGGTCAACGGAGCCGGCGATGTCGGTGCTTACCTGACCGCCCACCCTATGATCGCCAAGGTCTCCTTCACCGGCCAGGTAGCAACCGGTATGAAGGTCGCCGGTGCCGCCAGTGGCAAGATGAAGTACGTGACCATGGAACTGGGCGGCAAGAGCCCTTTGATCGTGTGCCCGGACGCCGACCTCGAGAGCGCCGTCGACGGCGCCATGATGGCCAACTTCTACAGCACCGGCCAGGTCTGCACGAACGGTACCCGCGTGTTCGTGCCCCGGTCCTTGAAGGCCGCTTTTGAGAAGCGTCTGCTCGAGAAAATCGCCTTTGTGCGGGCAGGCCCACTCTTCGATAAACAGACCAACTTCGGCCCCCTCAGCTCGGAGATCCACTATAACAAGGTTGTCGAATATATCCGCCACGGTATCGAAAGTGATCGCGCAACCCTACTGGCCGGTGGTCCCGGGAAGCCCGACGTCCCCCAGGACCTTCAGGCCGGATACTGGGTGAAGCCAACCGTCTTCACCAACTGCAATGACGACATGCGCATCGTCAAGGAAGAGATCTTCGGCCCCGTCATGTCTATTTTGTCTTACGATACCGTCGAGGAAGCCGTGCGCCGCGCCAATGCCACGGAGATGGGTCTGGCGGCGGGTGTTTTCACAAAGGACCTTAACCAGGCCCACAAGGTGATCGACCAACTGCAGGCCGGTATCACCTGGGTCAACACCTGGGGTGAGAGCCCCGCCGAGATGGCTGTCGGTGGCTGGAAGAAGAGCGGTCTGGGCGTCGAGAATGGCCACAAGGGTATTGAGGCTTGGCTGCAGAATAAGAGCACCCTTGTTGATATGAGTGGGGCCGTGGCCACGGTCTTTGCCAAGCTTTAGGGAAGAGAGTGTTTCTCTACTTGGTTCTGTTTCTAATATATACGACGTGATGTGCGCAAATCGGGGGGTTCAGGTCATTTCCGGATAGATCGAATGCGTTTTTAAAAGCTTTGGTTGCGCTTGGTATGAAGCATGCAATATTATACGACATCTTCGCCCTTTCAAAGCGAATTGAATAAATAGTATACTGGACGTTTCTGATACTTGATGATTGTAACAGATGTAACATAGATTGGTTCCTCTTTGTGACACCTAGGTAATCATCATGAATGATAAATAGTCGCGCGCTTATTTCCCACACGGCTCCTCTACCGTACAAACGTCATAGTGACTTAGATGCTGAAATGCTAAAATGCTGAAACTCCATGAATTGATGGATCTCGGGAATCAGAAAATATCAATGAAATATGAAACCATGCAGCCATGACGAAACCCTAGTTAAAATAGCAGATAGAAAATAAAAACCCCCAGATCCCAGTTCTCCGAAGCAACTATGAAAAAATAAAGAAAACGAGATCGCACCACGCAATTCACGATTCCGGAAAGACGCAATCTGCCATGCTTATCTTTACAGAGTCGTCATGCGAGCGCCCATGCGATCAAAAATCAAATCGTTCTTCAACGCACCGTCCAACCCACCAATGGCCGAGTCCACCATCCGCGAAGACATGCTGTCAGGTGTCAACTCATCCTCATCCATAGCCCGGTGCAACTCGGTATTGATGCGCAAATCCTTGGGCACCTTGACAGGCGTACGGTCCGGCGTAGCCAAATGCGAAGAGGTTTTCTTCACAGGCAATGGCGCAGGCACGTACGTACGAGGTCGGTACACCAGTGGGGGACCCTGAGTACGCGCATCGGTTCCGGCTTGCTCAATAGACTCAAAGTACCGCACGGTCTTAACCTTCAATTCCAGCGTCGCGTCGCGATCGCAGACAATTAGCGGATGCGGGTGCAATTGCAGCGCGGATAGAGTCCACATGTGATTCACGCCGTCTTCGAGACCCTTTTGCACAGCAAAGGCCTTGTGTGCGCCCGTCGCGACGATGACAACTTCGCGCGCGTCCATGATCGTCTGGATACCGACAGTCATGGCCATGCGCGGCACTTTGTTCACGTCGTTGTCGAAGAAGCGTGAGTTGGCAATGATGGTATCGTAGGCAAGCGTCTTGACGCGGGTGCGGCTGGCTAGTGATGAACCGGGCTCGTTGAATGCAATGTGTCCATCTGGTCCGACGCCGCCGAGGAAGAGCTCGATTCCGCCGTAGCGGGCAATGCGAGCGTCGAAGGCGGCGCATTCGGCGGCGAGGTCGGGTGCTTCGCCGTCCAGGATGTTGATGTTTTGGGGTGGGATGTCGACATGAGAGAAGAAGTGCTTGTACATGAAGCTGTGGTAGGATTCGGGGTGGTCGCGGGGCAGACCGACGTACTCATCCTGTTGGAAGATTGAATCAGAAATATGGACCTGGGTTTGGAGTTGGTGAGGTATTTGGGTGGAAATTTACCATGTTGAAGGTCACGACATTCTTGAACGAGATCTCGCCGGCGCGGTGGCGCTGGACGAGGATCTTGTAGATGATCTCCGGGCTGCTCCCGGTAGGCAGGCCCAGGACAAAGGGCTGAGTCTCGGTTGGCTTGAAAGCTTTGATGCGACCTAGAAGTGAGGGCGCCGTTAGTGCTGTCGCAAATGTATATATGGAAGAGGAGCGCATGACTTACTGACAATGTACTCGGCGATGTACACCGAGACCGCCTGAGGGTCTTCACGAATGATGACACGCCTAGAGAAAAGCAGCAAAGCTTTGGTCAGTTTTTTTTTTCCCTCAAGATCGTGAGGCAGAGAAAGTGGTTGATGCATACATCGTGGTTACGTCAGCGGGACGTGTAGATCGAGATATCAGTAGGGCTGATGAAGCGACGCAAGGGGAGGAGGAGAGAGAGAGAGAGAGTTTGGAAGGTTGAGAAGGGGAAGAAGTGTGAAGGTGAAGAGGCAAATGCAGAATGCAGAAAAGATAAGAGAGCTGGAAAAAAGTGAAAAGAGTAGAGGCAAAGATCAAAAGGAGGGCCCATGGGATTGGTTACGTCGAGGTGCAATGTACGACAGTGACAAAAGAGATCTACCGTGTCGTGGTGGTAGTGGGCCTCTCTCTCTCTTCCGCTCGACGAGAGGTTCTGGCTGCGTCCGTTACGTCGACGATTACTGCGGATCGGTTCCTCCGCAAATGTATCGTCGCATGCGCCATGTGGGAAATGGACCCCCACTGATAATGGCCATTGTAAAAAGGAACTGACCGTTGACGTCGAAGCCCCGAGAATGGGAGTCCACGAGTCAATGCCTCAGCGTGTGATTCGTGGGGACCCTTTCGTTTATCGCCTTCCGGGAGATCATGTCGCATATATCATAGGTCTACTATAGAGTCATCATGATATCTATCTCATGGATATGGGATCTCCCACATGCGATAACGGTTTATCACGGTAATCTATAAAGCAGAATGCATACACGTCTGAACGGACGACTCTTCTTCCTATTCCCAATCGGCATAACTACTTGGCTATCTACTTTGCTGCCCTACGATAGCGATGAGAATTCCCAGGTTGAGTTGTCTATTACGCCACACAACGTTCCGACAGACGCGGGTGGGGTGGAGTGGATCCAAAGTGAAGGTTCCATCGCCCAGAAGAAAGTTGCATCCGGTGAAGTCGGCAAACGACAGAACGAGTGAAAACCGGGGAGTGTAACCCTGTAGCGTCGTATCCGAACCGTATAGTACCATACCTGGTAATTTATACACACACGTGACTCTAGCTCCAACTGCGAATTTATTATGGTGACTTAAATGATCACATCTCAAGGCCGAGTCCCCTTTTATATTATTAATGGGTTATAACGGGATTCCGGGTTAAGCCGTCGCTGGCCTTGTCTATATCGAAGTTACTTGGGACTGAGGGGAATCTGATTCACAAACTACCAAGTAAGGCAAAGGATCAACAGGCACGAGGAAATCAGAGATGCACTAGTAATGGAATATCTCCAACATTATACTTTATGATATATAGGCTACAGTACTCCGTACATGAACAGTAAACTTATACTTTCTTGTCTTTAATTCTTAGCATTTATTAAGCTATTATTCCTGATATACTCTTGACTGTGTAGTAGACTGCGCCCGTGACCCCTTCAGTAGAGTCTAGTTTCCCGCCAAAGGCGGAGAGCAAAACAGCCGGGGCCAACCTTCTTATCGCGCCTGTCACAAGTCCCCGATTGCGGCTCTGGAGCTTCCCTCCCTTCCCTTCCCCGTGCGCGCCCACTGCTGATTTGCTTATTTCCCTGCAACACTTCTCGTCTCGGAAACTGCTGTCACCTGACTGCGACCTCGGAGTGTCATCCTCGGGGACCTCGACCTCAACCTTCGAAGAGTCGTTGAACCCGGTTGCAGGTTACAGCTCAGCTCCTACCACCATCTGCCCAACCCCCCAACCCACACCTCACCTCACACCACACCTCACACCACACCCCCCGTCTTGCATCTACCACCCTCCCCCAAACAAAGCTCTATCCACTCTCATCCACTCCTCCCCCACGACGTCCAAGCTTTCGGGATCACTGCTGGCATTCCTCATCCCCCAGGGCCATGGCCCCGAAAGAGGACATGCTGCCCCCGGGCTGGGATGATCTAGACAGGTATGTTGATCACCTTCTTCCGGAGCTTTTCTGCACTTTTGCGCTGTACCATCCACCGCCCATGCCCACCTCATTCTCATGGCCCTGTGGAACCCCAGCACGCCTGACGGGCCATTCAAACGATTTCCTCTTCGGGATGTTTCTCAACACCTGAATCGAATGCGACAACGTGCAGGATCATGCTAACTAGCCATGTGGCAATCCCAGGCAAATGGGCCAGCTCTTTATGATGGGCTTTGATGGTACCTCAGTGAGCCCTCAGATCCGCTCTCTCATCGAAGACTACCACTTGGGCTCTGTCCTGCTGTCTGCTAAGAATTTGAAATGTATCGCTTTTCTCTTCTCTTTTTTTTTATTGTTTTTTCACCCACCTCCGACTCTACTTCCTGCGCTTGATGAACAACCCAATCAAGAGAGCACGAAGGGACGAGAGAGGGAGAACCCATCCCTAAGCTAGACCCGTTGACTGATCTTGTGCACCTACAGCTGCCGAGGAGGCCACCCGACTGGTCCTCGAATTGCAGACCATTGCTCGAGATGCTGGTCATCTAGTGCCCCTGCTTATTGTACTCGACCAAGAGAATGGCGGCGTAAACAGTTTATACGATGAGATATACATTCGCCAATTCCCCAGTGCCATGGGCATCGCCGCGACGGGGTCGAAAGCGTTGGCGCATGAGGTTGCAGTGGCAACTGCTCAGGAACTAAAGGCAGTCGGTGTCAATTGGATTCTCGGTCCCGTTCTGGATGTATTAACGAACGTACGGAATCAACCCTTGGGTGTGCGCACCTCTGGTGATGATCCGCAGGAAGTGTCGCAGTACGGAGTACAGTTCATGAAGGGCTATCAAGAAGCAGGGCTTGCGACCTGCGGCAAACATTTCCCTTCGTATGGAAACCTCGAATTTCTTGGATCGCACACCGACGTACCCATCATCACCGAATCGCTTGAACAATTAAGTCTCACCGCGCTGGTCCCTTTTCGTAATGCCATCATGCAGGGCCTGGATGCCATGATGGTTGGTGGCGTGTCCATGTCATCAGCTGGCATGAATGTCATGCACGCCTGTCTCAGTGACCAGGTGGTGGACGAGCTTCTCCGAAAGGACTTGAAGTTTCAGGGCGTCGTGGTATCGGAGTGTTTGGAGATGGAGGCCCTCACCCACAACATTGGTGTTGGCGGTGGGACAGTCATGGCGAAGAATGCTGGTTGCGATGTCATCCTGCTGTGTCGGTCATTCCCCGTGCAGCAAGAGGCAATCAACGGATTAAAGTTGGGCGTGGAAAACGGCATTATTGGTCGACCTCGAATCGAGCAATCGCTACGTCGCGTCTTGAATTTGAAGGCGCGATGCACGTCCTGGGAACAGGCGCTGAACCCGCCGGGTCTTCCTTCACTCACACAAATGCAGCCATCACATACTAACCTCTCCACGCGTGCCTACAATAGCTCGATCACCGTGATGCGCGACAAGAATAATTTGCTGCCTCTTTCCAATATGATCGATGCAAGCGAGGAGCTCTTGCTTTTGACACCCTTGGTCAAGCCTCTGGCTGCTTCGGCAGTGTCCTTATCCGCAAACGATACCACTCACGGACCTACCATGGATCAAACGGCGATCGAACGCTCTGCTTCCGTTATGAGCGGCGAAAGTGTTTTTAAAGAACTAGGGCGGTCTCTCTCACGGCAAAGGAGCGGCCGTGTTCTTCATACTTCGTATACACACAATGGCGTCCGGCCTATCCACGAGGACCTCATCGAACGAGCCAGCGCAGTTATCGTGGTTACGGCCGACGCCAATCGGAACTTATACCAGCAGGCTTTTGCCAAGCATGTCTCTTTGATATGCCAGAATCAGTTTTCCGCCACGGGCGAGCGCTGCGAGAAACCCCTGATTGTGGTCGCAGTCAGCTCTCCATACGACTTTGCGATGGATTCTTCGATCGGTACCTATGTGTGCACCTATGATTTCACAGAGACCGCGCTCCAGGCCCTAGTCAAGGTGCTTTATGGTGACTTGGCACCCTCGGGAAGCTTACCCGGTTCAATTAGCCGGAGTCAGAAAATCCATCAATCGCGCCAGCACTGGCTCGTAGAGAATTGGAACGAGGAGCGGGATGCTAACGGTCTAGATGCGCTACTCGACGCTGTTCGGGATGACTGTGCACAAGGGCAGCGCTCCGAGCTCCTTGGTGCTACCTCCAGCAGCTTTCTCCTGCGCAAGGAAGATATCGACGAGGCGCACTTTGTGGTTCGCAATAGCAGTACACAGGCCCTCTACGGTTTTTGTGCGACTTACTTCTTTCGATCCACCGGCACGGGCGTCATAGGATGTTTGATCGTTGACCCGTCACGTCGCAAGCTGTCCATCGGGCACTCGCTCCACAGCCGTGCTATTCGTAACCTGCTTCAACGGAAAGGTATGAAGCGATTCCAGCTCGGTTCCAGGCTACCTGGTATCTATCTCGGAATCCCTACTGCCAGTCATGTTGAGCGCAAGCGACTGCGACAGTGGTTTGCCAATTTGGGCTGGAATACATCGCTCTCACGCCCCGTCTGCAGTGTAATCCTGCGCAATCTTTCTACCTGGACGCCGCCCGACGGCCTCACCGTGACGCTGCAGAATGCCGATGTTATCTACGACCTCGTCTACGGGTGGGACTATGCCCGTGCTATTCTTGACCACATCAAGACCAACGCCCGGCAGGGTGTTGCCGACATTTATCGGATTGCTCTGGGGGGCGCACCCAATTGCGGTATCATCCGCGCCAAGCGGTCTACCGACGATATGATTCTCGGTAGTATCGTTGTCTACAATGAGCGATCTGCGTTGGCAGAACATATGCCCGCTCTGCGTGCTACTCAGACTACTGTCGGGGGTATCTCCTCGCCGGTCATCTCGCCCGTTGCGGATGATTACTCCACCGTTATGCAGGGGTTGATTCTGCTGGCTATCAAGCAGATTCGCAAACTGAATGCCAATGCGGTGGTGATGGACTGTGTATGTTGAAGTGTCCTTTTTCTTTTTCCTCTTCATGAAAGCCTTGCTAACGTTTGCATACTACTTTCTAGGTTGACGGTGACGGCAACTTTGACTGTCTGTCTTCGATGGGGTTCAGCATGCTGCACAACTTCGAGGAGGTCAACTGCGATGCAGCCACCTGGACGATGATGCATCCGCCATAGGGCGGGCACTGGCTCGCGACTCTTTCTTTCTTTGACTTTTCAACCTCTTTTCTTCTTGGCCCGTGAGATTTGTGTACTTGTTTGATTCTCACCGTCTTTTTTTTTCGCATTTATGATATCCATCTGGCATTTGTTGGTTACGGGTTATTGGTTTTATTGGCTTACGGGGTTCGTTATATAAGGCCTCCCCTGGGGGCAACTGAGGGAACCATGGGGGGGCTGAGGATCGCGAGGCCTGCGATGTTCGCAGGATGCAGGTACCTAGGGCGCCTCGACTGGAGGCACTGATTGGACTGGCTTTGGGATTAGGACTTTTTTTTTTCTTTTTTTGTATTCCCTCTTGGCCTTTTTCCCAGGCTTCCTTCTGCCCCTCGTGCATATGTGCATAGTATTATCAGATTTCCACGGGGCCACCCTTAGGGGGCGGTTCTCCAGCAGGGTGGGTAGGACAACGCGCCCCGTTCTATACGGCGTCATCCAGACCAATCTTACATCATTTTTTTTCCCCTCTTGGGCGTGAACCCACCCATCAAAGGACATGTCGATCAACGGGAGATCCGCATGTTTCGATGTTTTTTTTCTTTTCTTTTTTCTTTTTTCATCGGGTTTTCTTTGTTCGCTGTTGTTATTTCTCTTGGCGGCCTTTGGGTTTTTGATTTCCCAGTTTGGATGAGACAGCCGAGGCTCTCCCAAATTCCAATCGCCGCTTGATGTCCACTCGCCCCTCGAGGCAGGAGGGGGCAATTGAGCAGATTATGCCTCAAACGAAGTGGAGTCGTGGAGATAGATGGGCTCTCGCGACAGGCACCAGGCTAACGGCGTTCGCTTACTGGCCCGGACTTCCGTTGGCCCAAGAAAGCGAAAGCCAGCTCCAGCGCCTGTAGAGACTGGGGACGGGCATCAATCTACGATTCTACCGGTTTGGGAGTTTCTGGCTCGAGAGGATTCGAGTTTACTCATACAGGGTACAAAAGGGACCTCGTACTTTGTCGATGACTTTGCATGATTATGATGATCACTTACTCAGTACGGACTGCTCCGTATCGCCTCTTATCATCACATTCCCAGCCAACTCTGTCAAGGCGCATCCGTTGTGGCAATAGACTAATCCCCCCATGCTGGCGCAATCTGATCGGTTAGGATCCAGGAGACGCCCGATTCCCGTTACAGAATCATCGGTAATCAACCGTGTCCGGTTGGCGCTGGTTCGGACTCCGCTTGGCGCCGGAGGCGATGGGAAGGAAAAAGCTAAGAATCCACCTCGAAGGTTTTCCATCCGAGGGAGTCGGGATCGCAAGAGCTCGGGTCGTGAGCTGTTAGAAAACTCAATGCCTCTGCTAGTTGCGGGGACTTGGATCACGGAATTTTTTCTGGGTAGATTATCGTTTTGAATGTGGGGAATAAGAAGTGTTTTTAGAATGGGATTTGGTTGGTAGGAGGTATAATATATCTTGAGCTCTTCTCGATGGTACATTTCTATTTCCGCGAGATGATTAGTATATTACGGTCTGCAGAATGGACAACGTATCGATTTACTATGAAGTCGACGTTGAAACATGCTGGGAGTTTTGACTTGTTCTATTTCTTTCTCACGGAGCGCATAGAAAAGCTTCCCAGCGCTAAGACATCGGGCGTCGGGGCCACAGTTCCATCCGTGGGTCAGGACTCGGTGGGCTCGACTTGGCTGGAACCATCGAAGCTCAGATCACGGCACGAAGCGCCTTTTTTTTTACTTCCTTTTAATTACCGGCTTAAGGCGGGGAATCAATCTATTTAGTTGAGTTTTGAGAGGGAAATCCAAATCCCACGGTCGCACAAGATGTATAACCACCTTTCCTTTTTCAAGTAATTTCGCTTGCGATTACAGTAGGTGAGTCGAGGTTTAGTTTCTGATTTTCCATGTTCGACCCCCTGACGAGAGACGTTTCTGTTTTTGCATTCAATGTCATCATGGTGATCCGGTTAGAAACCCAGGATAATTCCTGAATCCCGGAGAAGCTAATGCGAGAATATTAAACCGGGGGGCTCGTTCGCCAGCCTGTTGGAAGTGGACCCTAATTAACTATCCTAGTCCCCTTTTAACCAAGTTTTCTCCACTACTGCGGATGAGCTGCAGTGGCTCACCCGACGAGCAGAGTCGAGAGCACAGGGATGATGCTTGGCCGTTCATGGACACGGTACTGTACTCTCCTCCCTCTTTGGGGTTCGATCCACATACCTTATCTTTGGATCTGGGTCTCGTTGATCCCCGCTCTGGGAAAATGAAATTGGCCCCGGATATGCTTCTCGCTGGATAATACATAATGGAAATGAAAGTGAAGGATGGTGGGGGAAGGAAAGAAAATAAAAAAAAAAAAGAGGGCAGCCGTAGGTCAGATTCCATTCTCTGGTAGGGAGGGGGGCCTGGATAAGTTAGGGGGGGGGGGGGTTCAAAGTCGATTTCTTTCTCCAGTCGCGCTCACACGGCTTTAACCCTTTTTCGGTTTCGGATCGTCCCCTTTCCCATCCTAAAAGCGTCTAGATCGATCGGATCTCAGTTCCCTCGGTGATCACCGGTTTCGGTGACAGCCTCATGCGGAGGGTTTTAAGTCGGGAAGTATGTACGGAGTACATCGTACGGGTGTCGGGGCGTAGTCGTTTCATGGAGAAAATCAAGGTTTAGCCGAGACCGCTTGTTGAAACAACAAAAAAAACATAGTGTGAGCTCAGACTCCGGTCTAGTATGGACAAGAAGACGGTGCTCTTAGAATTCTTGATTCGCTGGGGGCAGTCGGCACCAGTGAAAGCACTGGCCAACTGGCCAGCTACGAGGGAACGAGGGAAGCTGGACAACGAGCAGGTAGTTGACGGGGGCAGAACAAACTCAGCTGGAACCGTGGGAGAACCGTGGAAAGCATCAGGGATCTACCAATCAAAAGAGGGGGCTCGACTCGGGGCCGTGCAGAGAAGAAGCTGACAAGGTTTGGATTCAGCGGAGGAAAGTCGAATCGGGTAAATGCACGGGAGATTGGAGGGAGGCAAGCTAGCAGATCGTCATGGATCATGGGCGCAGGTGTGCAGGCATGCAGATGTGCAGATATGCAGATGCAGAGAGAGATGTACTAATGTATAATGTATACGAAGCATATACAGTGAAAACTATAGTGAAAGAGTATAGACTTTGACGAGTCGTATCTGTACCAGTTTCCTCGACGAAACGTAGGCAGGATGCATTCTTCCTTTCTAGAAGGGGCGGGCGTTCCGGACTGGCTTGAAATTGGGCTTCACATGGAAGCTTCTCTGGCTTCTCCGCCACACCCGTCATCCTTTTTTTTTACTGCTTGTCCTCAGCCCAACGACGAGACATGAAGCAACTTTGCAACATCATAGGCCACCGGGCCCTGGCCACATTTGCTCGGCAGGTTCCACGGGCGTCGTGCTGCGAATGAGACTGGCCAACGCCCATTCTCTTTTGCCCTCTTTTTTGCCCTCTGGGTAGCCTCTTGTATGACCGGAATGACCTGAATGCATCACCCGCCCACGGCGAACCTGCAGAAGGTCAGGACGCCGGTCTTGACTGGTTCCACCAAGGCGTCCTCTTCGCTCTTATTCTCGGTGTGAGAACCGTCCGTTTCTGTATTCACGCCCCCACGAGGCAAACTTGCCAGTTTGAATTCTGTTCCAGAGAATCAGAGTTTATGGGGATCACTCGGCGTTCCGCGTTGGAAATGCGGGAGACAAGTACATACTGTACTCCGTACTGACCCACGATGGAGTCCAAAGGACCTTTTTGCACCAAATGCAGCCTCCTCGTCTTTTCGGTGCCCACAATTTCCCCTCGATTTAGTTCTTGCTTAACCCGTCTTCCAAGTCCGGCACTAACCCTCGAAAAGGTTTACGGTGCTCGCTAAGAACAGCGCTCGGTTCCTGAACTCCGACTGCGGATGGGTCGAGGGAAAGTGGGTTGCCCGTTCGCAGTGGGCCGAGAGCCACTCTCGTTGGTCCATGTCGGGGACTCCTGATCATCGAATCGAAGCTCTGGCTTCGAATCGCAGTCGTGCACTTCCAACAATCCTTGCACGGTCCCCCCCCTCTTTTTGCTTCGCTCTCGTGTCCTGCTTTGAACGACCCTGGCCCTGCTCCTGGTGCAAAAACCCGCTTTCATTGATTGGACCTTGGCTGGGATCCACTCCCCGTTTTCTAATTTTCCCCTCTTCTATTCTGCATATTATTTTATTTTGATTCTTGTTTTTTTTTTTTTCCCTTTCCCAGCACGATGGCGCTGCATGTCAGACGGGTCCCATGTTGATCATCGATTCCTTTCTAGGATGGGGCGCGTTGGCCCGTCGCCTATGCCCTTTTTCGGTGGAACTGGCTTTGCTGGCTGTCCTTTTTGGTCCTCTGACTGGTTAATTGTACCTCTGTCTAGATTGCTGCTGATGAAGTCTTTAGTTCCCACCCCCCCCCTTCTCTGGTCTTTCTCCATCCGGTGCACAGCGATCATCCGTAGCGAAGGTATCCTGGCCGTTGTCCGTGGGTCAATCCTGGGGGACGGGACTACGGAGTCTCCGTATAGGACGTCTTCTTCAGTACCTTTGTATATGAATCCATTCCTTCCGTAGAAATGACTCTCCATGCTAGTTAATGGTTAAAAATTATAGTAAGTGACTTTATAATGAACTTCCCTCCCCTGTGGAAATCCTGGAATGGGGGTACCACGCATGAGGTACTCTAATTTGCCTCCTCTCGTCATTCAATCCTCGTACTTTTGTTATTTCTCTCTCCCCTTTTGACTCTTCTCTCTCCTCGGGATTCTCGGAGAACCGTCTCTTCTGGGGGTTTTTGAGATTTCTACCTTTTTTTACCTTTCGCTCTCTCTCCTCCACTGAAATTCTATTTTCTCTTCTCCGACCGTGGCGCTTTCAGGGGAGAGGGCTTGTTTTAGCCCCGAAGCAGCCGGGCCTCAATAGGCAGGTGGGTTATTGGGTTTTCTAGTTCCTCGACTGCATGATCTTCAGGGTCTTCAAGACGGAGAGAAAACCGCGACGGTTGCCGAGAGCCGGTGATCGCCCATCTGTCTGACCTTCGTGTTGAAGAAGAGGGGAGAGGAGTAGGGTAATAGGGTGGGGGGAGGAGGAGGGGATGAAGAGGGTGGCCTGTTTTCTACATGAGTTGGAAGATTGGGGGGGGGGGAGGGAGAGGGAGTGACCTAATCAAGAAAATGATCATTTAAATTCATTTAATTCGTTATCATCGTGAATAATATATATCTTATGATCCTGCATTAGCATTAGCCATTGATAGGCATCACAATCGAGTGGACCGTCTTCGTCTGGTTTACCCACTTCCACAGTTTGGCCCAGTGTGGGAGGTAATCCCGTGACCGTTCTAATCCAGTGGGTGCCATATACTACGGGCTAAAGTTACCGTAAAGTATGTACCTCCTCTGTATTCTATACAAACGATTGTCCCTCCGCAAAAAAACGGCTCCACTTTTCCCCGAATCCGTCGGCGCATCCGTACCGCATTCCATCACGCTGCTCTCTCTCTCTGCTCTCAACTCCCTCTCTCTCTCTTCTCCTCTCTCACTGGTCTACTTTCCACGACTTTCCAACCTTTCCTCTCTTCTTCCCCTCCTCTCCTCCCTTTCCCTACACGCCCACGCCTCTCGTTCTAATTCACCTTGTGACCTCTTACCTCTTCTCTACCCTCCTCTGTGTCTCTTCCTCTTCCTCCTCCTCCTCCTCTTCTTCCTCTGTCTGCTTCCTGCCCCTCTTAATCCGCAAAATACCCCCTCTATATCGCGCGCCGTGTCCTACCTTAATCCCTCGCCATGGAGGGCTTCGACACCATGGCTATGCCACCTTATCTGGCCAGCCCGCTTTCTCTCGGCAATCTCCAGGGCACCGACTATCTCAATGCTATGCCAGGCTTGGATCTCCCTGACCACCGCTCCAACTTTGATTCCGAGACCTTTGTCAGGTAGGTGATCATTTGTTCGGTCTCACCTTTGTTCACAACCCACCCGCCGAGCTTGTTTTTTTTTTTTTTCTACTATAGCCTTATTTAAGAGTGATGTCCCTCGAGAAACTAATCCTAAATCCCGCAATAACAGCGACGACCTGGCATTCACTCAAAATAGCCTATCACACTCATTAAAGCGCTTCCCATCCGGATATGACGACCCCTTCACAGATATGGTCGCTCCTTTCGACCCAGTACCTCCAGAGCAGCAGCAGGACTCGTCAATCGACCACAACAACAAGCTATTGAGCTTCTCCATCCCCGTCTACCACTTTACCTTGCTCGACTACTCCATGCGCCGGGCCTCTCTCTCGGTCTCCGCCCAGCTACATGGCATGTTCTTCTTGGCCGAGTCTCCGTACACCACTTCTCCGTCCGAGAATGCCCCGCCCCAACAAGGTGCTGAATTGACGTGTTATCGGCGTAATCTCTTCCAAATTACCGGCTCGGTCACCCTGCCCCGAGGCATGCGCTATATCATGACGGATCAGGGCGATCGGATTCCCATTCTGGCCCAAGAACTGACCGTCTCCGCGACGGAGTCGGTCGAAGGAAACCCCGTAAAGATCATTTCCGTTCCCTGGAAGACTCCCTCCGCTGCCGCTGCCAACTCAGGTACCGCTCTCGAGGAAAGCAACCCAAGTGGTGCAGCTAAGGTGGAGAAGGAACCCCCGCCAATCCCACTTGATATCATGGCCGGCCAGGACCTGGACACCGACTATGCCACCTTCCCAATCGCTTGGAAGCGTTTGCAGTTCCGCGTCGCGACTGCTAATAACGGACGCCGTAAGGAACTGCAGCAACATTTTGTCGTACGGCTCAAGGTGGTTGCGACGTTATCCACGGGAGCCAAGATCCCCATCTCCGAGGTGCAATCAGGACCCGTCATCGTTCGTGGCCGCAGTCCACGCAACTTCCAGTCTCGCAAGGATCTCCCCCTGAGCGGCAGTGCCGCCGCATCTCGCAAGAATCAGGCCAACTCGGCGGCTGCGCTCAACCGCACCCCTACTAGCGAGTCCTTGCCCCGTCGCGCCAGCGTAACCCCGGCAAAGAACAAGGCACCCTCTGGCACGGTCCAGAGTAGCTCCCCCGAAACGACCTCCGTCCCGCCTCCATCCATGATGCAACAATCACATGCCACGACCGATTGGACACCTATTCCTCAATCTAGCTCCAATGCCGTCATGTCCCACGGTCATCACCAGCCTCTCTTCCCTCACTCCAGCCCAGAGCAACTCTCCCAGGCGGCCGATCCGCAGCGCCGCGTTAGTGGTACGACGGCTGCAGCAGCGGCGCCGATTAATCTGTCTCTGCTGGATGAAGACGATGGAAGCCACGACAACGGTCTTCACCTCGACCAGAAGATCATGCAATCCTATGCCAACGAGATACCCCAACAACGGTCGATAAGCATGGATCATTCCGCTCAGCCTCCGGCCAAGATGCGCAAGATGTCCCACGGTATTCCGCAGACCTCCTCGCGAAGTGCCAGCTCGTCTCTGCCGCTCATAGAGACCGCCAATCTTCCTCAGCAGTTCGTCTCGTCTTTGCCCTTCCCCAATGAAGGCACCGACTTCCTGTACGAATACTTCCCTCTCGGTTTGGATGACTGGCAAGCTCCCGTCGACGCTGTCTATCGACCTCACGTTGTTCATCATACGAATATGCCCGAGATGAAGTTCGTTGCAGGCTCTAGGGGCCGTAGCAAACGCTATTTCGCCGCCGAGGACGTCTTTTGAAAAACGAATCTCCCTCTTTATTGGAATGGCGCTCGGTCGGCGTTTTTCTTTTTTTTTTTTGTTCTCTTATATTTTGTTGGAATTTCGAGGGGTTTTCCCTCTAGTTTTGAGGGTCTCTGCGTTGTTTGGGGTTTGATCCTACCATCTCGGTTTTCGCATCTGCATTTGCACATTTTAGGATGGGAGTTTTGATGTCTCACCACTCCTATATCAAGTCTCCTATTTAGAAAGCTTGACCCTTGATTTTTGGATGAGAGGGAAAGCCTGTTCTGTTTCTTTTCCCCGTGCTGGGGATTCTGTGTTCTTTGATTATTTTGGGATCGTAACGCTATGCGTTGCGTATGGACTTCTGGTTCTGGGAAACTCGGTGGATTGGAATTTTGTTTTTTCGTCTACTACTTTGCTCTTGGTGTCGGATTATTGCGGGTCATGTGGTGCAAAATGGCGAGTTGTGGCGTGTGCTGGAGTTTTCTTTTTTCTGTCTTGTTTTATCTTTTTCTTGGATGTTCAGGCTTGATACGAGGGTTGAACGATCACTACTGGCATGGCATTGCTCTGCAATGCCTTCTCAGTCACTAGTATTGCTTCCTCGTCCTCTCTCGAGGGCAATCTACACCCCGGGGGACCCGCGTCGAGTCGAGTTGATAGGTCTGGTCTACTGGCCTGGACTCATCTGCACACTTCCTCTTCTCTTTGGTTTCGTTTTTTTTTCTTCTCTTTTTGACATGCTCGGTCCCGGTCCTGGTTCTGGTTATATCCCATCTTGTCATGATTTTACGCTGCGATTGACTGCGCGAGATCCCTTCCTGGTTCTGGCTATGGAGCCAATATTCTGCCACTCCTATCTTTCTGGCATACCGGGGGGTTTCTTATAACTATACTTGCCAAATATCATCTGTGATGAAATATTCTACGTTCTCATTCATTGCCTTCTCTTCATCTTTCATAGATCCCTCGGCGGTGTCTTCAGTTTTGAGTCGGGATATTGATTCTCCTACACGAAAATAGTTCGAATACAAAAGGCTTTCAGCTTCTTTCCGCTTCATTTTGGGACCTTTGCAATCCTCTCCATTCAGACTAATAGATGATCAGTCCACCCCCACTCACTATCTACCAACCCTCTCTTTTTTTCACAAATACCCCAACCCATCTCCGCCAATAGTCTCCAAATCGGCCCGAATCTCCCACTCCGTCGCCCCGACCCGCCCCGCGATCTCCGCCTGGCGCTGCTTCCCCAGATCCAGCCACTGTCTCAACAAATTCCCATCCACCATACCCCGCCCACCCGTCCCGTCACTCTCCACGGCCCGGAAGGCTCGCGGGTTCAGGCCACCGGGGTGTTCGATCGTAGTGGTTAATTGGGACTGAAGCGCCGAGAGCCGTCGGTATGACTCTTCTGATACGCTGGTTACCAGCGCTAAAGATCCGTTCTGCGAGGCGATGAGGACTTGTTGCGTTGCTAGGACGTTGTCGACGTCCATGTCGTCGTCTGATGCGGAGATTAGTTCGGAGGGCACGGCTGTGCGGGGGAGAAGGGCCATTTGTGAGGCGAAGTTGCCGGTATAGAATTTGCTGCGGTGTAACAGGCGATCGCCGTTGGAGGACTTGGGGTCTGGTGGTGCGGAGGGTTAGCTTGGATTTCTTTCTTTTTGTTTGACTGGGAGCGCGTAGGGGATGGGATGTTGGAAAATGGGGGTTAGGATATGACGTACCTTCTGGGTCGTACTGCAGCACATGTAGGTTGCAATCACTGTCAGCGACCAGCATGTACAATTTGCTTCCGTCGGGGAGGAATTCGGCCGTCACGACCTCCAAGTACTCGAGGTCTTTGCCGAAGAGTGACATCTTGTAGGGTTCCTCCTGCAGAAAAAGTTAGTCGTCTCGTAGAAAGCGTGTGTGGCTGGGGCATTGATTCCGTACCGAGTACCCTGCAAACCAAATCCCCTTGACCGCATCGCCCAGTAGACACATTCCAGTGCCCTTGAGCTCCTTCGCGACGGACACGTAGCATGACATGTCCATGAATGCCACGGGTAGAAGACTGCCATCTTCTTTCAGACCGCGTACCATGCATTTTTGGCCCTGCGCAACGATCACAAAGCCCTGTCCGCCGATCCCGGAAAGCGCTGTCACTGCACCCTTCACCGTCTCCTTGCCGACCAGCTTGAGCTTACGTCCTGTCTCGGGCTTCTCTGGGTCCGGAACCACGTCGATCACGTCGAAGACGTAGATGCACCCCCGCGAGGGAACATCTTCGCCCTTGGTGACCGCTGTGCCGACAACGATCAGATCCTTTCGTTCGTGTGTATTCTCCGAAACTTCCATGTTCACATTCTGCACAGCCATCACATGCTCCGCAACTTCCAGCTCATACTCGTCGATGACGGTCCAGGTCTTTGGGTTGATGACCTTGATCGAGCTCTGCGGAACCTCTGGGCAAAAGGTAATTCCTTCGTTACGCCATTCCGGGTGCAACTCGTCATTATCCGGCAGCATGAACTCTACATTGTGACTGGTACCGACAACGTAGGTCTCAGATGAGGTTGAGTATGTGAGGTAGTCGACTTGCTCGTCCAATGGGATCTTGCGCAGAGTCCACGGGTGGTCGAATTGGGTGTTCGGAGGGAATTGACAGGCTCGGATGTTACTTTCGGAATCAACGTAGATGAATCCATTTTCGCAGCCAGCGGCAGCCGAATCAAATCCACTTAGCCATTGGGTGAATTCGCCGCGAAGGCGCACGAGATGGGGGGAGCTTGCTGCAGTTCGCAGAATAAATCCTGCGGAACTTCCGGGCATGAAGACGGTGCTGAATCCCGAAACATTTGGCAAGACTCGCAGAGGCTGCGATCGTTGTTGCAGATCTAACGCCGGGGTGGCAGCTGAAGCCGCATTAGACAAACCATAATTAGACTCTCTGTAGAACCGTAGACTGTTCGGGGATTCGCCTTCAGCCTGCGTCAAAATCGGCTTGTAAATAATGAGCTCGTCATTTTCCGTTCGGACCTATTATCAAGTCAATTTCTCGAACTCAAATCAGAAATATTCAAGGGCCATACGATCAAGTAGGGCGATGTAGTCCATCGATCGCCAAGGTCGGCAACGAGTGCTTCTTTCAGGGGTTCTCTGGTGTTGGATCGCCGAGGAGGCTCAGTCGATAACACAGCCTGCAAGCAGTCGACGCCATCGATGATCGACAGCAGTTTCATGTCTGCGAGGTTGACAATCTTGTAATTTGCAGTCAGGAGAAGTGTTTTCTAGGAATAAATTGGCCCAAGGTAACTTACCGAAAGCTTGTAGTCGGTGCTCAACAGGAATAAAATGATGTTGCCATCGGCAGTATCGGCTGATTTTGAGCTAAATACTTGATCGTTGTCTTGATAAAGACTAGCAGAGCGCCACTTGAGACTAGATAGTTCGTCTGGAAGAGAAATTTCATCGAGGTCTCCGCTATCGTCTGCTTGAAGAAGTAAAAGAGAGGAATCATCTCGAAGTATCCCGAGATAGGGATCCGCAAAGCTCGCGCTGACTGCCAGCCGCTCTTTATCGGTGTCCTCGTCCCATACGGGATAGATCTGAGCCAATCCCAAGTCTAGAAACGGCTATAATCAGTCTCATACTCGCTGGAGTTCAAACTTGAAACCAAAGAACTTACCAATATCATAACTTCGAACTTCATTTCGAAGAACCTGCACAAGGCGAGTACTACCTGCGAGCGGGCCAATATCAACAGTGCGGTCTTCGTTGGGATTGAATTCAGAGGCTTTATAGGGCTTTAATTCTTGGTCCTCGACTGTCAGAACTTCGGAGACTTCTCTTTCCGCTTTTGATGGCCGAGAGACAATCACATAATGGCGAGAGGGGGTTTCCGCCGATTCAGCTGCATTTGGCTGACCGCCTCTCTTTCCCTGGGTTATGGTAGCCGACCATACTCCATCAGCATCGTCCACCTTGATGGTTAAGGCGATCTGAGGATCAATCTCTCGCTTGATAACGACCAGGCCCCCAGCTCTGCCCGATCCCTGCGATGCAACCAGCTCTAAATCCGCAGAGACACCCTCGCTGTCGGACTGGTCCTCGCCCTTGAAAGCTTTTGAGGGTTTACCCAGTGTGATATCTCGCAAGGGCCCGATGGAAGATAGTTTATCGTTCAACCGGATATTGTAGAGATCGGCAGTTGAACTTCCAGAAGTCGTGCGTGTGTCCGGCGCCGTCGAGTATAGATCATCTTCATATACATCATCATCATCCATCGGGTCATCATCGAAAATGCCATCTTCCCCATTGGCCAAGAGCTTTTTCTTGGAAGCGGCCGACGAGTGGGACCACTCTAGAAGAACAGAGTCTGCTTCTTCACTGCCAATAAAGACGTTGCCGTCCCCAAAGCATGTCGAGCAGGAAGCAGCCGACTTCAAGAGATTTCCGCCTGCCTGTGCTGGTAGGAGATGGATCGTCATTCCTGACACGGATCGTCCATCCAACTTGAATCTGATCAACGCCATGTTTCCTGACGCAAGAGCGAGTATTAGATCGCCGCTATTACCGCCGAGTCGCTCTACAACACAACCTTCCAAGCGGAGGGCCAGGTCGGATTGGTCGCTCATTGAAAACGAGGACATTTGTCGGGAAAACTCGTTCACTCCCACCGCGTTAGTCTTGCCGGCCTGGTCAACGTGCACTATCTCGTTGGCACCGATAAGCATGGCTCCTCCCACGGGAGGTGGGAGTGCGACCACTTTGAACAAGTCACTTGGTAGCCGTGAGACTGACAAAAGGGTCGTTGACGCTTTTTGTTCGAGATCTAATGTGAAAACAGTGTAGAACATGACGTCCTTTCGCTCATGAACCAAAGCAGTGGAGGTTGCCACTTGGGAGTACAAGATACCAAATGTTGGCTCCCTATACTCGTAAAGAAAAGCAAGACTAACAGGGTGCAGTAAGGAAGGGTCCAAGGCTGTCAATGGCAGCACAAAGGAGGGAGCATAGGGTGTTCCGTATGCCGTGCCGTCTTTGGCTTTCCCGGCATCTGCGCCAGCTCCCGAGATCTGATCTGGCCGTTTACCATCAAGATCCGAGTCATAGTCATCCATAACCAGGTCGTCTCCTGCTTGATGAAAGGGTAAGATGGCGAGGTTACGGACCCCGAAGTTGAATACGGCACACCGACTGCTAGGATCCACGCTGAGAATGCTGCCACAATTGCTCAGGTCTGGCACCCAGGGGCTTCGGGTCAAGTCATCTCGCTCGTAATAATGAATAGAGATGGTGGAAATTCCATGGCGCTCGGGATCCCACTCAATCAAGCTAAGTTTGGCATTGCGGACGGCAACGAGGATAGCTTCGCCTCCGCTCTTGGGGTTCAAGATTTTCACTCTGCTCAGGTCTGTCACCGTTCCTGGCAGTGAATATTCTTTCTCGAGAATGAGCTTCGTCCCTGGTGGGTGAGGTGATGTTGTTGGGTGGGTCTCGGCATTCTCTGCCAGCCGTTGAGCAGGAGCTGAGAGAGAAAAGACCTGCAAGAGAGAGGATCGTACCACGATCAAATTTTTGGCCGTGGCAGATAGAAATGGGACGGCCAATGCATGAGTGACCCCAGATGGGGGTAGCAGCTCGGTATAGCACTGCATCGTTAGAGCCCCTGCCTCAGGGAGTGTGAAAATGACCCAATGGCCTCTGTTTTTCGGGGTTTGAGTCGGATCAAGAAGTGAGCATTGTAGTTCCCAACCCCCAATTCCGCTTCAAATGCAACGCCCTAAACAGTCTGGATGGAAAGCAAATAAATACACAGCCCATCAAAAAGCATCGCAGGGCGGCCTCGAATCAACGCACCCCGTCACGTGGTGATTGCCAAATCAGGTTAGTTCATGACGACAGGCGCGTCGGGGCGATTTACTTCATACTCCTTCCCAGCTTTCCTAGCTTTCCCAGCTTTCCTGACCTTCTCAGTTTGCACCGTGGATCCTCTCTATCTTTGAAAAAGGGTCGGATAATTCACAGAACTGTTCGCTGATCCATGTGGATTGTTCTGCGTTCAAGATGGCCCTTCTTCAGACCTCGCTGATCTGGATCGTGTATGCTGTCGTCATAGCCGTCCTTCTCGCGGTAGCGTCGGTTTTCATTTACATCTACCAAACTCCACGGGATCGCTCTCCCTCGGTAACTCTGACATGCATCATCGCGATCACTAGTCTACTGGCGACGGTTCTTCTGCTTCCTGTGGACGTTGCCTTGGTGTCGTCGACTACCTCATCTAAGCTTGGTCGCCGCAAAGACTGGGCCACTCAGGATGCCGTGGACCGAATCACTTATTCCTTGACCATTCTTTACTATCTTCTGTACTCACTGGATGCGTTACTTTGTCTTTTGGTCCTTCCTTTCACTTACTTCTGGTATGAGGAATATGATGAAGTCGCCGCTGAGGCGGGAGAGCAGACGCTTGGACAGCGGTTCTGGGGCGCTCTCAAGTACACCCTTTCGTTCATCGCTATTGTAGTGATTTTGTTCCTTGTGGGTTTCTTTGCTCCAGTATCCAAGGACAAGGGCAACTTTGACTTGGACTATTTCAAGCGGTTGCTGACAGAGAACCGTAAGTTTTCGTGTCCCCTCACCTCGAGCCTTCTGTAATCGAAACTGACGTACTCACAGATGGAGAACGCGCCTTGACATTTGCACTTGGGCTACTCATCACCCTTGGTATATGTCTCTATGTCCTGTACACATCGGCAGGTCTTGCTTTGTTCCCAATCAGCCTGATTAAGACCGCACCCTCGATCTCCAGCCCTACCTTGCGCGCAACTACTGCGCAGCAGCTGGAAGCAAATCAAGAGCGGCAGCGACAGCTCGAGGGCCGCTGTGGTGGCAATCCCGAACTCCTGTCATCCAAGGATCGTAGGGAGTTGGATACTCTCAGCCGAGAGGAGAGGACCTTGATTCGGCGGCAACGTCTGGTCGATGAAGCTCAGGGTGAGGGCCGAAGCTGGTTGATACGAGCATGGTACAAGATTGGAGCCATCTTCCGCCCATTCAAGCTACTTGGTGGTATTTTACTCCTTTTGATTGCTTTTATAATATGGGTATCGATGCTTTTGACATCTATCGACAAAGCGAAAAACTCGATTTGCAAGCACCGCTGTGGATACATCCTTGGCCACATCAATGTCTTCAATCCGGTGAACTGGGTCCTGGTCCAATCTGCCAAGGTGTTCCCGGTGGACTATGCTATTTTCACAGCTCTAGTCCTCCTCCTGTTCTGCAGCTCCGTGGTTGGTATTGCAGTGGTTGGAATTCGCTTCCTCTGGATCAGAATCTTCCAGATCCGCAAGGGTCATACTTCACCCCAGGCACTCCTCCTGGCAACGGCCATGTTGATGCTTATGATACTTGCATTGAACTATTCCGTGTCCATGATAGTCGCTCCACAATACGCTACCTTCGGCCCGCAGACGTTCTGCGACCGTTCTCCTAGCTCGCCTGGAGAACAGCCTGATTGCACTAACAGCAAAGATCTCATCAAACCATGCTCTGAGTTAGCAGAGAATCCAGCAGCTCGCCAAGTGTGCACCCCCAGCGTTGTTAGCACTTTCTTGAACCGCATAACTCTCAACTTCCCCTTCTACGGCGTTGTCTTCTTTTGGGCACAATTTGTCTTCCTTGGTAAGAAACCCCCCTTCCCGAATTTGCCTTGTCTATGTCGCGTTTGAAGCTGACAGTTCCTTTTTACTAGCCATCTATCTGATCGTGTTTGTGACAACTCTGTTCCGAGCACCGAAGCTGGATGAAAGACAAATCGACGAGGATGCTGAGGAAGCGGAAGAAGAAGGCCTATTGGCAAGCACTGGTAGACGATTCGGTGCTACTTGGCAAGACATTACCGGTAGGGCTGGTCACAGTGGACAATCTAATGATTGAGAATACAGAGCATACTCGACTTGAATGAACCAGAGCGGCTCAGCGGATTGCCTTGAAACTTTTGAATTATTGATGCTTTGGTAAACGATGTCTCTTTGGCGATGATCGCGTGAATTGTTGAGGGCACATACACGTTTTAATCGTACCTCAGAAAGCAAATTAAAAAAAGGAACATATGGTGACTTGCGACTGGAATGTAGAATATTGATTATGAGCAACCTTGCATGGACCAGCATGCGCTTGCTTGGGTTTTTGCGGCTGAAGTCATCCTGGACATAATCTCGTAACAGCACTAAACCTTCATCTGCGCGTTGAGCAAGGCCAAAGCACTCTGGAATGCCTTGACGACTTCCGTGTCTAATACAGAAGAAACTTGTTAGCCTCCTCCTGGCCATCAATTGGGGTTACGATCATTTCGGGGCCATACAATGTTTTTTCTTGCTTTCCAAGCTCAGTTCGGAGTTTTGCACATGCTGCATCTGCGTCTTGAATCTGTAGGATGTCAATTCCAACCAAATCCATGGGAATTCCCTCGGGCTGAGTGACAGTCAGGTCATAGTGAATGGGGTCTCTCTCATACCGTTTCAACGCCCGCTTTTCATCTTGCAAAACGGTAGTCTGAGACCAAGCAGAGAAAACCTGTCCCGATGTGAGAATAAAATTGGGATATCAATGATTATATGGGTTCATACCTCGAGCAACTTTGCAGTCTCAGCACGCAAATCATCTTCCACGTGGCTGTGTTCATCCATGGCATCCGTGTACTTCTCCTGCAGCTGGTCCCAATCACAGTCTTCTAGTCTTTGCGTCAGCCGATTGACAATGGTGAATTCGGCATCGCTAGGAGAAGGCCGCATGGGCTCGAGGCTTCGAGGTTGTGGTGTTCCCGCAGTAGAAAACGGCGGTGTCGTCTTTTCTGGGCTTCCTTGCCGCGACATTGTCAAAGAGCAGTGTGTTCCAATGCTGACACTGACGATAGACGATGCCTGGATCTGAAACACAGACTCAGTCAACTTTATTGGCTAGTGGCCTCGAGATAAGATCGTCCTCACGTGTGTTGATACGGTGGAGATCATCTGGTTCGCCCCCAAAGCGGAAGCCGCGTCAGGTGACGACATCACAATGTTGAAACTCTCGATTGCCCGCTGGCTTTGGGTTTGAACATCTCCGCTCCATGGTTACCGGCGGCAGCTCTGGCAGCTTCCACGAAACATCATGGAAATGCGACCTCTGACGACACCTCCAAACACCCACGACCGTCTGCGATGAGCTGTCTCATATGCAACTCTGCTCACTCCCGCCAGCCGTTCCTCTGCCCGACATGCGCCCGCAATCACCTCTATCAGCTACGGCTCGAGAATACCCAGGTCTTGTTGGAGAGGGAGAGTCTAGGACGTCAAATAGAGATCGCTGTCTCCCATGAGGCTTCTCGGAATTCACAGAAGCGAGCTAGCGAGGGGCGTTCTACAGACGATAAATGCTCCCCATGCTGGGCCCTCCAGACAATATCCAGTCGCCAGGCTGCCTCCTCCTCCAGGAGAGAGGATCTCAGCCGGCAGATTGAGAAGCTGAAAGAGGACATCGAGACTAAAAGGGCAGACGTCTCCGAGCGTGGGGCGAGCTTGTCTCGTAGGCGTTCTGATACCGAATCCGCTCTGTATCAGCTGGGCGAGCGGGAGGCTACCATCTTGACGGGCGTTCAGAATACAACCAAGAGGACGGAGCATTTGTGGCACACTCTTCATAGCAAGACTGCAGAAGCCCGTATCTTCCTCTGTCGGGAGGCGGCCCATCTATATGGTCTACGACAGAAAACCTCGCGGAAAGGTGATTGTCGGCATAGCTATGTGCTTGGCGGCATAGCGATCGTCGACCTGAAGGACATGAACAGTAAGTCTCTAGCGGTCTATGCCTATACCTTGGATTCTTCTGACGTATCTGCAGGTGCTACTCCGGCGCAAATATCCACCTCACTCTCCAACATCGCCCACCTCCTAGTCCTTGTCTCGCACTACCTCTCCCTTAGACTCCCTGCGGAAATCACCCTTCCTCACCGAAACCACCCTACTGCCACCATATACTCCTTCGCCGCATCATATAATTCACGAGATTCCTTTGATGGGTCCGACACCAGCCATCCTTCGACATCTAGTCCAACGGCATCCAGAACGGATCCACGCACCCAGCCACGACCCAGACCGCTTTTCATTGACAAACCTCTACCCCGCCTGGCCAAAGAGGATCCCGGGACTTATGCACTCTTCTTGGAGGGTGCTTCACTCCTCGCCTGGGATGTGGCCTGGCTGTGCAGAACCCAGGGGATCAACTTGGCGTCAGACTCGTGGGAGGATGTCTGTAACATCGGCAAGGGCATGTGGCAGCTGCTGGTAGCCCCGCCTGCCCAAACATCCACCTTGATGCGAGCATTTGCCGGTCGAGACACCCAGGCGAAGATGAAAACCACAAAAGACTCCCCTCAAACGACGATCCAACGCACTAAATCATTTCCGATGCTTGGTCATTATTCCCACGGCACGGTTCACTCTTTCCTCGCAGCCTCCGAAGGTGTTGACTTCATGCGTACTTGGAAGCTGCCGACGCCGACAAAGATTGCGGATAAGCTCAAGGCCAATCTTGTTGGGGAAATGGCAAGTGCAGAATGGGAAGTTCTGGAAGAGAAGGAATGGTTCGATGGGAATGCGGAAACGGATCAGCCATTGGACCCCAAGAACCCGCCGGGCTCGTCACCTAATACACATGCCGAATCGGCTGAGCAGGGCGCAGAAGGTCAGCAAGCCTCTGTGCAGACGACGAATGATGGTCGTCGACCGAAAGGAACAAGTGGATGGACGAAACTGAATAGTAGATAGACATCATGCTGAGAGTACAGCATCTGATTTTCATAGTGCTAATTAAAAACTAGAGTAACCCAATTCTGACCTTCTCATGTCCCTATTTAAATACAAACTAGCGATCAAAGCATTCGCTGATTATCTAGAGAAGGACGGTTAAGGTACGCTAAGGTTGCGGCGGACCCGCCGTTACTAAGCCGAGATAAGATGTGGCAGTCCGAATTAAAGTGTAACTCGTGGCCCGAGTCCCTCCGTTTCTCTGAAACGATGTACCGGAGATCGGCAACTTCTGGACGGAGCTAACAAATCCTCCTTTTTAGCCGAGCTCAATTCACCTAATCTGATTCTGCGAGCCTCTCCTTCCCTTTCCCATCCCGGCGACTCTTCAAGCTGGGGATGCGGCCAAGCCCCAGCGGTACTCCAACGATCCCGATTTGAAGATGCAGAATGCCCAAGTGTGGCAGGATGCAGGCGTGGGGTCTTTGGGTGAGTACACCCCCCCCCCTAATCATGCGGTAATTGAGGATCTGGCCTAATTGTCTACTTAGACCTCAAGCGTGCCCTCTCCGCCATCTCGGATATCCCTGAATCTCTCTTGAGAGCCGAACTCCAGCGACGAAATGTAGCTCGAGCCTCAGACCCAGCCGGCGATGCGCCGGCATGTGGTTCTGGCCAGAGAGGCGATTATAATACACCACTACATGTGATGGCTCTTTTCTTGATACTAGGACTGAGCACATTTGGTATGCATCGTTGTCCTGTTCGCTCTTCCACTGAATATCGGGTTAACCATCAATTCCACTGCAGCCTGCTCATTCCCCGTCCTTGCGCGCCGGTTCCCTCGCCTTCCGATCCCCCGCCGCTTCCTCTTCATCTCAAGACATTTCGGAACAGGCGTGTTGATTGCGACGGCCTTTGTCCATCTCCTACCAACCGCATTTGTATCGTTGACCGATCCATGTCTCCCGCGGTTCTGGAGCCGAACGTATCGCGCCATGGCGGGTTTCGTGGCTATGATCGCAGTCTTTGCTGTGGTTTTGGTTGAAATGTTCTTTGCGATGAAGGGCGCCGGCCACGTGCACGCGAACGATTACGATACCCTCATGGGAGACATCGGCCGTGATTCTATGGATGACTTCCAGCACCAGGACTCGAGTTACGCGCATTTGGGGGCCCGGACGCCGCCTGGCAATATTCTCATGGAAGGTCTACGACATGAGGACCATGGGGATGCCGAAAGGGCATCCGGCTCTTCACGCGAGTTTGACCGGTCATCCCTCAGGGGTTCTCACCCCGATAAGGAGGACGAGGAGGACGATGGTGATATTGAGGGACTTGACCCGTACGCGGATGATGTTCCAATCAATGGACAGGCGCAACAAGCTTCAGGACTTCACCACCGTCATCGGGCTCGGGCAAATGCTAACTACAGGCCCCAGGATGAGATGGCCTCGCCGATGCAAAATCCACAACGCCAGCTTCTTCAGTGTCTTCTCTTGGAAGCCGGTATTCTGTTCCACAGCATTTTCATCGGCATGGCTCTCAGCGTCGCGACGGGTACGTCGTTCATCGTCCTCCTTATTGCTATCAGCTTCCACCAGACCTTTGAAGGGTTTGCCCTGGGCTCTCGCATTGCCTCTCTCATCCCCGATCTCTTCTCGCCGTCTTCCGCAAAGCCGTGGCTCATGTGCCTGGCATACGGAACGACTACTCCTATTGGCCAAGCCATTGGCCTTGTTTTACACAATTTGTACGATCCCGCAAGTACAACCGGGCTGCTCATGGTGGGTATCACCAATGCCATCAGTAGTGGTTTGCTACTGTTTGCGGGTCTGGTGGAGTTGCTTGCCGAAGACTTCTTAAGTGAGTCGAGTTATGAGACTCTCAAGGGTAGACGGCGCGTTGAAGCTTGTATATCAGTTGCCTGTGGAGCTCTCCTGATGGCATTCGTGGGGGCTTTTGCCTAGTTAAAATGACTGCATGGGATGGTCCTGTCCGTCACTTCGGTCTCTAATGTATCTTGTTCACTTAGACTAATGAATTTGCTTGCTGTACTAGTTGGGTTCAGGTTCGCGGTATCGGCATATTCGTATTTCCGGATGGTAAGACTGTCCTGCTTGGACTAAGACAAGTGTTCTAATGGTGTCACATTAGACCTGTACTAGAGTAGTACAATCTACTTGTAAGCCATATTTCCAAAAAAAAAAATCACATTAATCCCGACGAGATGCATTTATTTTCTATGTGCCTCGAGTAGCGGGGGTTATATATATTGCCAACAATACTTTTTTTGGGGCAATTCACAAAGCACGTAGTGTGGCGATAGTCGTGTCATATCCGTACATCGTTAAAAAGTCACATTAGAAGAGAGCCTCGAGGACCAGGGCGCTGGCACCGCCACCACCGTTGCAGATGCCGACACACCCAAGCTTGCCCTGCTTAGCCTTCAAGACACCAAGCAGAGTGGCGACGATACGGGCACCGCTGGCGCCCAGAGGGTGACCGATGGCGACAGCACCACCGTGGAGGTTGACCTTCTCCTCGGAGAGACCAAGTAGCTTCATGTTGGCAAGAGCCACAACGCTGAAAGCCTCGTTGATCTCGAAGGCATCAATAGCGTCCTGAGACACGCCAGCGTGCTTCAGAGCCTTGGGGATAGCCAGAGCGGGGGCAGTGGTGAACTTGCTGGGCTGGTGAGCGGCATCACCCCAGCCCAGAATCTTGGCAATAGGCTTCAGGCCGAGCTCCTTGACCTTGGCCTCGGAAACCAGAACAACGGCGGAAGCACCGTCGTTAAGGGGAGAAGAGTTGGGGGCAGTGACGGTGCCGTTGCCGGGGATGAAGGCGGGCTTGATGGCGCGCAGCTTATCGGGGTTAAGCTGAATAGAAGAATAGATACGGTTAGCGATCATCATCCAGAATCTGGCACGCTTTTGGGGCAAGGGATGGATGTAACTTACGTTCTTGGGCTCATCATCCTGGGACACAGTGACACCGGGCTTGCCACGGAAGCCGGGGATCTCAATGGGGGCAATCTCATAGTCGAAAGCACCGGCCTTCTGGGCGGCCTGGGCCTTCTGGTAGGTACGGATAGCGTACTCATCCTGCTGCTCACGGTTGAAGCCGTGGTCCTGAGCACACTCCTCGGCAGCAAAGCCCATGAGCTCCTGCTTGCCATAGGCATCCTGAAGACCGTCCTTCATGATTCCGTCGACCATGGTCTGGTTGCCGTACTTGGCACCGTTACGGAGGCTGGGCAGGTAGTGGGGAGTGTTGGACATGGATTCGGCACCACCAGCGACGACGATATCGGCGTTGCCGGTCATGATGGTTTGGGCACCGAGGATAATGGCCTTCAGGCCGGAGGCGCAGACCTTGTTAACGGTGGTGCAGACGGTGGCGTCCGAGAGACCGGCATTGATGGCGCATTGACGGGCGGGGTTCTGACCAACACTAATGACAGCATGTTAGCTTTCAGCTAGAGGGACAGGGTATTAAATTCAAGCGTACCCAGCGGACAGGACGTTGCCGAAGAAGACCTCCTCGACGTCGGAAGCATTGATACCCTCGGCCCGCTCAACAGCCGCTGCCAACCGCCGTTAGTATCAATTGAAACCGGACAGGGCCTTTTTTTGGGATGGTAGAATTAATCATACCTTTGATAGCATGAGCACCAAGCTGGGGAGCAGTCAGGCTAGAGAGGGAGCTGTACCAATGTGTTAGTCTAGCAACAAAAATCCCGAGGAGGAGCGGACATACCCAAGGAACGAACCCACGGGGGTACGGGCCGTTGAGACAATGTAGACGGGAGGGAGAGAAGACATGATGAAGTGCAAACTTTCAAGAGGATGTAGCAAAAAAAAAAAAAACAAGCAGACGTCAGATAGCCAGGGGTATAATGGAGGAAAGAAGAGGAGAGGGGGAGAGGTACAAGATATATAAATAATAGTGGGGAGTGAGGAGCTGTACGGTGTAGGCGCGAGTATGTCCCATACTACTTCGCGCAGCCTGAGGACTTTCCATTTTGCCCGCCGGACGCTCGGACCAACTGAAAGTTGCAAGCCTTCCGGCGTCACGCCAGCATTTTGGGGCTCCGCGATTGTCATTTTCCCCCAACTTCAACAAATCGTACATTCTGGCCCATCATGGACGACCTCTACGATGAGTATGTTATTCTTATCAAACCTATCTCGCGTGTTTTAAACCCCACTAACCAAGACGCCTACAGGTTCGGTAACTACATCGGCGAAGCCGAGTCCGATGAAGAGCAGCAGGAGCAGGTCCCCCAGGCCTTCAAGTTTGACGAGGCCTTTGAAGATGAGGAGGAGGAGGAGGTCAATGACCAACAATTGATGGAGGTCGACGGTACGTTTTGCGCTCCCCAGAACAAACAGCTTAGGAAACACCGCATACTCATTCGCGCCTCCCGTTCAGATGGACCTTCGAACGCGGTCATTCTACACGAAGACAAGCAATACTATCCCAGCGCACAACAAGTATACGGCGAAGACGTCGAAACTATGGTCCAGGAGGAAGATGCGCAGCCACTGTCCGAGCCCATCATCGCACCCGTCCAGCAGAAGAAATTTGCGATCGCTGAAACCGAGCTTCCCCCCGTCTATTTCTCCCGCGAATTCATGTCAGATTTGCTCAACTTCCCCGAGCAAATACGAAACGTTGCTGTGGTGGGCCATTTGCACCATGGAAAGACTGCGTTCATGGATATGCTGGTGCGACAGACACACGATCTTTCGGCACGGCTAGAGAAGCGCCAAGGCAAGCGCAAGGAGGAACAGCTTCGATATACCGACGTTCATTTCCTAGAGCGTCAGCGCGGCGTCTCTATCAAATCGGCACCCATGAGCTTGGTTCTTCAAGGAACCAAAGGCAAGTCCCACCTTGTCAACATTATCGATACCCCCGGTCATGTGAACTTTGTGGACGAAGTCGCCGCATCGGTCCGCTTGGCCGATGGTGTCGTTCTCGTTGTAGATGTCGTCGAGGGTGTGCAGGCGAATACTGAGCAGATTATCAAGCATGCGGTCTTGGAGGATATGCCCTTGACCCTGGTTGTGAACAAGATGGACAGACTTATTTTGGAGCTTAAGCTGCCGCCCAACGACGCCTACTTCAAGCTGAAGCATGTGATTGAAGAAGTGAATACCCTCATCGAAAACATTGTACCAGGTCAGGGTGAGCAACGACGACTGAGTCCCGAAAAGGGCAACGTCGCGTTTGCCTCTAGCTCGATGAATTGGTGCTTTACTTTGGAATCATTCGCCCGTATGTACGCCGACACCTACCCGAAACTTGATTCCACAGAGTTCGCAGCGCGCCTCTGGGGTGACATTTTCTACAACCCCAAGAGCCGAAAGTTTACTCGAAAGGGTTTGGAGGAGAACTCGAAGCGAGCATTTGTGAAGTTTATCCTGGAGCCCATCTACAAACTCTACTCGCACACGCTCAGTGAGAGCCCCGAGGACCTCAAGCAAACGCTGGCCAGTGTGGGTGTCACTTTGAAGCCATCTCAGTTGAAGACCGATGCAGCCGAGCTTCTTAACCTCGTGTGTGAACAATTCTTCGGCCCTCCCACTGGCTTTGTGGATATGGTCGTGCAGCACGTTCCTTCTCCCGTTGGCGGTGCTCAGCGAATGTTGGAACGCTACTACACTGGTCCCTTGGACACAAAGGTCGCGGCTTCAATGTCTACTTGTGACCAGGACGGACCTTTGGTTGTTCACGTCACGAAGCTCTTCAGCACCGTCGATGCTAGTGGATTCCACTCCTTCGGACGAATCCTGAGTGGTACCGCTCGCCCTGGTCAGCAAGTCCGGGTTCTGGGAGAAGGATACACTCCCGAGGATGAGGAAGATATGGTCGTTGCCACCATCTCGGACACATGGATTGCGGAGACTTGTTATAACATCTCTACCGATGGTGTTCCCGCCGGTAACTGGGTTCTGCTTGGCGGCGTAGACAACTCCATCGTCAAAACGGCGACGCTCGTTCCTCTCAAGCTGGAGGACAATGAGGAGCCGTACATTTTCCGTCCCATCCGGCACATGACCGAGTCTGTGTTCAAGGTCGCAGTGGAGCCCGTGAACCCCTCCGAATTGCCCAAGATGCTGGACGGTCTGCGCAAGATCAACAAGAGTTATCCGCTAATCTCCACCAAGGTTGAGGAGTCTGGTGAGCATATTGTACTTGGAACTGGCGAGCTCTATATGGACTGCGTGCTTCACGATCTTCGACGACTGTATTCGGAAATGGAGATCAAGGTCTCTGATCCAGTCACGCGGTTCTGCGAGACTGTTGTTGAAACCTCTGCCATCATGTGCTACTCTATCACGCCAAACAAGAAGAACAAGATCACTATGATCGCGGAACCCTTGGACGAGGGTATTGCCGAGGACATTGAAAGCGGCAAAGTCAGCATCAAGGACCCTATTCGAAAGGTCGCCCGCTACTTCGAGGACAATTATGATTGGGACAAGCTTGCGGCACGCAGCATTTGGGCGTTTGGTCCCGAGGAAATGGGACCCAACATTCTCCAGGACGACACATTGCCCTCGCAGGTGGACAAGAAGCTGCTTGGGACCGTGCGAGACTCGATCACCCAAGGCTTCAGCTGGGGCACGAGAGAGGGTCCTTTGTGTGAAGAACGTGAGTTATTCCCTCCACCCCACTACCTCCCAGCCTTTGTTGAGTCTGCTTATACTGACTATGATTAGCAATTCGTAACACCAAGTTCAGGCTCACCGACGTGTCTCTTGCTGAGCAAGCGATCTACCGTGGAGGTGGTCAGATCATTCCTACCGCTCGCCGGGCCGTGTATTCATCATTCCTGATGGCCTCCCCTCGACTCATGGAACCCATCTACTCTTGCTCGATGACCGGCCCCGCAGATGCCGTCGCCTCGGTATACACCGTGCTCTCCCGCCGACGAGGCCACGTCCTGTCCGATGGGCCTATCGCCGGTACCCCTCTCTACTCTGTACGGGGGTTGATCCCCGTGATCGACTCATTCGGTTTCGAGACCGATTTGCGCATTCACACCCAAGGCCAGGCCACGGTCAGCCTGGTCTTTGATAAGTGGAGTGTTGTGCCCGGTGACCCACTGGACCGGGATGTGAAGCTGAAGCCGCTGGAGGTGGCTAATGCCATGGCTACCGCACGGGATTTCGTGCTCAAGACCCGCCGTCGCAAGGGTCTGGCGGAGGACGTGACCGTCAGCAAGTTCCTAGAACCGGAATTGTGGAAGGGTCTACAGGAGAGCGGCGTTTTGGATTCATGATCGGTTTGCTGTCGAAGGGTTCAAGGCGAAGGTACTTAAAAAAGATACTCTTTGTTTGGGAGGGGATTTGGGCTACCGGAGTCTTTTTGATTAATTGCATTTGACTTGAGCTGCATGTAATTCTCATGCTACAAAGTCCAAATAATCTCATGTCATAACACAATCGTAAAGGGGTTTTTGACCGGTGGCGGTCATGGATATCTCAAACCACTCCGATGCAGTCTGTGAAGTGAAACAATTCCAGTAAAATGCGCCGTCCAAAATTCATGTTGTGGTACATGTGAGACCAAAAGACAAGCCCTCTGTCTGGTTCGTTTATTGACACGTCTCCATCATCTTGGCAATGACCTGCATCAAGGCTCCGTTCTCCAGAGCGGCCGCGACTCGCTCCTTATCCCCGAGTTGCTTGTTGACCTCGTCACCGGTACTATGGGTTCCCTCCTTAATCCGCACGTCTACCCGGAAGCGTGGCGGGAGGGATTGTTCTAGTCGCACTCGTACGCCAAGACCGATAACGGTGGCTAGACTGCAGTGGGTGATGGTAGGGGTGATCAGGACGGTGACTGTTTGAAGAGGCGAGTCGGGAACGTTGGGGAGAGTGGGTTTGATGGAGATATCTGGCAGTGAGACGACGGCTAACTCTCCGAGTGAGAGCGGGTGCTCGGGGTCCGAGATGGATTTGATAAGGTCTATGGAGCGTTAGATATGCGGATCTAGACAGGAGAGTTATGATTAGGTGAAGGAGATGATTCCTTACCATAGATTTCTTGTTCATCGATTGGCTCCTCCAGCAGATCTTCGTCTCCCTCTGAATCGGAGGAAAGGAAGTCTGATGGCTTTGGGACTGCGGCAAAGATGCCCAGTCCATAGTCTCCGGATGTCTTCTCGGTGGCCCGTGACCTCGTAGGGAGATCTGCGGCGTTGATAATTGTGGGGTTAGAGTTTTGCATTTCCGCCATGGTGGTCGGTGGTGATATGAGATCGTGAGGGAGGTAGAGAGATCGTCTTGTCGGTGATGGACGTTGATGATACTGGGGTTCGGAGGGGCAAAAAAAACGTGATGATAAGAGATAAGAAGATTATGCTTATCTTAATTCACGTGTTCTTCATTCATTGTGATCTATCGTCTCGGAAGATTCTCGGCTGCTTTCTTCGAATTTGTTCCTCTTTAACTGGTTTTCCCTTGCGTCTGCGACCCATACTGATACGATGACCCATACGACCCCCTCTTCGGAGTTACGGAGATAAAACCAGAGACTTTTTCTCTGACGATTCCGAGTCCAGTCCACCCGGATCGGAGAAAATACCCTTACATTCTAACGGATTTATGGTTATACTCCAATAAACCAATAAAGGGCGCCCGCGCGACACAAAATTGAGCACCCGAGAACGTCGATCTTGGAAAATCCGTTGTTCTTTCCCCGCCGTCCCAGAAGCTTGGGCAAAAGGGATCGACGAGCGTGGGTTGGAACTTGGCAGGGCCCGGGTATTTTGCCCCTGGGCACTTGCCGAGTCCGAGGTCGATCAGGTAAAAGAGACACGACCTGCATGGCCGGGCCTTGCAGAGAGGATGGGAGAGGCGCCATGCACTTGGGAGGGGGGGGAGGATCCACCGAGGAATCCCAGCTTGTAACCATGGCGGTTCCAGTTCGTGTGGTCTTCCAGAATCTACCGGTCCCACTCCCTAGCTTATCCAGGGCTGGTAACCCTCCACACACCCCCCTCCCCCTTTTCAAGCTCTTTGAAACCTAGGGCACCAATCTTGTCTCGCACTTTCATGCGCTTTCTGGAATAAAAGAGGGGGGGGGTGGAACTGGACGTGCATCCTAAGAATTCCAGGTAGATGGGATTTTGGCGCCGACGACAGAGGGGAGGGGAAAGAGTTTCATGTTTGATCAGAATGAACCCCGGAAGAACCGATCACTTCTTTTTCACCTCGGCCTATAGACCTCACCGCTGGTGTTAGGGAAATAGGATGGGCCTATTACAGAACGGACGACGGGGGGTGATCAAAGAAGGTTTCGCTATATTTTTCCGGTCCTGCAGGTATTCTTCCGGTGAGACTGCAGAAGTACAGACGTAGTCCATAGAATAATCAATCCTTCTTGAACAATATTCGAAGAAGAAAAAAAAGCCCTGCGGGAACGACGGTGGTCCATTATTAATTATCAATGATTAACTTAGTTATCCAACCCGTTGACTAGTCGGATAGGCATCGGAGACATCTGGGTTGTTTTTGAGGATTAACATTAACGATGATTAATTATTAGGCTGACAAGTGGAGACCCTTTTGGTTTGCGCAATCCATCTGGCTAAACTATGTACTAGTGGCACTATCTTATGGGTGACCCTGGGAGCCGGACGAAAAAGAAGTTAGGCTTTCGAATCGAGAAGGAGAAAGTGGATCATGAAAGACTATCTGCCATGTGGTAGAAGATTCTATTCTCTTACCGTATACCGAATTCATCCATGATGATTTACCGTTTTTCTTCGGCTCCATAATATCTTTTACCGGGTTTAGTTATCCGGGTGTAGTAGGCATGGTTCATAATTAAGAATGCCACCTCTATTCCCGGTCTACTTCCACGAGTCCATTGAAACGTCCTCCACTTTGTTAGGGGGAAGGAATTGGAACTTGGCAGTCGCACGAGGATCGGGCGAGCTAGCCTGCTAGTCATGACGAGTTTACACGTTGACTCGTGCTGGAGGCCTCGACCTGCCTCTGGGAAATGGAGTCCATCCCAGTCAGGCCATTGTCAGAGCCACTTCTGTCAGACCTAGAGTCCTTTTGGATAAAATAGATTAAAATGTCCGGTTAGTCAGACAATAGTGTCTGTCAGAAAGTGGAGGACGTTATCCTGCTGAGTTGGGAAGTTGTTAGGAAGCAGAAGATACACTCTGGCAAATCCCGGGTTTTGGACGGAGTAGACTGGACTACTTGACGTTTTACGACATTTTATACGAGACGCGATGTCCTCCTTTGTGCAGGCGCCTACGTACGCGTGGAGGGCCACCAGGGGTCTCCCATACGTAGATTCCCCGTGGGAGGCGTTTTTTAGTTTTTTTTTAGTTTTTTAGCTTGAATCAGTGTCGAGACTAGTGATTATTAGCATGTGTGAGAGCGATCATTCCAGTTATAATAGGCTACTAACTACTGACCACGAGTAAGCATCATCATCATCATCATAGGACGGAGGATAGGATTATGATCAAGACGTACGAATTGCATTTAATGTTCTACCATACTCTAATACTCTAGCTAGTACTGTACATATGGATGATCAATGCAGTTCCTTTTAGGCTGAGCACCAGGGTATATTACGTCGTATCCCTTCAGGAGGCAATCTGGATCGCCCCTCCAAAGCCCACTCCCGAGTGGACTACTGTTCGGGCTAACTCGACTCCAACTGGACCTCTACTGGACCGGACTGGATGGATCACCCTTAACCCTCTTTCTCACTCTTGGCAGCCCCTCTCAGCTTCTCCTCTTGTGCTCTTGTGCTTTGCCCACTATGCAGATGATTCTTGCCTAGGCTCCTCCGCCCTTTTTCTTGGTCCCAAAGCCCTCTCCCCTCCCAAGACCCAGGGCCAAAAGAAAGTAGTGCCGACTGCCTCCACCACCGCCATCATCGATCAACCGCCCCCCTCCCCCAAATCTTATTCCCTCATTCCCAAACACCCCCCCCCAAGCCTTCCTCTCTCTCTAACGACTCCGTAATTCTACAACCTCATCCGCCCATCCTTCCCATGTCTCCACCCAGGTCCTGAGCGCAACTTCACGATGCCCGTTGTGACTCGGCACTTGCTCAACTTCCTAATTCCTTTGTACGGCCTCCTCCCCACGCGCCGATCGCATGACCGCACAGCTAACCCAGCTCCCTCGGCCGGCAATTAGCATTCACACCCCTGTTTCCATTGCCGTACACGCTTGCGCGCGACCATCCATCTCGACTTGACTTTCACCCGGCTGCTCCGAAAAGCGCGGTAAAACGTTAATCTCTCTCTTCTCGTCGCCCTGTCTACTCCGACCGACTGCAACGCGACCGAAGCTTGGGAATATCTTTCGGACGTGCGCCGGCCCATCGCGCCGGCCGTTTCCGATCAGATCTAACTGCGGTGAAATTGGGACAAGTCGTGGTTTCGCCCATTCTATTCAAGTCATCACTGCGACCAACGCTGTCGCCCCGATCCCGCGGCCTGGGCTTCTTCCTCGGCGCCGCCCTACGCTCAGATCTGCGACGGCGCACTTATACATCAAAATAGCTCGCGGGTTTTCATTTTGAACATTCAGTGTTTCCAAGGCGGGTCCTTGTGGATAAACCGTTCGAATTGATAGCACGCGACGGTGCGATTATCTGTATTATTGGCCTGGGTTTCGTCCTTTTGAAGAGAACGGAATATGCAAGGCTACTCGTTTGCGCCTCCCTCGGGCCCTCCCCGGGATGGCCAGAAAAGTAAATCTCTCTCCTGCCGGAGGCATTGCCAAGAGCATGGCTCGAAGTCTCTAAGACCAAACTGGATGCTAACCTCTGGCCGGTTTAGATTATGTATTCGTCGATGAACATAATCGACACAAAAGGCTGAAAGGTGAGCGAGTTCTACTGGATACAATGAGCATGAGGTTGCCTGACTGACCTATCCAGTGATGCGGGCGTGTAATGGGTGCCGGAAGAGAAAGATCAAGTGCGATGCGGCCACGACGAATACCTGGCCGTGCTCGGCATGCACTCGCTTGAAATTGGTCTGCGTTCCCCCTACGATCGGTCAAGATGGGGAATTTGTCAATGAGGGAATGGAATCCGCTCAGGAGATTGGCGGCTCATCCACCACGTCCGAACCATCGCATCATGCCTTCCCGGTACCTCCGGCCTACAGAGACCCCAATCAAGCTCCGATGGTGAATATGCCAGCTTACGACGGAATGGGCATGTATTCCCAATTTGTCCACGCCCCTCCGGCCCAACCCGGAATGTATAACGATTTGCGATCACCCTCCATGGTCATGCCACACCAGTCATATCCACAACAACCCCAAGTATATCCCGGGGCCCAACCGCCACACTTGGCAACCCCAGATCGGGGTGTGTTTGCAGAGAATGAGCAAACGACGGCGGACAGTCTCAGTGATGTTCTTGGAGAGCTGAAAATTGACGAGACGGGCATCGGTATGATGTTATCATAAATCGGTTTTCTGCCTGTGGCGAATTGCCCGTACTAACACTTCAATTCAGCACCATATATTCGGAGGCAAAGAAAAGATCGCATTGAACCGGATACGCCTGTCCAAGATGAAGTGGAAGAAAGACTGCCCCCTCTCAGTACGGGAGCCGGCGCAACGATTCGAATTCCACCAGAGTTGATGCCTGACGACGAAGACGTGATGAACTACTTCAAAATCTATTTCGACGAAATTCACCCCTACGTTCCCGTGATCCCCCGGGCCCATCTATACTACCAATGGCAAAACGACCGCCGTTCTATATCTCCACTCCTCCTCGAAGCCTTGTTTGCATGCGCGGGGCGGTTATCTGACGAGCCGTCGGAAGGTGCTCAATGGCTTGCTATGGCTAACAGTGAGTTTATGAGATGGGTCCAACCAAGTGCAGAATTCAAATACTGACTCTGTTTCTACTAGGACACGAATCTAGTTTCATGGACGTTCCGCGCTTAAGCACCATTCAAGCATTGCTTCTTTTGCTCAAAGCAAGAGAGTCATTGCCTAAGAAGGGCTACTATTATCGGTCCTGGCAGACCGTCAAAACCATTGTATCGATGGCCAAGGATCTAGATATTCACGAACATTATAGTGGACACGCCGAAGGGCGATCCTGTGACCTGAGCCCAATTGAGTGCTTGGTGAGCACTCGGGTTTGGCAGACACTTCTGGTGGTTGAGGTGATGATCGGAGCACCCCAAGGTGAGTGTCCCTGTCGTCCGTAACAATCTCTCTGAAACGTTTTCTAATGATGCTCTCTCATTAGGCCGTTCTGATTACGGCGTTGACCCGGACACCGTGGATATGCGCCCAACCTTGGATATCAGAGGTCTAGATCACTACGAAACGGAACGATCCAGACAATATGCTTACTTTGTCCGCAATGCCCACCACATTCGCATCATCACCGACCTTTATCACAAGATCAAGAAGCAGAAAGATTGGGGAGCGGATCCTCGCTTTGTACAGAAGAACCCGCTCTTTGCTGAGTGGCTTCGTAACCTACCCACGGATTTGCAGGTGAATTATCCAGCGGATGGAAGCCCTCCATGGATTCCATCTCATTTTGTGGGAAATATGCACTCCCACTGTCACCTGGCCATCATCCTGCTCCATCGTCCTCAGCTTGGGGCGTCTCAATCCTTTACAGCTGGTGGTGACTGGAGAATTCATTTCTCTTTGTGTTACACCTCGGCAAAGAGTATTTGCCGTTTGCAGGAAGCTATCCTGGAGCGTTTCGGATTGTCGGGCCTGCTGTACATGCAGCGAGGTATCAATTTCGCGATCTATTGCATTCTCACTTGCACCATGCTTCACCTGGTAAGGCAGACCGCTCTCAGCCAACGATGTGTGTGTGGATAGAAAGAACTCGCTGACCCCTACAGATCGCAATTACTTCCCCCGACCCCGAATTCAATTCAGACGCCCGGGAATACTTTACACGCCACATGCGCATCCTAGAAAAATGCTCCTCGGCCTGGCCTATGCCAGAGATCCAGGCTCAAATTGACTCCCTCAGGCTGGCCTTTTCCGCGGACACTCGTCGCCCCTTCGAGCTGAAACCGAGCTTTCCCTACGGCAGTCCCTCGGAACCATATCAGCCTAGCCCTCCCATGGATGCCCATTACCATCCACACCTAAGCCAAATGTCAAACAATGTCCAATCCAGAGTGGGTTTCAACACACATCCAATCACTCCTCCGATATCTGCCGGTGCTGAATCAGACGAAAAGTCGGACACGTCCTCCCAGTTACAATCCCTTGGAATGGTCCCCCATCAACCGCCTACCACCCATCCCCTCGAAGCTCCTCTAGTTGATGAAAATACTTGGGATCCTACGCGCATTATCAAGTACGTTGCTCGAACAATAGTGTTACCTGTCGCTTATGCCTTGCTAACCTTTTGAACCCTAGCCAATGGGATATGGCTTTCTCCGTTAATCCATCAAGCGTCAGCACCAACTCTCCTCCCATGCCTATGAACAACACCCCCCAGCCCATGTCAAACATGGTAAACCAGCAGTATCCGATGCAATTCGACTCGCCGTCCAAGGTGACGGTCCCGCAGAGCCAATCCGTGTCACCACCGCAGTTCCAGGCACCCCCGGTCGTGTTCAGTGCACGAGATTGGCAACAAAGTGTGGCCAGCGTGTATGACCCGCAGGGCTTAAAGCGTCGGTGGAATTACTCCACTGACCTCGGTGATAATATGATGAAGCGGCAACGAGGGTGATTAACGGCTCTGAACTCTCAACATGTTCGGATCCCTTGAGAATTCCCTCGACTCCTTTGCAAGCCTGTGTATTTATGTACTACCCCTCGGACCAGAGCCAACCTTGTCTTCAACCCTTTGTTCTCTTACTTGTTCTGATTCCCCTACCTCCTGTGACACTTATTTTTCTCGGTTTGTTCGCCTTATCTTTGGCTTTGTCGCCACAGGACGACCCGTAACGGGCCATACCATGGACTATGACTGGGTTGGGAAACATCCCCGGCGAACCTTTTCGCTCGGGGAAGACGCGCTGATTGATTTGAATGACGATTGGATTTGGGCCCTACTGTACATCACGATAAAAAGATCTAGACGCATATGTCGAAGGCAATAGCAGATTACTGAGGGCCATTGAATCTGTTTTGTGAAGTAAAGCAATGAAAAGAGCTGCAGTAGCCCCCTCCTACTCCTCAGTGCTCCCACCAACATATATGGATTACATCTTCGCAAGGTATGGCGCAGGGAAGGGAGTAGGTCTCTTTGAGAGAGTAGAAGTATGACAATCAAGATTCTCGAGACATGTCTTGATAAGAGTGCCATGTCCCGCGTGAAGATCCATCAACAAAAGGAATGGAGGTAGCTGCCAGCAAATGCGACTTTCTGTCGCGTCTTTCGTGGAGGGGAAGGTCGGGTCCGGGTCCGAGTCCTTCGAAGTGATTTTTTCGGAGGGTTGATGTGTTCCCTTGGGTATCTAACAGAGAAGTCCCCGTCGGATTTGAGAGAGTTGGTAAATTCAGACAGACTGCGAACTGAATTCGCGAGGACTGAGTTTCGGCGAGGGTTTGAGAGTGTCGTGTGTCGTGTCGCGATTCAAGATACTCGTGAGGTGTGGAGGATGTTTCAGGCCTGCAATGCAGTGGAGGATATCGTTGACGAGCCAGATCAACCCCGATGGCCGAGCCCAATTCTCTCTTCACGACGAAGGATCCTAGCCTTGTCTCCAGGGAGGGGTTTTAGCTCATCGCTTGGGTTGACTGTGGTCTTGGCGCTGCTGCCCTGTGCCTGTTCAGGCTGACTGTTCTCGTTCTGTTTGCGAAGGAGCTCCTCCTCGAAGACAGCGATGTCCTCAGTGGTGATGGCAATGGCGGTTGGCTTTCGGCGGAGCATTTTGAGGATCGTCTGAAGGATGGGGAAGTTTTCGAACGAGTCGGTGCGGAGAGTACACAGTCGAGTTGGGATTATATTGTAGATCTGCCATTCTAATGATCCTGACCGCCTTGACCGCCTTCTGTAAGAAGGTGGTCGATGGAGTAGAGTATCAATTGAAGTATGTACTCCCTAGAATTGAGACAATTATGGTTGTATCAAGGCGGCTCATAGTATAGAATGAATTAGCTTTTGATATTGATTGTGCAATGTTGAAAATGGAATATAATAATAACAGGAGATGAGGGACGGATGGACAAATTGATTGAACATGAGCGGAGTTGACGATGAGTCACGTGAGTATATTTCGGTCCTGCAAAAGTTGTGTTCCCGCTGGATCGGACATTGTCTCACGTCCACGACTCCGTCACCACAGAATGATTCGGTCACAGCTAAGGCAGTTTGCCCGGCAGGGAGACCGTGCCTGGGTAGGCATCAATATGCCTATCCGTCACTTCTCTGCCTCTCCTGCGGCCGCTACCGAGGGTCAGAACCCGCCATCAGGTATGCGATCGCATTATTACCACTCATCCCGGCGCCATGATTGCCCTAGGGACTCAATGGCATAATCGAGGCCATGCCTTATCTCTTGGATATCGCTAATCGGTGTCTTTGGATAGCGCAAGGCCAACCAAAACAGAGACCGGCGACTACAGGCCCCCCTCGCAAGCCTCGACCTTCCAGCAGACCCCCCGGAGCTGGAGCCGGAGCCCAGAACAAGCCCCGTCCAGCTCGAGCAATTGATGCTCGGTCATTGGCAGCCCCTCGTGCTGGTGGTGAACCCCCCAAGATCATCCGCAAGCCTAGGCTGCGGATGCCACCCGGCAAGCAGGTACCAGGTCGCAAGGGCAAGCTCGCCGGAAAGGCTGGCCAGAAACCCAAGCGGCAAAACAAAAGGCGCCGTTCAGAGCAGATCATTGATGACGACGAGGCCACCGCTGCTGCTATCAAACAACTCGAGCTGGATCAAGAGTCCAAGGGCCGTCCGGTGCCTATTCGTTACGAGCCCCGGGAGATTGACTTCTCTACACTGAAGGATACTTGGCCCTCCTTGCCCACGGACGCGAATGCTCGCTCCGCTACCGTCATCGAGAAGCTTTCTGCCCTGAGTGGCCGCTTCCCCAACGGATACGTCCCTCCTCATGAGCTCGGTAGACGTCTCTGGAAGGGACAGAGCGTTCTGTTCGAGAGCGAGGCTGAGAAGGCCCAGGCTCTGGAGGAACTCAAGCGCTTGTCCCAAGAACGAGCAGACAAGATCTCCCAGAAAAAGGGCGAGCCCGTCAAGCCCCGTGATATCAAATTCAACCCCATCAGCGCCGAACACTCACAAAAATTGATGGAGACCTTTGTGCAAGGAAAATACCCCTCTTTGGAGGTTGGCAAGGACCAGCCGGCTATCATGGGCGATGTGCTGAGAAATATTCGCAATAACGCAACCTATCAAACAGTTGGCAAGCGGCCCCAGTTCCTCGCCAAGGTTGAATCTCTGTTGGCTTCGAGTCGTGTCAAGCGCTCCTAGTGATACCTAGGTAGCATCCTGCATGGGGAGATGCTGTTGTGTATTATATTGATTCTGTCATTCGAATTTTTTTGGATCTCCGACTAGGCGCTATGTGTTTTCGGTGGTGGTATTCGCCCACCACCTTTGTTCCCTCTTGTATCTAGATTTACAATGTGACTATATTACAAAAAAAATGTGGCCCTCACGCTGGTGTTGCGTAACGTTGTGAATCATGCCTGTTCCAAAGACTTCTTGGCCGCATCAAATAGCTCCTTGACGTCCTTTTGGCCCTTCTCCGTAGCTTTCTCCATATGATCATGAGCCTTGCGCACATCGTCAGGTCGGGCCAGCTTCTTTTTCTGCATGTCTTGTAGTCGCTTGTGCATGGCGCCTCTGGAATCACGAACGGCGCTTGCAGCCTTTTCAAAGGCCTGTTTCGCTGCCTGGACATTCTTGTCTCGGGATTCCTTGGTCGGGGGAGGAATGGGGATATTCAGTTGAAGGGCGTTATGAGGATCAGGCTGGGGAGTCAGGGACAGATTCGAGGATACGATCGCAGAAGTAACGGGCTTGATGTGCTGTGGATTTGAAGCCTCTCGTTAGCATCTCGCAAATGGAAAGCAATTGGGCGCAAGGTCTCGCGCTTCACTCACCTCTTCCTCCGCCACTAAGATGGTCACCATCCGGCCTCCCTTGGGTACAACTTGAGCTAAATCACCCAACTTGACGGTATCATGGCTATCCTTGCTCAAATGGACCTTCAGAACTTCGAGAGTCGCAGTGTTGAAACGTCCGCCCGCGCGCAGCTTGGACAAATCATCTTTCAGTCGGGAGATGGCAGTCGATATGCCCGAATTGAGGGTGGAAAGGTCAAACGGATCCTCCGTAGCTGCAGCAGGATCCGACTCGACGTCTGAATTTAAACCCTTCTTCGCCGCCTTGTCTTTCTTCTTGTATAGCGCTGGGGAGTTGGTGAAGTTACGGCTCTGTCGAACAGCCAAGCTGGGACTGGGAGCCACCGAGAATCGCAGGAAGTGAGTCGTCGGGCGGCATTGGGGGATGACACGCCATGGCAATCGAGTCACGAGACGGTTCATGACGTATAGCAATGTGAAGACGGGGGTGTTTTGGGAGTCGGGTTGGAGTAAACGGCGACGCAAGTTCGGAAGGTGTAAGAGCGAACAAAGATGGGGAAAGCTATCGAGATAAAATAAAAATTGCCAGAAAGCGGTCCGATGGCCACCACGACGAGCGAGACTGTGGTGCACATACGAGCAATTCTACATATAGGAATTGTGAAGCAAGACAGAATACGTGTATATGCCATGACTGATTGATCAAGGTAGAAGAATGACCAGTCAGTAAAGATCTAAACAATCTACGAACGTGTTCTCTACACGGTCAGAGCAGGGAAAAAGACTTTTGGAGAAAAAAGGTCGTTACACATTAAATTTGCAACGTCGATCCTCGTCTACATGAAAGGCGTACTTTTTAACATCTTAAAAAGGAAAAAGAAACTGCGCCCAAGGTTGTCCGGTTTGAATCACAACAAAAAAAACAATAGACCGAACGCTGCCCCAAGATCTATATGGCGCAGACATTCGCCGGATTCCGTCCGGGGAATAGAGCAAGCATTGGTCATCCTATTTTCATCTCACCCTTTAGCGGGTAGCCATGGCCTTGGTGATCAGGCGCTTGAGAGCAAGCTCCTTCTTCTTGAGGTCCTCGGGGGTGGAGTCCTCAATCTCGAGCTGGGCCATAGCGTCGCTGAGGGCAGACTCGATCTTCTCCTTGTTGCCGCGCTTGAGCTTCAGGGACATGGAGGGGTCGGAGACGATCTCCTCAACACGGGAGATGTAGGACTCGAGCTGCTGGCGAGACTCGAACTTCTTGGTGAACTCCTCGTCGCTGGACTTGAACTTGGCAGCATCCTCAACCATCTGCTCGATCTCACCGCTGGACAGCTTGCCGACAGCGTTGGAGATGGTGATGTTGGCAGAGCGGCCGGAGGTCTTCTCAGTGGCGGTAACCTTCAGAATACCGTTGACATCGACCTCGAAGACACACTCGAGAGCGGCCTCACCGGCGCGCATGGGGGGAAGGGGAGCAAGAGTGAACTCGCCGAGGGAGGTGTTGTCAGCACAGTTGGTACGCTCACCCTGGTAGACGGGGAACTGGACAGTGCTCTGGTTGTCAACAACGGTGGTGAAGGTGCGCTTCTTGATGGTGGGGACGGTCTGGCCACGGGGAACGACGGGGGCAAAGATGTTACCCTCCATGGCGACACCAAGGGAGAGGGGAACGACGTCGAGCAGGAGCAGGTCGGCGGTCTCGGCGGAGGTGGCCTTGCCGGAGAGGATACCGGCCTGGACGGCAGCACCGTAGGCAACGGCCTCATCGGGGTTGATGCTCTATATCAAAAGAATTAGTATTCTTATATTCATATCAGAACCATCATGAGGATCAATCTTACCTTCTCAAGCTTCTTGCCATCGAAGAAGTCGCTCAGGAGCTTCTGGATACGGGGAATACGGGTGGAACCACCGACAAGGACAATCTCGTCAACCTTGGACTTCTCCATGGCAGCATCCTTAAGGACCTGCTGGACGGGCTCCAGGGTGCCGTTGAAGGCCTTAGCGTTCAGGTCCTCGAAACGGGCACGGGTGATGGAGGAGTTGAAGTCCTCGCCATCGAAGAGAGAGTCGATCTCGACGGTGGTCTGGGTGGCGTTGGACAGAGTACGCTTAGCACGCTCGCAAGCGGTACGGAGACGACGGAGGGCACGGGCATCGCCGGACAGGTCCTTGCCAGTCTTGCGTTGGAACTCCTTCTTGAAGTGGTCCAACAGGTTGGTGTCGAAGTCCTGACCACCAAGGTGAGTGTCACCAGCGGTAGCCTTGACGGTGAAGACACCACCCTGGATGTTCAGCAGGGAAACATCGAAAGTACCACCACCGAGATCGTAGATCAGAACGTTGCGCTCCTTCTCGGTCTTGCCGGAGCCAAGACCGTAAGCGATAGCAGCGGCAGTAGGCTCGTTGATGATACGGAGGACGTTGAGGCCAGCGATGGCACCGGCATCCTTGGTAGCCTGACGCTGGTTGTCGTTGAAGTAGGCGGGCACAGTGATGACAGCCTTCTCAACCTTCTTGCCGAGCTTGGTCTCAGCAACCTCCTTCATCTGTTTTTCCGTGTATTAGTAAGACGATTCTTTTTTTTTCAACCCAATCCAAAATTGGGGCAGTGTTTCGACTCACCTTCATGAGGACCATGGAGGAGATCTCCTGGGGAGTGAAGGTCTTGGTCTCACCGAGGTACTCAACCTCGACAGCGGGGGCGGTACCCTGAGCAACGACCTTGAAGGGCCAGGACTCAACATCCTTCTTGACAATGGGGTCATCGAAGGGACGACCGATCAGACGCCTGTTTTGAGTACTAGTTAGAAACGAGGTCCATAAAATGTTGTATCCAGACGCACTGACCAAGGGACAGACGCAGAACAAATGATTTGGGTGATCACGGGACGAAACTCACTTGATGTCGAAGATGGTGTTCTTAGGGTTCATAGCAGCCTGGTTCTTGGCGGCCTCACCGATCAGACGCTCCTTGTCGGTGAAAGAGACGAAGGAGGGGGTAGTGTAGCTACCCTGATCGTTGGCAACTGATTATCTGGTTAGTATTGTAGGGTAGATAACGGGTTGCGGAAGAAAACGCACTGATCTCGACGTTGGTGCCCTCATAGTTGGCAACGCAAGAGTAGGTGGTGCCTACGCAGAAAAAAGCGAAAAAGTCAGTAAATCGAAGATTAAGCATCCATTGACGATAAACGTACCAAGATCGATACCGATCGCTCCGTCGTAAACCGGAAGGTCCGCCATTGTGAAGTGTGGTGGTGAAATTGGAGAGTGGGAAAGGGTTGAAAGGAGGGGTTGGTGGTCGGGACTGAATTTTTTTTATAAACGCAATGCCACACATGGCTGGGCAGAAAACTTTGCGGGAGCGGTGTATCACGTGTCGTTGGGGTTCCGGGGTTTTGCGACTTTTCGGGTTTTTTTCTGTTTTTTTGATCGCCACGATGATCAAGCTTTTTTCAATCAGATTCATTCGGTCGCCCCCTTGTGCTAAGTTTTCTCTTATGTACTTGTCTTACGACTTTCTTTGTACCGAGGTACATTTTCTAAACTAAAAAACCCAATTGGCGACTCGATTCCTATACAAATTCAGTTGACAAGAAGTAAACAATCATCTCCTCGCTTAATTTTACGGTGAAGATTTATCAGCCCAAAATTTGTCGAGGCAACGAAGGACCAGAACGGAACCGGGACATTAAAAGGAGGAAATACATAAAGTAAAAAACAAAAGACGAAAAGACAAACGTGATCTTCCTAGTCGTCTCCGGCGGATCTTCCGTAGCCGTGATGGTATAATCGAAACTTCCTCCTTCCAAGCCTGAGATGGCTTCCTATTATCCCCTCATTAACATAATCACCGCAACAAATTCAAGAAAACAGTGACCCGCTCATAATCAATCTCCGAACCGGGTGGTCCCGTCTTCGGTACCCCCCTTGCTGGGCCGGCAATGGCTTCCAGATCAACCTTGGTAGTTCCGGGGTGGAGGGGAATATCGTACGCCAGCCCAGATGTATCAGCTGCCGATGGGTGAAGCCGTTGCATGCCTACGTGAGCAACTATCTTGACATGCCTCTGAGCTGTCCCGGAGACTACTGTCGGCCTGATTGTCAGTAGGCTGTGCGACGCAGGCAGGTTGATCGTGATTGACTGTTGAGAAAGCGTGGCTGATGGTGGAATGTCCAAGCTCAACCCAACTTTTAAAGAGAGGGAAGGATGAGTGATGATCTGGACGTTTCGGATCAGCGCCGAGCTGGCATCTATGGTACTGTTAGCGTGACTCATTTCTCTCATTTTTCGAGATCTCTCTTGTCGTCGCGGGTGTTGGCAATCAGATAAAGAATATGGAGGGAAGATTCTCTTACCCCGACCCGGTCGTCTCAAGAGCGAATCTAACGGGGATGTGGCAACTGGTTGTGGAGCGGGAGCTGTGTGGTGCAGCAAAGAGTCAGTCACAAGCAATGAGATGAGGGCTATTGCCCGTCCTAGAGCACGCCTTACTATCATGGGGCTCTGAGGGAACAGCGTGCAACCCGTTCAAAGGTCTTGCTGTTTCGGGATGTTGGGATGCCAGGCCCGAACTCTCGCTCTTGATAACACCGGCCAATTCTTTGGTCGCCGCTGGCCCATTTTGTGGCTGCTCGGATATGGATGGGGTGGTAGCAACACTTGACCTGCTGGGACTGGCGAGATGTCTTCGCAGAGATCTGTTTCGAGGAGACATGCGATGTGTGTCGGCCTCCTGGCTCGCTGATCCGGTTCTGACGAGCTCTTGCTGTCGTTTCAGGGATTCTTTATCGACAGTTACGCCGGATGATACTCCTTCATCCTTGGAAGGTGTCTCGGAGGTCTGCCCAGCCGTCCTCAGCGTCAATCTTTGCGACCTAGTTTCCACTTCCCTCGCGCCCATTTTCAACTTGATGCGAGGCATTTCGGGGTGACCATCTACCTGAGTGGGATCCGGCACATGCTTCTTTGCTTCTGTTACCCGCCGCTTGAAATACTCCTGTTTTCAACGTTAGTTCTCAGTCATTTTGATGACGGGGTCAAATTCAATAAGCAAAGAAAGAGAAGACATGCCTCTAAGATACCTGCGAGCATCGAGATGTCGCTACCATCCTCGTTATACTCCCTCGCATTGCGCCAAATATAGGCGACCTCCTCTTCGAAGGATTTCCACGTGGGGAATGCGGTCGTTTTGGACGGGTTTTTGCGACTATCGGTACCACGGACCTGCTTTTGGATTGTTCGTAGTGAAACAGGGTGCTGAATGATTTCATAGTAGTCGCGGTAAAGGTTGCGATCGGGCTTCCCAATGAAAGGATATGCGACATCTTCGCCACTGGACACACCGTCAGCCTGGACAGCTTGACGCACGTGAGGATTCGCAGAGAACTCACTCGTCATCCTTTAACCGAGTCAATTCGGTCATAATCTTGTCTTGCGCGGTCTGAAGGCTATCGCCCTCGAAGTCTGCCTCGGTCTCCTCATCATCCTCAGCTTCAGACCCCTCCTCTGGTTCGGCGTCGTCTGCGGGTTCGGAGTCTTCCGGGGACGGTATCTGGTCGGATTCCTCGGGGTCCACGGGGCTCTCGTCCTATTTCGATGCGCACGTTCGTTAGCGGCGTGATTCAAACCCACCCACGACGGTCATTTGCGCGTCGCCATGCAAGCTTGTCGCAAAGCTCCAATTGGCCAGGGGAAAGGGACTGGGGGAGTAGCGCGACACAACCGCAACAGCTTACAGCCGAGTCGAGTCCAGAAAGACCCTCTCGACCGAAGTTGGTCCCTCGTAAAGGTCGGGGAGGGTGCAGGGCAAGAGTGCGGCGACTTACAGACACCTTCCGGCGCTTCTGGCCGCGGAGCCTCACGTCTGGCGAAGCAGCAGCCGCCCCGCGTCTCTTGGTGCTCATTTCAAGGTCTTGAATAACACTTCCAAGTCAAAGGTACAATGGTCCAGTAAAAACAGTTCAAGCGCTCAAAATGCGAATAGGGACCTACGAGAGTTCATACCTCGACGTGTGCAGACACGCGCTGCGATCATCCGAGTGGAGACCCGCTGCCTTAGGTAAGTGGTAATGACTGGGGAATTTGATACAATACATACGGGACTCTGATGGTGGTGAACGACGGTAACTCGGAGGGTGACGACTATAGTATTACCGTATTTTACCACATGCCCCGTTTGATTGGCCATGTGGAACACGGGTCATCAGGCAGGTGAATGAGACTGACAGCCCTATACATATTATAAAACAAAACAAAAAGCAGAATAGCGACTCGCTTGCTTCTCCCTTGAAGTGCGACTGTCCTGCTGTAGGTACTGAAACAGAGCACTTATGAGGACAGAGCAAATGCCAAAGTAAAAGGGGGGGTGTTAGAAGAATGCATATCTCCCCTGGTACACGGCCCTGATACAACACTCGAAAGCATGGAGGCAGTAGTATATCGTACATATATATCCCTTTCCCTTGTATAGAGTATGTACTCCATACATAGCCTAAGGGCGAATACACTCTTCGGCACTCCGTATGTATCCACCATTTGGTTGACACCTTTTTTCTCAGGCATTCAACTTCCCCTCCATTTTCCGCGTCCCGCAAAACAACCCGATCTTTCTAGCAAAACACGGCCCTGAACCAAATCTCGCAGTCGACCGTTTCTCTTTCCCTCCTCCAGCCCACCTCCGAACGTTCTCAGGGTCTTTATCAACTTCCACCACTCGCACTCATTACTGCTCTTCAGTGATTCTGTCAGTTGCAACGTCATTTTCCAAACTCTGCTGCACAAAACTCGAAACTGACCAGCCACGTGCTAGACACGCATTCTCGAATTTCACCTCTCCTTCGCAACCTACTTACTCCCCCTCCCCACAATGGAGATCGATCCCAGCAGAAGGAATAAGAAGCCCCGTCTCCTTCTGGAGTCGGAGCGCGAGCGTCTGGATGAATTTATTGACTCAATCCACTACTCCGCACGGTATGGAATGAATTGGTACCCCACGGCTGGCCGCTCATGTCCACTAATGGGATTCCAGCTACTCGGACGACAAGTTTGAATACCGCCATGTGCAGTTGCCTAAGAACATGCTCAAGAAGATCCCCACAGACTACTTTGACAGCTCCAAGGGAACTCTGAAGTTGCTGTGGGAGGAAGAATGGCGGGCACTCGGTATCACACAGGTGCGGCTAGGTCCTCTTCCACCTTGCCTTGGGCGCTACTAACATGCAGGCAACAGAGTTTGGGGTGGGAGCATTACGAGGTACATGAGCCAGAGCCTCATATTCTACTTTTCAAGTCAGTGTCCTCTATCTTACCCTGCCCTTCGTTTCGATGGGGGATCGCCTAATTCCATTTGGCTAACCATAATCCAGGCGGCCTCTGTGAACTCTCCAGATCCATCGGCGTAACATACTGGCGATACTCGTGAAGAAGTGGTGGTGCTACATTTGGGCTTTTTCCGTTCTTTCCCCGTTCCTCAGCGAGACATAACCGTGGTCGGTTTTTCTTTTCTTTTTTTCATTTCCTCTCCTTTCTTTCCCTCTACCGCAAGGATACATTTCCCCAGTGTGTTCACTAGGGTCCACAGCAGCTTCGTAATGGAAGTTCTGGAATGAGATATGAATTCGATATTTTTCCACTCCCTTCGCCTGCCTTGGAGCCAGTTCGGTCCAGACTCCCCCAAGTACGCGCCACAATTGAACCCTAGCGTATCATCCATGCGCCCTTATCGATGTCCCTGATCTTCAGACCACATTCTTTGCCAGCCATTCACCCCATTGAGCCTCCGTGAAGCTACTGCTGATTCCACGCTCTTCCACCCCCTGGGATAATAGTTAGTGCCGGGGCAGTTCTTCCTGCGGATGGGCTATCTTACATTGAAAAAGACGGTCGGCGTCACATGGACTCCAATCACTCGATTTGCCTAATTCGGTGTTAAGACAATCTCTTGGTCTGGGGCTGGGGAGTAAGGAGATGCTCCTCTCACCTTGGTCATCCATTTGATGTCGTTGGTCACCTGGTTTCCCACGTTCAATGCACCCGGGCTAGCAGGGGTTTCCGGGATCACCAGTAGGGCGAGGACCTTTTGCTCGTCTACTCCGACCGATCCTGCAATCTTGGCCAAGCGCTCATAGGTTTTGTTGCGTGTTTCATTTACCACATTCACATCGAAGAACTCCTTCTGGTGCTTGAACAGGGCCGCACTGAACTCCCAGAATTTCTCCGGGGCCAATTGAAGGACAGCTGCACCTGCTTCGTGGGTGAGGGTGGACGATGGGTGCCAGGGCTGTATCTGCTGCCGGAAGATTACTTGAAGCCGTGAGCTATACTGCTGGGCCACCGTGGGACCCCCGGCATAGAATGTGTTGAACATCTTAGCAGAGAACTGGAAGAAAAAAAAGAAAAAAACATCGTTAGCCGTAGAATATAAGAAGAGCTACCAAAGACTTTACCCACCGGGCACACATAATCCAGGACTGGTCCTTGTCAGCTACATAGTTCCAATAACAACGTGATAGAAGATGTGTAAGCGTACATATTTCGAGTGTATGCTGTGTCTCCTGCGGGGTTCCCCGGGGGAGCTTAAGGCCTGCGTACTTAGGAGGGACCGACATGATGTGAAGACGTTGAATCAATGGGATATCGGACAAGAAAACTTCGAAATCGGAAGGTTCAACTGTAAGGATTTCTGTTGTCAAGATAATGTCAGATGAATCAGGCGGACAATCATCCCGCGAAGGGGAAGATCGGAAGGGTTGCGTCACTGGGTACCCCACCATCGATTCGTGATTAGCGCTTATCGCTCACCATACTCGAGTGGTAAACAAATATGACTAGCTAGTCTCGACCAGGACGTCCTAAATCCTGTTCGCCAACCTGAATCAGTACCTAGATGAATATATATCTATCTAGGCGATTTCAACCATACACCGCCATGAACATATTTCTGGATGGATGTTCAGATGGCACGGTTTATACTTCAATATAGACGGCGAAACATTGTATTCCAGTGTAATATCAAGAATGAAGATAGCAGAGAACTTCGATAGGCATTTTGAGAGATATACCATTCATTGAGTCCAGAAGGATTTCCATACCATTGGGGCTCCATGGACGAGAGTTGTTATCCATATACACACAGGCAGTGTACGGGCTGTCGGAGTAACTTAACTATCATAACAGACCCATTACATAATCACTACGATAAGATATCATGTGACCGGCGGTCCATGAAGCCCGGCAGTCCAAATATCTCGCAGTGACGTCCTTTCGCATCTTCATCCTTTCGAGTGCATTTAGACCGGTTACGTTCCTCAGGGGGTCTTCTCAATGCTCCGGCTTCGGCAGCTCTTTCGAACTCAACCACGGTCTGCGCTCTTCCAGTTTGGCCCTCGTCAACCCTCTCAACCTGCGGCGATCCGGCATGTGAGATTCAGACGGCCCTGGTTCAGGTGAGTACAGCGCTGCTCCATTCTAGTCCGCGAGAGAGAGGGTACTAGCGACAAAGCTGACCATGTGCCACCTCTGGCTCCTTCTAGGTCCTTCCTGGGCAAGTTTATCTTATATGGAACCGCATTCCACCTATGGAGTTCCTTCGTGCTGGTTCGATTCGACGACGACGACACACATGATGACCAAACAGCCCCCGAGACAGCCCTCGAGAACGCCAGTCTACACCGTGCAGCTGGAGGGATCGATGAGTTGACGAAAGAGGAGTTGAAGGAAGAAGACCGCGTTTTCATTCCTCTCACGTGGTCTTGGCTGGAAGAGGGAGATTTGTATACTGCCTCAGATCCTGAATGGCAAGAGTTTGTCTCTATCTCCAAAGATCGGAAAAAATTGCAGAAGCTAAGAGGTACGTTGGAATGGCAATATTTGGCATTTTGGGCTCTTATTGACGGACGTCTAGATGAACTCGCTGCTATTGTGCTCAAGAGTGCTTCGGAGAGCATGTCCCAATTACTGGGAAGTCCCCTTTCCTTGACTGGCTTCTGGCTGGTACATCAATTCCCACCTCGTGCACCTCCGGAATATCTGCGTTCTGGGTATGTGTCTCCTCAACCCCGCGTCACTGGATCGTCTGACTAACACGGGCCTTCTCCAGCCTCGAGATCGCGGATGACGGCGTATCTTGGGTCACTCAAACCCTGGATCCCGATGTTGGTGATCGATTACAGAAAGTAATGAAGCCCGTACACGTAGCTCTTGCGATCAAGGATGCGTATACGCTTCTGATCAGACGGCAATTAGCCCGACTTCGGGACCCCGATTCCCAGCCTCTCGACGCGCTAGAATTGCTAAGCGGCAGATATATACTCTCCGGACACGAGAAGCTCAACCCCATCAGCCCCCACGAACAGCCAAGGGTGCAATCTTCGTTATCTGATGACCCCCCGGAGAACATCCTACCCACGGAGGAGCCAGAACTTCACCCATCTTCAATAATTTCATCACTACAACGCCTTCCCTTACCCGACCTCGGCCCCGGGTCGGATTTGCACCTGGCATCGCTGGCGTTCAGGTTGCGATTGAACGAGTATCGGGCTCGGACCCCACGAACACCTCAGCGCGGCACATTCTTCATTTCGGGTCCCGTCGGACTGAAAGGACCGAATGGATTTTGTCGATTCGAAGTGCGGGGTGAGTATGATCCGGCCAAGTCTGCGTGGCGGACAGTGGAGATGCAGTTGAAGGATATCAACCCCAGAAAGCAGAAGCCACTGGGAGGCCAATAAAATTGGGATCTGACAGTCATGCTAGAAGCCTGCGGTCCAAATGATTTTTGCTGTCAGCGTTATTTTTCCTGTAGATATTTGGAAGTCTTTTTGAACATCAGTTCTCCAAGCCTATATGTCGTTGTTCTCCCCTCGTATCGATGGGCTAATGAAGAGTCCACTGTAGTAGTTAGATCTTGTCCTCGTCGTGGATGAAATAGTTTTATAGAAAGATCAATGTAGGCGGGGCGCTCGATGCTTAGCTAATCCCGCCGAGGACGCGGGAGGTCGAGAGGTGTCCCGACAACTCGCCCGTGGAGACGTCAACCTCTAGCTTTCCTGACCTTCCTACACCACATCTGCCAAAGCGACAGTGATACCCGGGAGCTCCTCTTAGGAAAAGCTCACCACCGGTCGGAGCTACAACAATTGCGATCGACTCAGTTCCCCCCCCCCCCCCCCGAATCTCATCCATCGAAATGCATCTGGTCTCCAAGCTCCTAGCCCTGGCGGCGACGGGTGCGTTGGGGACACATGCCCTGGAGGCGTCGATTTTCACGTTTCCCTCGAATGATCAGAATAAAGGAGATAATAGCCTGAAGCACCAAACAGTATCGGAAGATGTCGCCGAACTGATCCTGGAGCTTCGTACTCAATCGTCTCTGCAGTCCATCCTTGGGAAGGTCGAAAAAGAGATCGTGGATCGCATCAACGAGTTTTCCGGCGCTCAATCCTCCCTTTTTGGTGGACACAATAGCCATGGAACGCCAAGCAAGAGCATAATTCTCATCGAAGGAGTCAATGAAGCTGTTGGTATGTTTGCGGCAAGGACCCGGTGAATGAACCGTCAGCTAATTAGCTCCCTTTCCCTTACCACCAACAGGTTCGAACATTCGACAAGCACAGACACAATCTGTTTTCGTTCCTCATGCCTCTCTGAAGTTGGTGGATGATTCATTGGGGTCTCAGTTGGGCAATGGAGACATGAAGAAACGCTGCACGTATGGCCAAGGCGATGGGGCGTCGGGGTCGCGCTCCGTTCAGGTACTGGGACCCTGCACTTGATGGTGTCTAGTGGAACTTTGTGCTAACCCGTCTTGACGGTCGAATAGTCTGCGAAAGACTGTATCTCGCAAGATCCGGTGCTCTCCCATGGAGAAAACTTATACAGCGCCGAGTTCCTCGACCTGCTCGACTCGGTGGAAATCTGGTCGAGCAAGGACCAAACCACAACTGCCTCGAGGCTGTCGCTCAAGGTAAATTCATATCCGTATCTCTTTCTTCAAAGATAGCACCCGGCTTATTTTTCTTTAGGCGAACTCCGACAACGCGGTCGTGACCACGTATATCGAGTCTTTCTTCCACAACTTGAAGGAAATGACTTTAACAGAAAGCTTCGAAATCACTGCCTTGATGGTTCCCGCCGCCGATGCCTCCCGAGATTTCACCCGGATTTCCAGGCGAGACACCGGATCGCAGCCTCGGTCAACTGCGTCTGATGCACAGAGCACTTTGCAAAAGTCTGCAGAGGACCTGGCTGCGTCGTCTTCGCTGCTTGCGCCGGTCTGTCACGCCTCCAACTCATCATGCTCTGATGCAACCAATAATTGCTCTGGGCATGGCCAATGCTATCTCAAATCTTCATCTGGTGACGCGCAATGCTTCGCTTGTCGTTGCCAAGCAACCGTGCGTACGAAGAGTGACGGCACGAAGCAAAAGATCTACTGGGGCGGTCCGGCTTGCCAAAAGGAAGATATCAGCTCACCTTTCTTCTTGATTGCCGGTGTTACGGTTTTGGTCATCGTCCTCGCGAGCAGCGCCGTTGGTATGCTTTTCAGCATGGGTCAAGAAGAACTCCCGAGTGTAATCGGGGCCGGAGTTGGGGGCTCGAAAGCACCGGCTTAAGGGAATTCTTGAGGGTCTTTTCATGTTTCATCGAATATTGGGGCATACTTGCTTTACATTCTGCACATTTATCTGTTCTTCTACAAGGAAATATTTCGGTTGTTGTCCGCTTCGTTCCTACCTACCGGCGGCATTGTGGACCTCCGACCAGGCTCTCTTAATCCCAGCCCTCCGATCATTCCGTGTACCTCTAGTGCTATAGATAGTTGAGGAGTTGGGAGTGGATTGCAGTTCATATTCGTTTAGCTTTAGGTGATCAACAGATACAGATATTCGAAATCATCCTCGTCCCTCCGGCGGCCTCGTAGACGTGTTCAACTAAAGATCGTGCCTAACCTTTCCCTAGAACACAACACCTTAAGAAGAGGGTGTGATAGAATGTAACCGCCAGTTCACGCTCGTCCCCCAGTAAGAACCCAAATGAAGAAATTGGGAAATTGCGACATGTCATCAGCAAGATCACCACCCCGGCGTGCGCCCATTCCGAGCCCCAAAAAGAAACAATTAAATTACACAGAATAAAGTCATTAACAAAGCAAAGGCTGCGCTGAACGAACATTCCAGATGTGAATTCAGCATAAAAAAAGAGTCAAGGGATATCAAGGTTCATAAGAAGGTGAATAAATGTGTTCGTGTAAAGAGAAATTAGATTCCTGCTTCCAGTTGGCCAGGCGTACGCTGTTGCCCGGATGGCAGGTTATTGGGTGACGTGTCGACTTCGGCGGATGGCTCATGAGTCTCCATTGTAGTAGGGTTCGGAGCGGAACGTCCCCTTAGCCGCGTTGGCAAGAACCGCGCCCAGTATCCTCGAGGGGAAGGCCTCTCTCGATCTTGTGTTTCGTCCACAGGCTGTTCTGAGACCTCTGCTTGACGAGGAGGGCGGGCACGTGGATCCAGAGAGGTTGGATGGAATAACCGACCGGAGAATGCCATTTGTACCCGGAAAGGATTTGCATGACTCCTAGGCTGTGCAGCGCGCGCCGGTCTAGCAAGACCATCGAGGCGACTCGTCACAGTACGGCGTCCTTGCTGATCCGAGGAAGACGCTCCCTCGGCTGGTTGAGGACGGGGTTTGGGAACGTAGTAGTCGGCCTTGCACAGCGGACAACAGGCCCGTCGACTTGTCAACCAAGGATCGACGCACGAGGCGTGGAAAGCATGACCACAGGCAAGTCCTCGTATGTCATCATCGTCTTCAATGATGTCCAAGCAGATTGCACACGAATCTCCCGGGTTGGGAAGCAATTCGGCAGGGACGGCCTTTCGAATCTGATCACCGTCTTCTTCATCCTCTTCGAGATCAACGTGTTCATTTATCAGGGAGTGTTGCCATTTCTGCTCGGTCGTGCTCACACCGGTTTCTTGCTGGGTAGAGGGAGTAGCGATGCCCGTGGAAGAGTTGACTCCCGTCCCTTGCAAGGCCGAATCCGCTTGCTCGTCGTGGGATGGCGGAGACGGGGTACTTGATATCGTCCGCTCGTCTTCCACTATCGGCGAAGTCGCAATTGTAGATACACCAACTGGTAAAGAGACAGCCACACCATCCTCATCCTTGAGGCTTTGTGGTCTAGTATTGGGAGCCGTAATACCCCCTTCCGTGGGAAGACCTTGGTTGGCGCGAGATGACCTCCACACTTTGTATTTTACCAAGGGAAATCGCTCGTTGACTTCGTCCATGGTCATCAACTTCTTTTCTCGTCGTCTCCGATGGGCGCGAGGCATGGCGATCAAATCTATGGGCTCACCAGTCTCCTCATTGCGTAATTGGCGATTGCGTTGATTGTAGCGGAAGCAATATTTTACTCCAACGATGATCCTGTGTCGCTGAATTAGACTGAAATCTATGACAAAGACCAGTGTGGTGATGATGGGTCGAGTGAATGGACATACCAGAGATTGGTGAAGACGACACCGAATCCTAATGCGACAAAAAACAAAAGAGGCGAACTGGTCGCATTCGAGCCAGTATCACCACTAGCAGTGGTGGTTGCGGCGCTGCTGGCTGCCGTGGTTGTAGAGGGCGGCATCTTGAGAAGAAATGGGACTGTTCTTTTTAAGAGAATCTCAAGGTTACAAGATTGCTCGTCCCTTTGAAATCAATATTCAGCTTTGTTCGAGCCCACCCAGCCGCCAGTAATTTCCGCAAAAGGAAATGAGCCAAGTTGTAGTAGGCTTGTCGAGCAAGGCTCTCGATTATGAGAGTGATCACCCGGGTTTCACAATGCAATATACTGCATTCAGTCGGGGGGGATAGAACCACTTCGATTCAGTCCAAAAGAGGGCTGGCCGGTCATGGATCGACAACGTAGCAGGGAGACCCACCGGCCCTAGGGTCGGTGATTGTTGTCGAGTCTCGGATTCTTCGCGTTGTGATAGACCGAGTCCAGCTCCTAGAACCAAGTCATAGTATCTATTCTGGGGATGGGAATCCCAGGATGGTGAGTAGCCGGGCCAGAGGGGGAGGAAGTTGTGAAAGGGGCGAGAGGAAGTCGAGAGGGATGCATGCGGTTTTTGAGTTTTGGCTTTCTGAGGGGGTCCGACGAGAGAAAATGGGGAAAGGATTGACACCTGAAGACACCTTGACACCTTGACACCTTAGAGGTTATCAGGACACCTGAGGCTGGGAAGTCACGGGAGCGGCAGCCACTCACGTCGCACTTGGTCAGTGGCAGTATGGACTGTGCTTTTGGAACCAGTTTATTGATTATTGCTTTTTGTTTTCTTTTAATCTTCAACTCTTTCTTTTTCAATTCGATACACGGCAAAAGAACCTGATTATTTTGTCTCGAAACTCACCAGTCCATCGACATCTTCTAGACCTCGTGCACAGACCGAAGGAAGCCCCTTCGAAAGAATATCCTTCATCGTCCCGCTCTCACGCTAGCTCGATTCAATTGCCACCACCTATCGCTTCCCTTAACCGTTAACAGTCTTCCCAGCCCAAACCCAACGATGGCTGAACATCTTCCTCGGCCCAGTGAGCCTACCAACCCGGTAGTCTTCTTTGACCTTGCCCTCGCCGGTGAGCTAACTACTTTTTTCCCCGCCCTATCTGTGAGGCCAAGATTCTATGTGCTGATCAGTCTGTGCCAGGCGAGCCTCTTGGGCGAATCAAAATGGAGCTCTTTGCCAATAAAACTCCCAAGACGGCAGAGAATTTCCGGCAATTCTGTACGGGCGAGAGCAAGAACTCCAAAGGGCAACCCCAAGGCTACAAAGGTAGCAAGTTCCACCGTGTGGTATGAAACCTCCCTTCATGTTGCTGGGAAAAGCTTGGGACATCCAGCTCACTTTGTTTGTAGATCAAGGATTTCATGATTCAAGGTGGCGACTTCATCAATGGCGATGGCACTGGCAGCTGCACCATCTATGGCACGCCCAAGTTTGCTGATGAGAATTTTGCGCTGCCACATGACCGTCCCGGGCTTCTGAGTATGGCGGTAGGTCTCATTCCTCCTACTTGAAAAAGAAATAGATCATTCTTTCTCAATGTCTGACCTTGTCCTGGTTTGATTGTTCCGCTAATATTTGAGATAGAACTCGGGCCCAAACACTAATGGCTGTCAATTCTTCATCACCACCACCGCGACACCCTTCTTGAACAACAAGCACGTCGTATTTGGCCAAGTCATTGATGGCATGGACGTGGTTCGCATGGTCGAGCAAACTCGGACCACCAGAGATAAGCCGAACCAGGATGTAACTATTGTGCAGTGTGGGGAGATGTAACGCGAACGCAGTAACGAAGAGAAGATAATGAGAAAATGCCCATCATCTATGGGTTATCCTTTACCAAGAAAAAAACTAGACAATTTGACTTGATATCATTTGCGATACAAGGAAAGGCCGAACTAATTATAGACAACATATGTATGGGGTTGACCGTGGAGAAAGAGTAGAGGGCATGATCCACAACATTCTTCTGTACCACCAACTTTAGCTCGAAATTAGAAAAAAAAAAAAACGCTTCAATTTCACCAGGTAGATGAAAGCCGGCCATCGATTTCCCATTTAATTTTTGCCCTTGTTTTTGCCCTTCCCATCCGGATCCTCCTTCCATTCTCTCTCAGTATGTGTATTGAGTAGTGTCAAGGTCAAATGTAGCCGTCGATGGATCGAGAAGCAAGCTAGGTCATCGCCGAGTTGTTTTTGAGACCTCTTGCGATTTAGGGTGAATCAAAATTTTGACTTGGTTCATTGTGACTGGCCTCGCCTATAGCTTGAATTTGCTCAAGTATTCCGTCGCGAGCGAAACAGCTTCATCAACCTTATCCGGGTTCGTTCCGTTACCGATCGAAGTCGCGCCCTTTCCGCCAGCTTTTCCACCAATGCTGCTGGAAACAACGGCGGCCCAATCGCTTGCCGATCCGCCCAGCTCTCCAAGCTCCTATAGCAGCGTGTTAGATACAAGTCTCACAAACCCAAAACATCTTCTTTTGGTAACTTACCTTGGACACATAGCAACCATGAGCAACCCGGGTATTTTCGGGGTCAACTGCCATGACGTAGACATTCTTGTTTTGCATTTTCGATTTGACATGGTTGATAGATTCGCTAACGGCCTTGGCACTTGCGGGCATCGGAAGCCTGACAACCAGCGAGGAAGAGTTCTGGTTCTCCGGGGCCTCAAAGTAAGACGTGATGGCTTCCAGAGCCATCTTAGATTCTAACTTCTGCTGGGCTTTCTGGCCATCCAGGACCTGCTTGTTGATCGCGGTATAGCGGGTGCGGAATTGGGCCTTGCGGACCGCAGAGATGACGAGCTGGTTGAGATCCACCTGAACCTGCTTGGACTCTCGCTCCTTTTCGGGGCCAAGGGGCATGGCTTCCAGCTTATCAAGGCGTGCCTCAAACTCTTGAGCAATTCGCTGCACCTCATGGGCCTCTTCGCCGGTGACAGCGATGATACGACGGATACCCTTGGCGATACCACTCTCTTCCAGAATGATCAAGTCCTTGATATCGCCGGTCTTCTGGACGTGGGTTCCACCGCAGAACTCGATGCTGACCTTCTCCCACTGGGGGTCCTTGACGTTCCGCAGGATGTCTTCCAAGTCAACGCCAACGGACACGACCCGAACAGGATCCGGGTACGTCTCACCAAAGACTGCGCGGACGCCGTAGATCTGCTGGGCGGTAGCAAGAGGGAGCTCTTTAGAGTAGACAGTACAGTTCTGTCGGATGTATTCGGTGGCCTTGGTCTCGATAGTCTCCAGGTCAGCATCGGACACCGCAGCCTTGTGAGAAAAGTCGAAGCGAAGCTTTTCAGCCGCAACAAGGGAGCCCTTTTGCTCCACACCATCTCCGAGCACCTCGCGGAGGGCAAAGTTCAGGATGTGGGTACCAGTGTGGTTGTTCCGGATAGGCCATCGGCGGAGTTCATCGTATTCACAAATGACGGCATCACCCACGGAGAGCGATCCATACTTCATGAAGCCAGTGTGCAGGACGTAACCAGCGTAGACTTGGACGTCACCGACCTCCAACTCAGCCTGGCCATCAATGACAATCCGACCAGTGTCGGCCTCTTGACCACCTTGCTCGGCGTAAAAGTTGGTGCAGTCGAGAATGACACCAAGTTGTTCGCCACTGGGTGCCTTGTCGGTGCTCTCGTAGAAGGACTTGCCGTGGTAGATGGCCTTGATATGAGCCGTGATGTTACCCCTTCCGAACTTGGCAGAGTCGTCCGTCTTATGCACATCGCTCATCTTTTCCAGCTTTCCGAGATCATGGACATCAAGCTTTACCACATTTGCGGCGGCCTTCTTCTGGCCTTTACTGGCTTCCTTCGCCTTCAATCGTGCTTCTTCAAACTCAACGTCGTCAATACGAAGACCCCGTTCTTCGGCCATAATCTGAGTTAGGTCGACCGGGAAACCGAAAGTATCGTATAATCTCCACACGTCTGCACCGTGGAGCTTGTCGGAACCCTTGAGCTTAGCATGCTGGGCGTACTGCTCGAACTGACGCTCGCCTCGATCCAGAGTCTTGGCAAAAGACAGCTCCTCTTCGTCCAGAATCTCCATCACATCGTGCTGTTTCTTGATAAGCTCCGGGAACATGTCACCGAGCTGATCCACGACTGTGGGCACGAGCTTCGAGAAGAAGTTACCGATGTCAACCTGGAAGTATTTGCGAGCGAATCGGGCTCCACGACGCAGCACCCGACGGATCACGTAGCCACGACCCTCGTTGTTAGGAATCACTCCGTCGGAGATAGCGAACATCAAGGTGCGCACGTGGTCAGCCACCACACGGTACGCAGTGTCAATTCCATCGGAATCTTCGGCGCCAAAATGACCGCGATATTCGCGAGCGCCGGTCGCGTTTTGAATAGCCTGGAAGATGGGGGTGAAAACGTCCGTGTCGTAGTTGGAGGACTTGTCTTGGAGAATGGACACCAATCGTTCGAAGCCCATGCCGGTGTCGACGTGCTTGTTGGGGAGGGACTTCAGGGAGCGGTCTGCCTCGCGGTTGTACTGGATGAACACGTTGTTCCAGATTTCCAGCACGTTCGGGTCATCCTGGTTCACGAGGGACGCAGCGTTACGGCCACCGATGCGATCGTAATGCACTTCGCTGCAGGGTCCACACGGGCCTTGATCACCCATCTCCCAAAAATTGTCCTTCATGTTGCCCGGAAGAATGTGGGATTCCGGCACGCCCACGGACTTCCATATCTCTCTGGCCTCGAGATCGGGCTCGAGACCACCGGCCTCGTCGCCCTCGAAATAAGTCACGTAGAGACGATCGGGGGACAATCCGTATACTTCAGTGAGAAGGGTCCACGAATACGTGATTGCCTCCTTCTTGAAGTAGTCGCCGAAACTCCAGTTTCCGAGCATTTCGAAGAAAGTCTAGTTTAGCATCGAGGATTAGAAACACGGGTCATATGGACACGGGAATGTGCATGATCGGAAGGATTCAAAGAAGACTTACGTGGTGATAACTGTCCTTGCCGACATCGTCGAGATCCTGTAAGAAACCAGTCAATACCTGAAGGGAGGCATATCATAAACGCTCCCAACCCCACTCACATTGTGTTTACCACCAGCGCGAATACACTATTGAATTGCAGTCGTCAGCTAAAGCACTTTTAGATCGCAGAGATCACCAGAGAGGGGAGGTAATCGTACCTTCTGAGTATTCACCGCGCGTCGCAACTTGGCAAAGTCTGACGACGGGTCCACGGTACCGAGGAAAATGGATTTGTACTGATTCATTCCAGCATTGGTGAAAAGCAGGGTAGGGTCCGACAAGGGAGCGACCGGCGACGACGGGACTGGAACGGAGGAATTGCGCTGTAAGTGACTGAGGAGGGCACATGGTATTTTTTTTTTTCGGAGGGCTCGATGAACCCAAATGAGTGGTGGCGGGGGAGGTTTTGTAAGAATTGCAACTCACCAAAAGTATGGCCATTTTGCTTGAAATACTCAAGAAAAGTCTCTCTGACCCGAGGAGCAGTCCACTCGGGACGACTAGTATCGGAAGCCATCCTGGAGAAGAAAGATGGTGTCGGTGGGGGGTGAAGGAGGGGAAAGTGGCGGGGAGAATCGAAAGTTCTAGGAGGGCGCGCAAAACGCGGAGGATGAGTCAAAGTTCCGACCCGCCATCCTCCCTTCAACCCTCCAAATCCTCCTCCAGACACCCGCATTCCCCTCGCGCGAGACAAGGAATATGCACTTCCGTTGCCTAGGTCCGATCTCGAGCTCGATTTGACGGTTATTCCCTTCTTCGATATCTCTTGATCTTTTCTCTCATCTCCTTCCCCCTCGTGGTCCAATCTAGGTCAACCACGGGGGTCAAAGGTAGCTTTAGTCGTGGATGGCGCGGAGTGATGAGATCCCTCAACTCGGCAGAAAGCGTCCCGCAGATTCTGATCCAGACGGCGCTCCTCTAACCAAAAGGTTTGAATACCTCCAAATAGGTAAGGGTTTGTTGGTCTTCTTCCTCCAGAAGTGATGCCCCGGTCGAACTTGGGGGAAGAAAAGGAAAATCAAAAAGAGGTTGACACATTTCTGGGCAGGGAACACTCCCGGAGCGCGGCCCCGTGATCATCACAATGGATTTAACCTCAACCCTTCCACCACTTCCACTTCCACTTCCACTTCCACTTCCACTCCTTCCACGGTCTCAGCCTTGTCAGCATCCACTACCAGTCAAGTACCCATTTCCAATTCTAGCCCGCCATGCGTGACCCAATCCGACGCGATGATGCTGGATGACACCAAACACACTACCTATATTCATGACCTGGATCGGGAATTGGCGGATATAGACACGCCCGATGGAGGTCTAATTTTTCTACCCCTCGCCGCCAAATTGATCTCCGTGCCGGGATCAGTCTTGTCGACCCCTTCGCAGGGCAAGGAACTAGTTCTGTACACCGACCCGTCTTCGCTGACACTGCCCGAGGAGCAAGATAGCGTGAGGAAAGCAATCATCGAATCCAGGGCTAGGGCCAGAGCAAGGGCGCAAGCAGCGAGTAGCCACCAATCTTTGCCGTGTTTCGATCATGGCCCTGTATCATCTTCGACCCAGGGCTTTGCGGATACCGATACCTCTTTAAGCTATAGTACTGATGACGACCCAATGGACATTGACTGCAATCCTTAGGTACTTTGAAGGAGGTTGCCAAATCTGGAAACACGCCAACTTTGAATCGTTGCAGGTCTCCGGAATCATGACGATGCATTGTTAAAACTTGTGGCCTTTGTTCTGAGAGCATCGACGCCACCAAATGGAATATATCTGACCATTTACCTGATTGAGGAGTGGAGGATGTAGGACACGTGCTACTGAGCACGAACTGTGTGATTGATACTTGATCTCTATACTTTCATACATAGTAGTCACGTTCCAGTAAAGCGGGCATATTGAATGCATTGTTAGAAATTCTTCGGTTGGGCCCGTAGTCACAAAAAGTTTCTAGTCGTAGGTACTCATGTCCTGAAAATATGTGAGACGATTCACATCTTCTATGCTTCGTCATTATGACTACCTACGAGGTTATCTTCACATTGCCACCTAGCGCCATTGTGGTGTCCACATGGCTGAATTTCGGGGCAGTTCTTATGGAAAAACACATACATGCTGTTTCTAGAACAGTGATCAACCCGGCATAACTCATCCCGGCGACCACTCTAGTAAATAGCTATCTAGCCTTGCCTCAATAATTTGTGAAAGAAAGATGTAGCTAAGAGAGTGCGGCAGGGGTTTAGAAAACTGAATCTTACTATAGGAGATCTAGAAAGGATGACCTTGGAGTTGACTAGGTGCGATGAGTGGGTGTTTCCAACCGCGAAAGTGGAGGTCTGAGTTGGCTTCTCAGGCAGGGGCGGCACGCATTTTTGTTATCACAGCCATTATCCTGACACTGTCTATGAAGTTTAGAACTGGTCATCTTCTGGTATATTAAGGGTAGGCCATGATGAAATGTCTGAAAGGCACTTAGATATGGCCAGGTTGACTTTATACGATAGAGATATGATAAATAAATACCCTTTCATCATGGTCAAGTGTATTTTTAGGTCACGTTTTCGTGAATAGCAGTGGCAGTGTAGCCCCTTTGTTGGATTGGCATATCGATACACATCTAATGCATCGGTGGAGTATGTACTATGATGACTATATGGATGCCTCTGCCTTTGCTAGTCTTCGAATAACGCCATTTCCATCACCCTTGCTATATATATCCCTTAGGGAGCTCTTTCATCATCTCCCTACTGAGAATCAATAGGCATGGAGCCTAGACGACGTCAACAAATACGGAAACATCAAGGAAGCATTCATATAGCTTGACCACTTATTAGTGCCTACATCCACCCCGGCAGTGTAACTTGGAGATAGAGAGATTATCCTTGACGTTCCTTTTTTGCGGGACGACCTACTATGTCAAACATGTTGGATGCATTTCTGACGGCGTGTCGATCTGCGATGATCGATTCAGAATTTTGAGAGTACGAATAAAATATGAGCCAATCTCTACTTTCAACACTGACTGCCTAGGTTTAGAAACAACACTTTCTTTTACATGCTAAAAGATCGTGTGTCAAGACCTACTTAGAAATAGGCCTGGTATATTCAGAGACGAATTAGAGTAAATGAGACTAATGACTTTATTATATACGTAGGCTAACCGCTAAAGTTTTAGTACTATCTCAAAATGAGTGTTTATAGGTTAGCGTTAATTATGTCCTCGCACGTTTCTATCAGGCGAATGTCGACGAAGAGTGAAAACATGTATTAGTCAACTTCAGAATACCACAGGCCTTACCCAGAGGAAATAAAACTTTACATAGTATCTTCCACTATAATTCCTATTCAGTATATTCTCTTAGTTCTATTTGAGTACATCAATATAAAACCTAACATTTCCTCCTACCAGGCAACCGTATACATCAACTGAGCTTTCTAGTAAGAACGGACTAGATACTCCCGGGGCCATCATAAACCTCTAATGAGACGAAACTAAGAAAATGATTCACTTCAGCTTGTCCGTCACTTGCTTGAGTGCGGCTATCGCACAGCCTTCATCAAGATCTCCGCTAGGAGCACCACCAACACCAATAGCGCCAATCGTCTCGTTTCCAATTTTGATTGGCACACCACCAGCGAGAATGAGGAAGTCGTCAATGGATACGAGTTGAGCGGCGCTAGGGTTGTGAATATTTTTCACCATAGTGCTGGTCGCCGTACGCGACGACACTGCTGTGTAGGCCTTACGGCGCGCCGCATCGGGGGTGTGAATTCCGGCATTGTCAGACCGGAGGAGGGCCCGAAGTACACCGCCACGGTCAACAACGGCTGCTGAAACGCTATATGAATCTTTGGCGCAGGCCTCGACCGCACCTTGTGCAATCTCGAGAGCGATGTTGAGTGGAACGTTCTGCTCTTGAAGAAGGCTGGCGAATGTAGCGGTTGAGAATGTCGCCGCTAGGTAACTAGCAAGGATCCAGAACTTGGTCATGATTTTTTCTTGTTTTGTATGGCTTTGCTATCGAGTAGAATGGTTGATCTAATATTGTAACGAAGATCAGGCAGAGTAAGGTGACAAGATAGTTCAAATGCCTCTTTGAGGGTTTTCGTTATGGCTAATTGACCAAATTAACAGATAGTTGACCAACCCAACCGATAATTGACTGGGCGAGACTATCTTAAGCACTTAAATAGATATTTTGTGAGAAGTAACGCTCCCTGGTTAAGGGCACCAAGACCGGCAACCTGACCTAATCAGGAAAGTGCCAAGTCATCACTAACCTCAACATGGTCGGTCCATGGGGTAATGGAAAAACTGCGCCTCCACAAATGCCAAGCCTTAAGGGTTCGACGGTGGCTGCCTATTGTTGGCTGTGAAAACCACCTAGGTTGACAGACTGAAAGTCGTGATCACTACAACTCTGTTCATGCTTGATTTATGTTGGTAAATACCCTTTGCTAGGAATAACATACTAGGGGCAATCTGCCACTGAAGCAAGGGAAACCTACATGCAGAAGCGGTGATATGAAGGAGTGGAGCTTTCAGCCTCTTTAAATTTTATCCTACCTAATACCTCTTGGCATTAGATTCCGGGGCAATGATATGATCCAATTATAACCTAGGCAACATTTTTCATATAAAGTCAGATCTAAAACATTATCACGCTAGGAAGAATATCAGCAATCGGCAACCACCGAATACCGCGGACCGGCGAAGTCCGGATGGCCTCAATTATCACCGACTATTCGGGCGATGGCGACACTTGACTGGCCACAGCACGCTCGGGCTTTCATTGACGTTACTGTGCAGTTCATTGTGCTTCCATCGATGGATGTCCTTTCAGCGGTTCAGAACGTAGGCCCTAAAAATGATATTTCGAACAGCCACCAGGACAACCGCGAACCTTCTCATACCACTAAAACCATACTCAAGAGAACCAAACCCCTGTCCCATTGATTCTTTGAGATGATGTGCTGAGATGAGATTCATAGAGCGAAATTCAATCTTGAGACAGTGTTCCCAGTCTTACTGGCGGAAATTATCCCGAGAAGTGAGGTTGACTAAAGCACTCTTTCGGTTTTAGAGAACTAGCTTTTGTGCAAGATATGGTTGGCTGACACGATGAACGAGCAAGCGTTCCTAAACTAGATAGATCACACTATTCTTTTGATATAAGAGCTGTCCAAATGGTTTCACCTCGTGGAGTGACCGATTCTTCGATAAAGACCTACGTATGTATGTACAGGGTAATACCTCGACTTCGGTATAGTGCTCTGAACGCTCCGTTACACCACACGGGAAAGGTTTAACCCGGCCTTTTTTCATCTTCTCCACTCAATCAATCACTCTTCTGATGGTCCTGGTAAAAACCTGTCTTCTTTTTTCATACTAGTCTATGTACTATATGGCCTTGCTTTGATATCACGATTCCAAAACTACACCCACAATAGCCCCAACCTTAACCTCTCTGTTGAACAGCCATCCGGTTGAAATCTCTTTTCGAATAACTCACCTACCTGATTTTGTAATTCACTGGCTACCAAATTGCCGATATCAATCCGCGCCAGGTCCGCCTGTATGCTTATCTGCTTTTTGGGGATAAAGAGCAGCTCAGCTAGAACTTCCACGACCGCATTAGGCCGCTGCATTCCGTCGTAAATCTGCAATTCCGGCTAGGATGAAGCGTGAGCGAGCCATTGCTGCTGAGATGTGGGTTGCTGCTTCACCGTTCGTCTTGTTGGCACTGGTAGACCGGGCTTGCGCGGCGGCATTTTGAAGGACTACGGAGACTTGGTCGCTGGTTAGGAAGGGGACCTACGTCCCCGATTCTTGGAGCGGGTATAGGTGATATCGGGGGAGAGGCCATAAAATGTGAATTCTGCACGGGGTAGCTCAACTGAATATAACGTACGTTACTAATCTCCGCTGGAAAGGTAGCTATCACTTGAGTCTTTCGGGTATCCTCTAGACTTTTACGTCGGAAGGCATAATAATTCGCGAGCGCGCTAAGCTCTTCTATCTTCGATATTAATTCTAGCAATTCCTAGTAGAAAAGAATCGTAGACGAAATTAGAGCCTTAATATAGTCCCTATTTTTTTCGAGTATCTTTTTAGTACACCCTGTTCTGTCCTTATAGAGCGCCTACACTTCTATCTCTAAGATAAGGGCAAGTTCTTAGAGTATACGCTTTTACTAGGACTTAGCTTTTTCGAGGCTATTACTCTTAATTAAAGTTTAAGAATAACTATCTCTTAGCGAAATCGATTTCTTAGTCTATCTCGAGATCTAGGGCTTATAAAGCCTTATAGATACGTTTGAAAATTATCTAACCTCGCGCGCTATCGATCGATACTAGTTTCGACCTAGTGTAACCGTTATAGTGTCGGTAGTAAGCCTAAATAGTATTCCGCTACCCTAAACATAAGGTTTTTAAGGTATAGATTTTATACTAAGGCCCCTTAATTTAGGGGAATACGAATAGTAATAATAGAAAGGACGTAATAAATAAAATAGTAAGTATAATCTAAATAAGTATAGACGATATCGCTAAGGCTATCTAGTTAGTTTTAGATTACATTAAGACTAATAACTATAAGATTAATAGGTTTATTAAAAGATTTATTAACAATATTAAGAAATATATATAAAAAGCCTAGAAAGATAATACTAAGGGAATAAATAAGGTACTTAGAGCCCTTAAAACGATTTTTTAAAGACTTAATAATCTTAAGAAGACTATCTCTTTATTAATAACTACTTTATCATTTAATCTAGCTACTTTCTGGTGAACTTTATATTAAGCTATATATTAAGAGTATACTACTATTACAGACCTTAGAGAGGCGCGGGGGCCGTAGCTATTTAAGGAGTAACCGTAAGCTAATTATCGTACGGACGCTAAGGATTAGCGTCGTTATATACGTTTCGGTATACTTAGGTATATCCCGGAAGGCCCTAAGTAAAAGGACTTAAGGCGAGAACTAGAAACGGCCTACGGCTAACTATTATAACTAATACCCGCTTACTCTATAGGATAGTTAGAGTAACGTAGGAAACGGCCTACGGTTAACTATTATAACTAATACCCGCTTACTCTATAGGATAGTTAGCGTAACGTAGGAAACGGCCGCTCTTTTACCTATACGAAGATTATACCCTAAATATAAGAACCCGGTAAATCACGTAATACCTAAGTGGTAGATAGGTAGGATAGTATATAGGTAGATCGCGCTAAGGACTATCTATCACTATACTATCTACTACTTATATTATATAGGAAGAGCTAGATATATAAGTATATTTATTTAGTATTATATATTTAGTTATTCGCGACTAATTATATATTATTACTTAGTTACTACCTTTAGTACTTTAAACTTTATAGTTTATCTTTAAGACAACCTAATCTATAAGTAGGGGATTTACTTAGTAGTAATACTTAGTAATTAACCTACTTAGCGCGTACTTCTAGTACGTTCTATAAGATACTTAATAGGATCTAGCCTATAGTAAGGCTTAGCGAAGTAATAATATAATTAAGAGATACTTTTAGGAATCTGTAGTTAGAACTAAATAAGTATAACCTATAGATCTTCTAACTTATAGTAACTAGTTAGTACCGCGTAATATATTAATCGCCCTATCTTTAAACTATAAAGTAAAGTTATTATAGTAGATAACTATTATGATATTTCGATAAGACTATTCACACATTGATATTAGGGCCTTAGGCATACGTGGACCGAGGGATCTGCTAAGGCGGTAGCCATCCGGCGGTCAGCCGGTGGCCCCTCGGCCGCGATACGCGATAGCCACGCTGCATGCAGGCCACGCCCACAATATGTGCCATACGTTGGCCATACACTTTCGCCATGGTTTCCCCCTTACTTCGTGTTTGTCTCCTGTTTGCACAAAAGATGATGTATTTAAATTGATACTTAAGGAGTGGGATTCAAGCTCCTCAAGAAACAGTCTTTGTCTTAATCTAACTTAGTGCTTTTCTCTCCTACCTAGTTGATAGGCCTTCTACCCTGTAATGTAGTATACCCTTAATAATAACGATAGTATCTATAGTAATATATTATCCTCTTCGGAGAGACTATTAGTATCTCCTAAGGAGCTAATAGATATAGTTATCTAGCTCTAGGAGTATATCGCTATCTTAGAAGCTCGATAATCTCGGAACTCTATTAAGCTATCTAAGCTAGAGTTCTTCGAAGGAAGCTATTCTAAGCTTCGAGGGTTTATTACCTAGATAGAGATATAACTCTATATAAACCCTTAACTAGCGAACGAAGAAGATAAAGTAGTCTTTATATTAATCTATCTTCGCGGATAAGTATTCGAATAATTCGAACCGTTTATTCGCGAGTACTAGGAGAAGACTAATAAGGATAAATAGAGTAATACCACTTAAGAAATATTTATATCCTTTACTATATTTAAGTAGAAGCTTAAGTAAACCTTTAGTAATATCGATATAATCTATAGCTCTAAAAGATATTTATAACGACTTAAATAAACTAGATCGGCTAGTATCTACGCCGCCGACTTCTAGTAAATTATCTTCTATCTAGACTAGGATAAGGATATCTATATCACTATCTTCGAAGACGGCCTAAAGGACGATATTAAGGATAAATTAGTTCGGATTAACTAACCTAAGACTATTAGTAAAATAATCGAAATAGCGGTTTATATTAATAACCGACTATACGAATAATATTTCTAATATAAGGAAGTACGCTAGTAAAGAAGCTAAGGACCTAGAGCCTTTAGATACGTACGCCGCCACGAGGATAGGCGCGGATAACGATAATAGCCTAGGGAATATAGCGATCCCTATATACTACGACTAATAGAGCTCGACGTAGCGAGACTCCCCGCCGAAGAAGAAAAGCGGCGTAAGGATAATAACTTATACTTTAAACATAGAAAAATAGGATATTAGGCGCGTAAGTATAATAAGCGTAATAATATAAAGCTATAGACGCGTAAGCGAAATAATAGATATAATAATATAAAGCTATAGTAGCTACGAGCTACTAGCGACGTAAAATAGTTATAGGACGCTATTACTAGGGCTACTCTAGATAAGTATAAGTATCTAAAGGGCTAGGTTATCTAGTAGATAATAGAAATACTACTAGTTAGAAAGGAATCTAAGGT